AAATTACAACAATATTCCTATTAGGGTTACTTTCACTTTATCTCATTATAAATCAATTATGAAAAGGTCTCAATGTATGTCCCTATATGGTGATATCATTCTAGACTTTACAAGGAGCACTAATAAAAGTGTATTAGACGCTGGTTGACTGTTAAAAAATATTGCCCCTGGAATTATTCTTACCAATATTGATAAAGCTGTGCGAAAAAAAGCGTGCTGTAACTAATACTGTATTGGAACTCAGCAGTGAAAAAGTTTGCCTGTCTGCAGCTTTCGCTGCATTCGTTTCGCTTCTCATTCATTATTAAGACAACAAAAATGTTAGCTATCCTTAAGGCTAACCCCCCTTCCCCTCCCCTCCCCCCACCTCCAATGCCGTTTGACAATGCCTTAAAGCCATAACCTAGTCTCTTCTTTTCGTTCATTTTTTTCACAAGTTTGGGTGACGGGTGGCTGCTATGAAAGCGAAATTTAACTTCATAAGCGACGCAACGTTGAGATCACTGACATTGGGTTTTCGCACTTTTGTGCTTACGTAGGCAACAGTTCTGAAAGCAGTTAAGGGATATTATTATCGTTATTATTATTATTATCATTATTATTATTATTAATTATGATACGTGTAAACGCAAAATGTAGTTTTTCACGCCTCCACCGTTTTTGTCGATATCGATAAGTCCGAACAATATTTACAACCTCATCATGTTTGCCTATGACATTGATGTCTGCTCTAAGCCCATTAATTCACATTTCAGACATTCTTAAATCAAACCTTTTTTGTTTCAGACTTTCTTAAGCTGGTACTACTATAAACTATTCATGATTCCTTCATGTTCCCCAGTCTTTAAGACCGTTATCTTGTTTAATTATTACTCAAGAGATATCTGCCCAACCTTAAATTTTTCCTTGTCGATCAATTATCAACCAGACTAGAGTTGTCACAGAAAACAAGAAAAATGTTAACTGAAAAGTTAAAACAAAAAAACAAAAACGGTCGGTATATGTTCCCCAACGGTAATTTTACATTAATAGCCGAGAAAACGGAAGATGATGGTATTGGGGTTTAGAGAATGGTGTAGTGCTGAGGGCCATAAATTAAATAGGCCAAGCTAACTAATTTTAAATAGTTTCAGTAATTCTTTTGTTTGTTATTCCTTTTGCTTTTTTTGTTTTCATTTTTATATGAGGACGTCAGTTATTGCATTTTCCCCTTTAAAGCCATTTTCCCTCTTGTGTCAATTAGGATAAAGCATTTTTTGCTTAATCTTTGAAAAAATTTAGACTCTGAGGGGACCTATATGTATGGTGAGTTAGATCTTTTATAATCCAAACGTAATTAAAAATACTTGTCATGTTTCACATTTTCATTTTACGTAGATTAGTAGAGCACTGTTAAACAAAAAACTACCAATTACTTCGAATCTCTGTTGATTCAAATGTATTTTTAGGGTTTTAATTTACAATTTGTCGTGTCATATCTCATTTGAATTAAAAGCTCTTATTAAATGACCGGTCGTGATAAAATGCACTTAAAATATGAAACAATATAATGCTTTTGTTGTCTTTAAAAGGCCACTTTTATGTTGTCTTGCTACATCTTCTGATCTTACTTTTAGTCGAAAGATGAAAATACCTTTAATGAAACACTCAGACATAAGTGTTAAAAAAATATTGTGCCTTAAAAATGTTAAAACAATGCCAATATAAAGCATTGAGTGGAAATTCCTGTTCCGGAACATAAATAAAGTTTATTTTATTTTATTTTATTTTATGATACTACGTTTGTTATCGATAACATTATAACTTGCAATAAACCAAAAAATAAAGTACTAAATAAAATAATAAAACAACAGCAAAAGGGAAAAAATTGGAGACTTATTGTAAACCACTAGGTAAATATTGACGTTCGTTATATGATGAGTAAGATCATTATTTTTAAATGACTTGAAACATTGATTTCTAACAAAACAAAAAAAGGAGAGAAAGAAATTTGCTTAAAATGTGTTTTACAAAGTAGTAAGCGAAACGAATTAGATTTGCAACACTAGTTTCGCCTGTTTATTTAAAATCAAATATCAATGCAAAAACATTAAACAAAATACACTCTGGCTCCAATATCTGTTCAGTTATCAGAGGCGTCGACTTTTGATGTCATTTCAGTGGTTTCATACCAGTTTCAGAGCTCACCATTCAACCAGTTTTCCAGCTCTCACAACTGTTCTTTACTTAATCAAAATAAAGCTGATAAAGCTGTCTGAAAAAAAGCGTGCTGTAACTCCTACTATATTGGAACTCATTACTGAAAAGTTTGCCTGTCTCCAGCTTTCGCTGCATTCGTTTCGCTTCTCATTCATGATTAAGACAACAAAAATGTTAGCTATCCTTAAGGCTCACCCCTCCCCCCCCCCTTTCCCTTCCCCCCTCCCACCTCCGATGCCGTTTGACAATGCCCTTAAGCCATAACCTGGTCTCTTCTTTTCGTTCATTCTTTACACATATTTGGGTGACAGGTGGCTGCTATGAAAGCGAAATTTAACTTCAAAAGCGACGCAACGTTGAGATCACATTGGTTTTTCGCACTTTTTGAGCTTACGTAGGCAACAGTTCTGAAAGCAGTTAATGAATATCATTATCGTTATTATTATCTCGCAGTATGAGACTATGGAATGCTGTCCACATTATGAGTAGTATAGGGTGTATAACGTAACCTACTCCACTTGAGAAGGTATACTTAGAAGTAAAAAAAGGTCGGTACGAAACCTAATACGATCCCAATATACATAATGATATGAATCTCTCTACTTAAAAAGCCAATTTAGAATATTATTAAATTCTTATACTCTGTAATACCTAAGCAAAGGCATGATGATGATGATGATGATGATGATGATGATTATTATTATTATTATTATCATTATTATTATTCATAATTATGACACTTGTAAATGCAAAATGTAGTTTTTCACGCCTCCACCGTTTTGTCAATCTTATCATGTTTGCGGAGAACATTGATATCTGCTCTAGGCTCATTAATTCACATTTCAGACTTTCTTAAATCAAACCTTTACTGTAAACTGTTCATGATTCCTTCATGTTCCCCAGTCTTTGAAATCGTTATCTTGTTTAATTATTACTCAACCGATACCTGCCCGACCGTAAATTTCTCCTTGTCAATCTATTATCAGCCAGACTAGAGTTGTCACAGAAAACGAGAAAAATGAAAGAAAAAGTCAAATTAGAGTTCATTAACTGAATAGTTTAAAAAAAAAAATGCAAAAACGGTCTAAGTTCTCCCAACGGTAATTTTAGGTTAATAGCCGAGAAAACTGAAGATGATGTGTAGAGAATAGTGTAGTGCTGAAGACCATAAATTAAATAGGCCAAGCTAACTAATTTTAAATAGTTTCAGTAATTCTTTTGTTTTGTTATTCTTTTTACTTTTTTTTTTGTTTTCATTTTTATATGAGGACGCCAGTTATTGCATCTTCCCTTTTAAAGCCATATCCCCCTTGTGTCAATTAGGATAAAGCATTTTTTAGCTTAATTTTTTTAAAAATTTGGACTCTGAGGGGACCTATATGTGTTGTGAGTTAGATCTTTTATAGTCCAAACACAATTAAAAATACTTGTCATGATTCACATTTTCATTTTACATAAATTAGTAGAGCACTGTTAAACAAAAAATTACCAATTAATTCGAATCTCCATTGATTCAAATGTATTTTTAGGGTTTTAATTTAAAATTTGTCGTGTCATATCCCAATTGAATTAAAGGCTCTTATTAAATGACCGGTCGTGATAAAATGCACGTGAAATATGAAACAATATAGAGCTTTTGTTGTCTTTAAAAGCTACTTTTATGTTGTCTTGCTACATCTTCTGATGGTACTTTTAGTCGAAAGAGGAAAATACCTCAAACATAAGTGTTAAAAAAATATTGTGCCTTAAATATTTTAAAACAATGGCAATATAAAGCATTGAGTGGAAATTTCTAGTCCTTGAACATTAATAAAGTTTATTTTATTTTATTTTATTTTATGATACTACGTTTGTTATCGATAACATTATAACTTGCAATTACCAAAAATATAAATTACTAAATAAAATAATAAAACCACACCAAAAGGGAAAAAATTGGGGACTTATTGTAAACCACTAGGTAAATATTGACGTTCGTTATATGACGAGAAAGATCATTATTTTTAAAAAAACTTGAAACATTGATTTCTAACAAAAAAAAGAAGGAAAGAAATTTGCTTAAAATTCTTTTTACAAAGTGGTAAGCGAAACGGATTAGCTTTGCAACACTGGTTTCCCCTTTTTATTTAAAATCAAATATCAATTCAAAAACATTAAACAAAATACACTCTAGCTCCAATATCTGCCCAGTTATCAGAAGCATCTACTTTTGATGCCATTTCAGTGGTTTCATGCCAGTTTCAGAGCTCACTATTCAACCAGTTTTCCAGCTCTGACGACTGTTATTTACTTAATCAGTCGAAATTCTTCATAACATAGATCGGCCTGATGTGTGCGCCACATTCACCTACGTGTTGATATAAAATAGATTAAGCCAATATTTGAAGTGTTTTTTGTATATGTATCATTAATAACAAATAATTACAAGTAACACAAGGTCTCTGAGTTGCAGAGGTATCCACAAGGAAGTAACTGTTAATGAGAGACGGGCTAACTTATATTTAGCTGTGGGTATTCAGGATATCCAGTATCGCTTTAAGTTCTACTTAATATTGAATAAATGTAGGAAAGTGTATTCTGATCAGCATTCTCCAGTTTATTTCAAGTGCTCTTCAGGATTTACGCAACCATTTGGCACTCAGAATTATTAAGAACAATATTGATGTTATTGGAACAAATAAATGAGCCGCAACTGGTGCTGCAGACCTCTATAAAGCAGGTAGCTTTTCACTGAATTCGAGTCACTTCTCTTCCAGAGCGGTGAGGTGAAGACTAAGAGCGCAAGAAACTACTCTAACACAATGGCTCGTCTTTTGCTACTTTTTGTTGCTGGGATGATTTTCGCAGCTCATGCATCCATTATCCCAGGGGTAAGTTATTTTTTAAAACTCGACTATCTACGAAACTTGTAAAACTGTACGCATGGTGCCACGAGTTAAAAGAACTATGTTATAACACTTTGTTAGCCTCTAATGTACTACCAGCAAAAACAAAAACAGAATAGTAGTTTTTCCTAACCCTTTTTTCTTAAATGATTTATTTCTGGAGCCAGTTTGCATGGCATCTTCCTTATAGGGCGCGGCCCTTTCAAGATTAAGAATTGTGATCATGTTCAGCCACATCTCTGTACTGATTTAAAAACTTTGCTAAACTCAAAAGTGACGCAGCACCTTTAGTGCAGTAAGAGCATTCAAAGCACATATCAGTGCTAAGCAAATGTACCTGTGCATTAATTTTTCGAATGTCTGCACTCTACAGGATTCGTTGTCGGAGAATGAAATGCCTGCAGAAGGTTAGTAAATTTTAAGATTGTTGAAATAAAATAAACTCATTTTTTTGCAGACTATGCTTATAGTGGTAATTAATTTTTCTTTTTTTTGTTGATTGTTATTTTAATGACGATATGGACGAAAATGAAACAGAATTGGGCGAAGAAGACTTTGACGACGGGGAAGACTCAGATGAGATGCCAGAGGAAGGTAACAAGTATTTGTATAGCAACAGAAACCTTTAGATTAGTGTTTACTGTACTAAGTAGTCAGTGCGAGTGAGCTACCGTCATGCTGGCGGGAAAACGCGATAGCTGGCGTCATTATTCTACCACAATTTTTAACATTAATGTCGTAGTGATGAAAACAAGTCATCAAATGTTAGAAGTTTTATCATTTTGCGATCAGAAGAGGGCTTAACCTCCTTCAATAAAGAAAAACGCGCTAGCTTGTCTGGTGAAAAAAGTGTAATGAAGCTTTTCGGGCTGTTTATTTTTGAAAAGTACGCGAAAATACTCTAAGTGATACCTTGTCCTTGTAGTTTTCCTAGTCCTCGAAAGTTCTCTATTGCTGTTTTTTGACACAATGAATAAAGAAGAGTCTTGTAAAAGCTATTGTTGTTTCTTAATATTTGATTCTTTTTCCAAAGTAGGCAAGGAGGTAGATGAAGGCCAGCCACAAGAAGACACCTCTGATGCAGCCTTGACACCTGGTGAAGGTGAGAGTTACTCTAAATGCAACGCGCACAAAAATAAATTAACCCTCGAAAGTACACACAAAGCCATACCCTCACCGTGGTACAAGGGAGAGTTTGATGGAACCCCTCCCTTGAGTTTTGATATGTTGTAATATTTCGAAAAGAATTTTCCTTCAGTGGGAAGCCGTTCATCTTCTCCACAAGATGAGGTATATTTTGTGAGTGGTAGCGCTGCTGGAGGCCCCAAACACAGTCGCGAACTTGGATTTTACCCGCAGTTAGAAATCTCCTAAATTAAAACAGAGAGAATTGGTAATGTTTTGTGTTTGACATGTAAAATAAAACATAAATAAGCAGTTTTCTTCATTTTATCCACAGGTTTTGCTTTTCTCGTTGAAACATATTGAAAAACATGCATTTTCACCAAAAAAAATGGCTAGGTATCTCGTAAGCATAGTTAATTACTGATCATCACCAAACTTAACTCAAAAGGCGCGCGAAAGAGAAACGGACTGCTGCTGAAAACGTCAGGTGCTGTAGTTTGATTGTCTAAAAAAAACTCACAAAAACTTCAGATGGGCCGGTAACATCAACCCCCTCCCCTCCCCCCTTGTAGTTCCGAGGGTTAAAGGGTAATTTGCAATTTCTTATTATAAAGTACTGCTACACTTGTTCCGATTGAACACCCAAAAACTGCTTAGCAACACGCACTTGGCTCTATTGTAGAGTAATGGGATAAAGTTGAGGAAGAAACCAAACGCCAAAAACCAAACAAAGAACAGGTTGAGACAGTTTATAAAATCACTATCACTAGTTTATTCCAAAACAAAACTGCCTGTAAAACTGGCTCTAATTACAATCTTAACCTATTTACCAGTTAGAAATCGGAGGTCATGGGCTGGACTCCCAAAGTCCTGATTTTGTTCGAAACTGAAAGGCTAGTAGCGCCGATTGATATCTGTTTCGATCGTTTCTTTACATAATAAGTTATTTGCATGATGGTATCATTTTACTAATACTACTACCAGAATTCTTGAGGGTTTTGCTTTCTTATCCAAATAAGATAGAATTAGGGCTTTTGCTATTTAAACCTCACTGGGATAACGAAATTTACATTCGAGGGAAAAAACCATCAAATGAATCTCTTTTCATAGTAGTAAAAACACGTACGTCATCGTGCAAGTGACCTATTATATTTCAGACAGTTAATTAACTTGTGTTCTCCCTAACTCTGTTACAGATGCCAAATGGGTCAAACGTTACAAACCGAGCAAACGTTACTGTTATTACCGCTTCATTTGCCGCTACTGCGTTTATCGCTGGGTCAAATGCAAAGGCTATGGCGGCTATGGTTACCGTCGCTGTCGTTATCAAGTGTGTTCCGGCTGCAAGCGTTCTTGTGTTTACCCATATTATGGCGGTTACAAGAAGAAATGGTGATACTGAAATTTTGCTGTGGCATCGAAAAAGAAAAACATGGAACCCAATCGTCATTTCAACACCTTAAAACTATGTAGTTCTGTAAACTTTTAAAAAGCAAAATAAAATTTTAAACGACTTTGTGCTGTCATCCTTGACCCGTAGAGATCCTATTTAACGCTGAAGCCAGACCACTCCTTAAACGAATCATTAACCCTGTGCGCCTGAAATCATGTGAAAAAGGGTGGCGGTACTCTTGGGCGCTCTAACACAGTTTGTGTCTTGCCCACCAGCATTTTTATATTCCAAGAGTAAATATACCCAGGGACATATGACGCTCTTCAGGTCCGTATTAAACAAAAGAAGCATGGCTGATTTTACTGTCGGGAATATATATATTTTTTACCAATATTTCGAAGGCACGGCCTTTCTTCTTCAGGGTGCTACATACAGTGATGGGGTTGGTGTATTCTTTTGACAGTGTTTTATTGTTCTGGTATCTATCATCAGCTTTTTTACAGTTGTTTTAACAGCCTTGATGATCTTATTTATCCTGTCAATTACCAACCGCTGTTTTATTAAATTATACAACACCGGCCGGTTTTAAAATATCCGGAAATACCCTCCCCCCTCCCCCCTCCAGGAGCAACAGGCTTAAGGTTGCACGCTCGCAAGTGGTAGTCCGAGAGTACTTTGACTGAAGATTTCTCAGAATCCGCTGATTGCATGAGTATTGTATGTCAATTTCTCTCAGATATTCGTGTCAGATCAATTATTTATTGTAAAGGCACGCTGGTCGACTGAACTTTCACTTCGATGAACACGCTGTTTCAGTGGCGAACACAGCGATCGCCAGGTTGTAAACACAGTCGTTCTATTTGGTCTCTTGACCACTGCATCAATATTAAAGCACACCTTCTTCAAATTCTACTAAGACCCTGTTTACATGGAGTGGGGGACCCCGGTCTAGTGGGGTTGGTTTCTTTTGTTTTCACGCTCTGGGGGACACAAAACAAAAGAAACTTACCCCACCAGACCGGGGTCCCCCACTCCATGTAAACAGGGTCTAAGACTCTATGCAACTATAGAGTGTTTTCACTCACGTGGCCAGCATCTATGCTAATTTACTGGAACAAAAGAAAGCGTTACCATAAGAAAAGAGTTCAACTCCCAGAGGACTGGTTTGGGATACCAACATGGCCGCCGTTTCATTGTTTTGGGACAACAATATGGCCGCCGTGACGTCAGTTGAAAACACTCTATTCACAGTTTAACAAACACTAAAGCGAAAATTCAAAACAACTCACCTTTTCAAACATACGTGTAGCAGAAGATCTCGGGGAAACAAAACTAACTGTTTCCCTCGGGATCTGACATTAAGTGTACAATACAAAACGGGCGATATCAATTTATTTTTCAACTTTCTTAAATTATAGTTTACTGTATTCACTTTAAGCTATTCATGATTCTGCCAAGTTCCTGCGGAACAAATAAACTGCTTTGCAGTGCTCAGCACATCAACTTGTTTCATTATTAGTCGTGAGGTAACTGTCCAACAATCAGTTTCTCGGTCTTTACTCGATCAATTATCATACGTACTTTTAATTGGAAAAAGGTTGTAAAAGAAACGAGAAAATGAAAAAATAAAGGAAAAAGGCTAACAGGAGTTCATTTTAGTTAAATAACATGAAAAAATGAAGAAACAATATGTTTTCTCCAATGGTTAATATAATGGAACGGTTAAATGAAGCCCGTTGGGCTCCTTTTTTGTAGGTTTTTGAAGGCACAGTTATCAGTTTCTATTCATCTTATTGCAATAAAAACGTCGCATTCATTTACTCAGTAACTTTTTGTGAAAAGAAAATATAGGATTGTTTGCCGCATCCAGTCTCCTCTATAGCTACTAACTATTGCTCTCTTAACCCTTTAAGTCCCAATAGTGACCAACATCAATTTTCTCCTAACAATATCCATACAATGTCAAGAGATTAGGTTAAGAGAATTAATTAAATGATCACCAAAGAGAAAATGCTTTGATCTTTTATCAAACTCTCTCAACTTACTCTTTAAAGAAATGTATAGAGATCAGTTTGGAGAATTTGCTTGTGGATATTGGGGCTTAAAGGGTGAATGGTTATTGCAGCTTGATAGAGAAAACTCTGAAGACGCTGGTATCCGAGTTTTATCCGACTTTTTCATTTTTAAATAACGACGTTGTTGTATCTACCCTGTCAGAACCTTTTATTTTTTTTCGAAAGCTCTTCCAGTAACCATTTTTCGTCTTTGATGATGAATTCTACCCTCTTTTTAGGCCGAAACATGGCACAAGACGTACACAAGACGTTATTTTTTTTCTTCTTTTTAGTTTAGGCGGACTTGTAGAGCAAAAACGGACTATTACTTTAGATCTCGATCTATTTGATTCTAAGTTTGATGATGTATTTTTAGGGTATCAAGTTACAATTCATCATGAAATATCTCCTGTAAATTAGAAGCTCTCGTGATAGAATGCACGTTAAAGTTGAAAAAATGCATGTTTAAGATGTGTTTAAAAGGTCGCCTTATGTTGTCTTGCCGCATGTTCTGAAGGTGCTTTTATTGGAAAGAGCAAAACTACCTTTCATGAAACACTCAAACGTGAATTTTAAAAAGTATTGTGCTTGAAATACTTCAATTCCAATATGCTACTGAGTGGAAACTCGTGTTCTAAGTATAGCACTATAACTTGCAATATGCCAAAGATAATGATAATACTAAAATAAAATAACAGTAACCGACATAAACTCATAGAAAACCTAACGCAACAACAAATTCAAGAAAAAACACAGGAATTATATATACTAAACCGCTGGGTAAGTATTTGGACAGTTTAGATAACGTACGTTGTTTGATGAGTAACTAAAGATGATTAAACATTGATTTCTACTAAAAATTGCTTACAATTTGTTTTACAAAGTGGCAAGGGAAAGGAATTTGAATGCCTTGAGTTACAGCTAAAGTTTCGGCTGTTTATTTAAAAATCAAATTCCAGTACGAAAAAAATCCACTTTTAACCAATATCTACCAAGTTGTCAGAAGCTCATCAGAAGCATTTTGCTTTCGATATTATTTCGATATTTGCGATATCATTTGGTTTCGTAAGGTTTCACAGCTTACTACATCCAGTTTTAGAAGTTGATTCAGTAATAATCCCCGTGTTCGTCTTTTGAGGCTGCCCTTTCAGTAGAATTTGGAACCGCAGTTTCCGTGAGTGGAAATCTGATGAATAAAAAGTTTTCCACTGAGCAGGAGTGATCTTGAGTTTTACCTGAGTTCTTTATAACACAGACCTCTGAAATGCAAGAATTACTTAGGTGTTAGTATAAAAAGGGTACAGTATGAAAAAATTATTCAGTAAGAAAAAAATAGTTATAAGTGACAAAAATGTTCATGTACCGCAGAGACACTTAACGGGTTGGTTTACTTTTAATTACCCGTGGAGGGTCCGCATACCCAGTATCGCTTTAATATCTTCTTTATGGTTAATTGATATCTTAATATCATAGGTGACGAATTACTCCTTAATTTTGGCGCAAAATTTCAGCGATAATTTGTAATTTCACATGTGAAAATACAAAATTGTCATGGCAACCTTCCGAACGTCGCAGTGTCAAGATGGCGACGAAGTTTTAAAATGTCATGATGGAAGATGCCAGGGCATATAAAGACGCTTTAGAAAACCTGAACACACCAAAGAGCACATCAGGAAGGATTCTAACAGGTATTTTATCGAAAAATTCCAATCTTGAGTCAAATTTAAGCGCTAAACATTCGAGATAGTGAAGTTCTCGATCGATACGATCCAGGATAAACATGTCAAAAATCCAAGATTGCTAACGTAATTCGTCACCCATGATATTAATAGGTAATCAAATAGTATACTTGTGAAATAAGGGAATAATTTCACTTGCGTTTTTTTTTTTTTTTTCAAATCCTTATAATTTCCCGAGCCTTTAAAGGCTCGGGAAATTATAAGGATTTGGACAAAACGCAAGTGAAATTATTCCCTAATTTAACTCGTCACCATTTGATTACACATACGAACCCCCTCAGTATTAGCTGAGATGCTTCATGAAAAGCACTTGAAATGAAACCTATCAGGACTCAAAATTATCATGTAAAAACAATATTGATGTTATTGGAACAAATAAACGTGCTGCAACTCGTGCTCCAGGCCTCCATATTCGTGTCAGTTCTCATCCAGAGCATTAAGGTGGTAAAGACCGCAAGATTCAAACTGCCCTAACACAATGTCTCGTCTTTTTCTGCTTTTTGTTGCTGGGATGATTTTCGCAGCTCATTCATCCCTTATCCCTTATCTCAAGAAACGTTTAAAACTGTACGCATGGCTCCACGAGTTAAAAGAACTATGTCATCACTTTCTTTTGCTTTCTGATTACCCTTTGTTAAAGAGCCTTTTACGTACTACCAGCAGACACAAAAACAGACTAGCATTTTGTTATTGAAACATTTTTCTTTAATGTTTCATTTCTGAAGCTAATTTGCATGGCATCTTACTCATAGGGCGCGGCCTTTAAAAACAAAGAACTGTGATCATGTTCAGTCACATCTTGTACTGATTCAAAAACTGTGCAAGGCTTAAAAATGTATGACACAGCACAGTAAGAGCTTTCAAAGCAACAGTAAAACACATATCAGTGCTAAGCAAAGGTACCTATGGATTAATTTTTCGAATGTCTGCACTCTACAATATTCGTTGTCGGAACTTGGGGAAATAGATGGTGAGGAAACAGCCGATGTGCCAGAGAATGAAATGCCTGCAGAAGGTTAGTAAATTTTTCGAATGTTGAACTAAACGAAACTCATTTTTCAGACTATCAATATGGTGGTTATTAATTTTTTTTTTCGTTTATTGCCATTTTAAAGACGAAATGGACAAGAATGAAACAGAATTGGGCGAAGAAGACTTTGACGACGAGGAACATGAAGACTCCGATGAGATGCCAGGGGAAGGTACCAAGTATTTTTATAACAACAGATACCTTTAGATTACGAAAACAAGATTTTCTCAATACTAAGTAGGAAAAGGAGATACCCGAGGTAATTTTACGACTTCCGCTTTTCATTACGAGAAATTACGCAATAATTAGCGTAAAACGGCGCATAATATTGCGAAGATACGTTCATCAGCGCGAAAAAACAAACATTTGCTCATAAATAAAAGTCAGTTAGTAGGATTTTTGCATTTTAATCAACATTCAGTAACACTTTTGGGCATTCATAAGCGTCATTAGGCATGCAAAAGAGAAAAATATCATCTCATATATCGTCTCAACACATCCAAGTCATACATACCATTCTGAGAGTCAACAGAGACAACAGATAAACGCTAAAGTGCAAATAGTATTTGCTGACATTTTTATGACACTATTTGAAATTCGACAGCATTCCAGGACGGCGTTAGGATGGATAAGAAGACGAACGTTTTATGCGCTTGTACAATATCGAGCGTTCTCTACATTTAATATACAAAAACTCTCCTTCAAAAAAGTAAACGCTTCTGCTTTGCTAGTGAAAAAACTGCGATGAAGCTTCCCGGACTGTTTATTTTTGGAAAATACACGAAAGAAATCTTGTCTTGGTAGTTTTCCTCGTCCTCGAATCTAAAGTTCTCTATTGATGTTTTTGACACAATGAATAAAGAAGAGTCTTGAAAAAGCTATTGTTGTTCTTAATATTTCTTTTTACAAAATAGGCGAGGAGGTAGATGAAGGCCAGCCACAAGAAGACACCGATGATACAGTCATCGCTCTTGGTGAAGGTGAGAGCTACTTTAAATATAAAGCACAAAAATATTAATTAATTAATTAATTAATTAAACCTCGGAAGTACATGTACACACAAAGTCATATTCTCACCGTTCTACAAGGGGGGGCTTGGCGTTTATGGAACCTCTCCCTTGAGTTTTTGATATGTTGCAGATTTTGCCTTCATATTGAAAAGCCTTTCATCTTCTCAACAAGATGAGCTATAGTGCTGCTGGAGGTCTATGACGTCCCCAAAAATGGTCGCCATCTGGGCCGCCATGTTGGATTTACCCAGAACTAGAAATCTCTTAAAAACGGAAAGAATTGGTAATTTTTTGTGCTTGACGTGTAAAATAACACATAAATAAGTACTTTGCGTCATTCTACCCACAGGCGTAATTTGATTTTCTAGTTGAAACATGTTCAAAAACATGCACTTTCACTAAAAAAAATCAACCACCTACAATGACGTCATATCTGGAAACCATAGTTATTGATCATCACCAAACTTAACTAACAATTCGTGCGAAGGAGATTACGGACAGCTGCTGAAAACGCCAGAAGCTGATGTTTGTTTGTCTAAGAAAAAAGTCATCCACCCTCACCCCCTTGTACGTCCGAGGGTTAAAGGGTTAGAGTACTGCTACACCTGCTCCGATCGAGTACCCAAAAACTAATTAGCAACAAGCAAATAGCTCTATCGTGGAGTAATGGGATAAAGTTGAGGAAAAAAACTTACGCCAAAAGCCAAACAAAGAACAAGTTGAGACAGTTGATAAAATCACTATCATTAATTCATTTCAAAACGAAGCTGCCTGCAAAAGGCTCTAATTAGATTCTTAACCTATTTACTAGTTAGAAATCGTAATGTGGAAACCGAAAACCTGGTAGCATCGATTGATATCTGTTTCGATCATTTCTTTACATAATAGGTCATTTGCATGATGGAATCATTTTACTACTACCATAATTCTTCACGTGTTTGCTTTCTTGATGAAGATTAGGACTTTTGCTCTTTATACCTCACTGGGATTACGGAATGGAATTCAAGGGAAAAACGAAATGAATTCCTGTTCCTAGTGGTAAAAAGACGTTATCGTGCAAACGACCTATTATATTTAAGACATCATTAATTAACTTATGTTCTCCATAACATCGCTGCAGATGTTAAAAAGAGCAGTCGTCTGGGTTATTATCGTCACCACTGCCGCTTCTGCACTTATCGTTGACACAGATGCAGACGCCGTCGTTATCGCTCCTGTCGTAATCACGTGTGTTACAACTGCAGGCGTTTTTGCATTTACCATATTATCGCCGTTACCGTACGTAAAAGTTAAGTTGTGGCATCCAAACTGAGAAAAACAAAGAAAACAGCATTTATTTCTACAGCTAAAGACTGTCCAGTTCTGTAAATGCTAAAAACGAAAAATAAAAACGTTAAACGACAGTGTACTAACATTTTTAACTAAATGCTTTTAACGCAGATGCCAGACAACTCAATCTTTAAACTAATCATAAACCCTTTTTCACGTGGGTTTTTTTCGTTTCCTTCCCTAGGCTGCAAATATCCCCTCCCCTCCCCTGAATAAACAGAGTCCTTAATATAAGGGCCCATATGCTATGCTATGATCATGATAATTCAATTAAAGTTCTTTTCACTCACGCTTTTTTGCAAGAATACCTCTAGAAGGGTCTCTCAGGGTTCATTTAGATAGTACCAGCCAGTAACACTTTTGCTTTTACCTTTTATTTTTAAAGGAGCTGTGTCACGGCAGTCCAGTTCATTTTGTTTTATTTAGCAATTACTTGCCCTCAATTACTATGGAACTTAAAGTAGGCAAAGAAATTACATGTAAATGACAAAATCAGAGATTAGAGACAAACAAATATGTCCCCTGAACACAGCTCCTTTAAAGTGCTTAAAAGTGCTTTTCAGAAAACTCTTCAACCATGCATGTCAATGGCATCTAAAATTGTTTTAAACAATATTGATTTTGTTATGAAAGATATACGTGCCGTGGCTGGTGTCTTAGACCTCAATAAAGCTAAATGAAAGGTGTCACCACATTCGCGCAATAGTGAACCCTTACGACTGCAAGAAACTATCCTTAAAAAATGGCCGGTCTTTTGCTGCTTTTTGTTGCTGGGATGATTTCACAGCTCATGCATCCATTATCCAAAACCTAATGTAAGTTTAATTTTATGACTTTTAAAAGTCAACTATCGCAGGAAGTTATTAGTTATTATAAGTCTGCGTTAGCTGTTTCCTATGATTGTGAAGACCCACGTTCGTTTTAAAATGTAATAGAGCTCGTCCCTTGTCTCGTCCAATAACTTGTTGTGTGTAGCTGTAGTACCATTTTTCTTGAATCGCTGTGTTTTTTATTATTTTTTGTTTTTTTATTAGTATCCGGGCCCCTGTAATTGGCCACAGCTGTTGCGGTGTTCCTGCCAATGTTCTTTCTTTTTGTTTGTTTGTTTTTTTGGCGAAGCTAACAAAAAAATCAATTTATCTAAGCTAGAAAATTATGGTATTTTATCTGACAAATTTGCTTCTGAATCTTATCCTTTCTGGAGCTAATTTGGAGTTTAGGAGGAATGGCTCTTTCAAAACTAAAATCTGTGACTAAATGTTCAACGTAACGGCTATTCTTATTTAGAAACCATTTAAACATTGCCTCGAAAAAAAAAACGCATTTTTTTTACCATGGCAACACCCAACATACAAAGCGTGTAAAATTAACGTGACGCTTTCCCTTGAGATATAAATGGAATCTATATAATACTGTGAACATTCAGGGCACAGACCATGCAGTAATAACTAAATATCGAGTAATTTCTGCAGCTTTCATTTTCGGAACCAGAGCAGATAGATGTTAAAGATAAAGCCGATCTTGGCAAAATACCTGGAGAAGGTTAGAAAATTTCAAATCGAGTTATGGCCGCCGTTTTTGATAGATTGCGAAGTGTAATAGTGATGAGTTTTGTTTTTTGTTTGCTTGTTTGCTTTTTTCTTCCTATTTTCATTTTAATGGCGAAGATGACTGTAAGATGTGAAAAAGGTTTTCAGTGAGCATCACTAAGTCCTGAGAAAGCCAATAATCATTTCTTCATATAATTTTATGTAAGGCATAATTAATTGCGGGCGGCCAGAGGAGCTTGCAATTCTTATCTCCATGTCGCCATTACGCAAGCGTCGCTCGTTTGTTGCCAGGGGTCACTTTTATGAAACTTTCACGAGTTGAATTTACAGGTGTCGCTATTGCTATAGAGCTGGAGTCTGGAAACAATAGCTATATGTACGCTTGTGAATTACACTAAAATTTTATTGTATTGACCAGTATAATGTATGTTTAGACTTTTAGCGTTTGGACCTTCTATCACTCGTAATACAATTACGCGCATTTTGACCTTACATCACGGAGATTTATGCAAAGCACAACGTTGGAACAACAGCGTTTTGACATTCGATCGATCTCGCCCGCACTCCCTATAACCCTTTCGGTATCGCTTACAGTATTTACTCGTCTCAAATACTGTGCTAATGCGAGGGCGGCGTTTATTTGAAACTTTGGCGCGACAAAGAATTGTTTTCATTACTGTGTTATAATTTTCCGTCTTACAATAATAGTATTAACGTCTTTTGATTTTGATTATATCTAACCTCAGCTGTGGCGCTTACTAACTTGTTTGTCAAAAATGTAGCGCTGATTTGAATACATATGATATGTACATTAGTCATATTCTTCATATTTTCTTGCAGATGCCAAACTGACGAGACCCTATCATCCCCGTCATTATCGTTACCTCTGCAACCACTGCATTTTTTACAGATGCGGTCCTCACCGACGAACTCGTTGTGGCTTTCAAAAGTGTTACGGTTGCAGACGATTCTGCTATTATGGATAAAACTTCTGCAATATCATGGGCATGCCAGTCTACAAAATCTCTTAGTTGGGTCGAATAGATTAAATCTAAAATTCTGTAAACCTGGAAACAAATCAGGGAGGGAGTTTTATTGTTGAAGTAATATATCAAACATGAGATGCAGTGTTTCATCACCAGATGAAACACCGAGAAGAGAGTTGAAAAATACGACGCGCTGCGGAGTATTTTTGACGAACTTCGAGGTGTTTCATCTGGTGATGAAACACTGTGTCGAATGTTTGATATTTCTTCTCAAACAAAATCATTTTTGAAGGAGAAATTAAGGATGCAAATACTAAGCAGCGTTTCATCCGATTTCCAAACACTCATTAAACATTAATTTCCTTTGTATTTTCTTAATGAATTATTAATAAGTTTGAGAATACTTTATTAAGTGTTTGCTGTTAGACTGATATATTTGACGATTGTTTTCAGCTTCATTTACTAACAGAAGCAAAAAGGACAATAAGTTTTCATAATAAAATTATTACAAACAAATTAGATGTAATTGAATAAAATTATTACGCTAGAACTAAATAGAAAAGATCATAAAGTATTTTTCCGTACTGGTCGAAAAACAAAAATGCAATAAACGTGCAAAAAATTAAAGCAGAACAAGAAAAAGACAAAAAGATGAACAAGTCAAGACAGGTTATTTAACTAAAAATTAAAATGATGTTTTGTTGTTGTCGTTGTTTTGTTTTGTCGTTGTTTGTGTAATAAAAACACACCTGGCTTTCCTTTTTCGAGGATATGTCCTACATGTCAAATCACATGTACATCACATGGATTTTTATGAATTTTTCGAAAGCACGTGGAATAGGTTCGCGCTTACTCTGACATTCTTACATTTTAATAATTAATTATAAAATGCTAGTGCCAAGAGGACAAACACCAGGTAATCATTCATACAAAATTTAGTCTTTGCCACTTGACATTGTTGACCCCACCCATAGGCAACATTTAATCCAAAAAAGGGTTTATCTTCACTGGTGGCGTTTTTGAACACCGTTCCGATTGCCTGATAACCTTAATGAATGCACGTGGCTGTGAACTTCTTCTAATAGTAGATTCATATCGCCCATTAACACATTTGCTTCAGAGTCAAGTTCAAGGAGGTCATACTCTCACTGCTTCAAGGTAAAAGCTTTAGTTCCTTTTCATTGTTTTGCTTTATCAGGATTCCATTTAAGTAATTAAAAGAAAACAGGTCATTTCATTAGGTACACAGTCATGCTTTTAAAATCCTTATAGAAATCAAAAACGAATTAAATTATATCACTCTGTAACGGGGAAACCAAAGGAGGAAATAGACCTATTAGGCTAAGTCAATGTGGTACCTAATTTAAACCCTTTGGGAATAAAAAGTTTGTTTCAGAAATTTCCATATCATTTAAATGTGCCCAGAATGCCACGTTGTAATGCAAATACAATACGCAAAGAATCTTAACCCCGGGAGACTTGAATTGGGTACAACACTGAGTTAGCCGAATAGGTCTATACATCAGAATAGTCGGATGAACATTATCTGAGAACTTAAATATTCAGACATTTTGACACCGAGATGTGGGTTTATAAAACAAGGCGCTGGCAAGTTTCTAAGTCCGACTTTGAGATATCTGCATATCGGTTGAAACACGGAGTGGAGTGGAGTGTTTTATAGTTTCTCAAATGAACAATATAATAGACCTTGTCACATTATTCTTTTCTTTCCCTTAAGGAGTGCCTTAAAATTGAAAAACTTACGAAGTCTAAAGGTGATACGTCGAAAGTCAGCGATGATATAGCTTTACACAGTTAGGGCCTGATTACAAGGAGTTGGGTGACCCCAGGTAGGTGAGGTAACCTGCTTTGGTGGGTAATCCACCTGTCCATATAATCTCTCATTTTAATTTGATCACGTTTACATGATAGGTGGGGTGACCCGCCGCATGTTACCTCACCTATCTGGGGTCCCCACCTCCATGTAAACAGGCCCTCACTGGAATTTCACATGCAGTGGAACGTGCCCCTCAACATACAAACTTCTGTAAAGTTCCGCCACTTTGCGGGGCTATATTTTAAATTTTTTTTCAATAAATCACTCTCAAACTTTGCACTTTTACTGTTTTCAAGGCGTTTTTCCAGCCGAGTTGACGAGTTTTCGCTGGTCGCAGTCAAAAGTTGAAAAAAAAAATACTTGGGAGAGTCTTTTCTTACAGAAATTCAACTGAAATCTAAAGTTCGCAAAAACCGATAGAGAAATCCAAACCAGTGTTTCGGTAGTATTTTCTTTGTTTTCTGTTCATGAATTATTAGTGAGGTTGAGGAAAAACATGGTCCATAATTTATAATTTCTCAATAGCTCACAAAAGACAAAAAAATGGCTACGGGTATATGATTTTATAAGCAGCTTATTGTAAAATTTCAAAAATGAAACGATTACATATTTCAATAAAACATAAAACCCGTAATAATAATACAGTTCAGATAACGCTGAAGAACATTTTTAATGGGTTTGCAACACTGTGAATAAACCAACATGGGCAACGAAGAGAAAATGCGCTTTTACACAATTAAGAAATTGAAAATTAGGACATGGTTCACCTTGAACCACCTACCGTAAAACACCTGCCCCTTCCCCCTCAACCTTTTGTTCTTCACAGGTGATTATGCTGTAAACTGCCTTGGCGATTCAGATTCTGGTGTTTTTATTGCATCTAGCTGTATTGTTGATTGGAAAAGCTTCCCTTAAACTTGATACTGAATATATATTCAGTCACGATACCCGGTTAAAGGAGTTATTGGGATAATAGGGATATGAATTCCCCAAAATAATTTAAACATCTGTAAAAAAAAAAAGGAGAAGAAGAAGAAGGAGAAAGAAGAAAGAAGAAAGAAGAAAGAAATAAACAAAAACAACAAAAAAAACTTCGGTTTTCACAACTTGATCCAGCTTGTTTATTTGTGGCCAAGAAGCAAACACGTTTGTACTTTTTAGCGAAATTTAAAGAATGTTCATTCAATATATTTTGTGGCCGTTTGCGTTTGTTTGGGGATAGTAACATTAACCGTTCAAGTCAAAGACCCAAGAGTGACTTTCAAGGGTCAACTTTCTCCTGTTCAAGGCACAAGGGTAACTTTCAAGAGTCAACTCAGTTTTCCTAACAATATCAACACATAACTACGAAGGAGAAGCTTGTGAGAATTTTGATTAAGTGGTCACCTAAGAATAAATGCTTTGATCTTATATCAATTCTCTCAGATGGAATCTGCATCACTGACAGTGTTGTCCGCCATCTTGAAAAACGTGTCACGTGATACCGCTTACGTCATGGATATGCGTGCAACACCAAGCTGGCATTGGTACTTAGGCCGATCCTGGAGTCCACGCACTCACACGGTAGTATAAACCAGTTGAATTTATCTGACTTTTCTACAGAAAGCTAATAAATGTCGCGAAAAAAGTAAAAATTAATTTAAAAAATACTTTTAAAAAATCAAAAGTTGCCCAGAATTTTAAAAGTTGGCAAAAATCGCAAAAGTTGCTTAAAATCTGAAAAGTTGCAGAAAAGTTGCCGAACAACTTGTGGCTAAGCCAAACAAGAGGCACATGCAACAACTCACGGCCAGGCCAGTAACTCACGCAAGCGCACAGCCAAATCACCCGGGGAGTGGCAGCCATGGACAGCTGTTTTGCCCTTATTTAGGCTCATCAGCATACCATTGATGTCCATGGCTTCTACCGCCCGGGTGATATGGCTGTGGGCATGCGTGAGGTACTGGCCAGGCCATGGGTTGGTGTTTGTGTGCCCGTTTCTTTACGTTTGTCCATTTCTTTACCCTCATTTTGTACGATGATAAGGTTGATATCACGATTGTAATGATCGCTATTGATGCAGTCACTCACTTTCACTTGTTTGTCTCATTTTCCTAGGAAATGTGGTTCTATAATGAAATCTTTTCTGTGTTCATATTCTCTCTGGTGTTCCTGTCGGCGCAGAGCAAACACAAATACAAACACAAGAAGAAGGACGCAGTCAGTAACGGAGGTAGTGTTAGAAATTTTTGCTCCATGCTAAAACATCAACTGAGCATTCTCGTCCACTGAGAGGCGGTGATCGTTTTGGTTAAAGATTCAAATGGATCGTGGCCTCTGAGGACGACAAATTTATAGACCTACAACCCACTAGCAGGATATGCACGTTAGAATTCCTCACAACCCTAAAAGCAATCCAGTTTCTTCCTAGCTATAGTTATCGTTCCTCAAGTCCGTCGTCTCTCTGAAGAAACGTTATTTTTACTCAACTTGCATGGGGCAACCAAGAGAATCGTTTTCCTTCTGCGGTTGACTATTTTTTCTTTTCACAAAAAAACAAGTAGCCTTGGCTATACTAGCTATTTTATACAGTATTTATTTATTTAATTGTATCGTCTTCTAGTATCTTCTAATACTTGCTGTTTGAGTTTTCTATCCATTTTGAAGTGTTACATCCTTTGATTTGACTCTCCTTTTTTTCCGACTCCCACGCTCCTCTTTGCCCATCCACCGTCTCTTGTTAGCATACATTAAGTGCCTCGTCACTGCAGATGTAAAGGCAAATAACAGATTGTTGAAGAGGGATCCTGAATCCGCATTCCCGCTACTTTTTCACGAAAATCCTGCATCCCAACGTGTGTCATCTCTCTCCGGAAAACCACTTTCTTTCCCTGCAGTTCCGCATCTCGTGCCAAGATATTGGGGAATCCCTCTTCCCAAGCAGCGGTCGAATCCCATATCCCGTCAATAAATTTTTCCTTTTCCCAAATCGCGCACTATATTTCGGGTTAAATCCCGGATCCGGGGATACCCCTTCCATATCCTGAAATATGTCAATTTTCTAAGTTTTTGGAACCTATACTTCATGATTAGCAATTCAGCACACATTGTTATTAAACACGACACCTTTTCCATCGTTTTATAGAACATTCCGAATGCCAGCAAGCACTGGGTATGGAAAGTGGTGATATCTTAGACAGTCAGCTAAGTGCATCTTCGGAGGGTCAATGGACGTTAGATGGTGAGCCATTTTTAATGTCTGCAAGTAACGGCAGACTAAATAATGATGGTTTGGCGTCGTGCTGGGAATCTGCCACAAACGATGAACATCAATGGCTACAAGTACAACTCGGTGAATATTACGTCAATGTTACACGCATAGCAACACAAGGGTGCGGTAGAGAAGAAGAATGGGTGACCTCATACAAGCTTCAATATAGTAACGATGGAGTGAATTTCCAGTACTACATGGAAAAAGGACAAAATACAGAGAAGGTAAGCATAACATACTATAAATCACGACGATAACTAGATTTGGTTGGTTATTAAACAACAAATGGATAAGGCTCAGAATGATATGAAGGGAGAGGGTTGTTATACGCCGACGTCAATCCTGTAGAATACATTATGGCTATGGATCATTAACGACCGGACGGAAAGAGAGAGGGAAGAAGGACAGTCTGATCGCAGGTTAATGGAAAATCCGTTCGTCAAACACAGATCAAGAATAAAAGGCCTAAGCCACAGTGGAGGTTAAAAGAACTTGGGAAAGCTGTAATGACTTTTCCAAGTAATTGTCACACATGAAACTATTTCTAAAAAAGTGATCATTCTTTGATCGGCTTTTGCTTCATCTCTTTTTTATCCGGGCACCACTTCCCCTAACCAATAACCAATAACCCATTAAAAGCCCGCTTTACACGACAAGCGTTTTGGGAACGGGCCCCGCCTATTTCCCTTTCGTAAACAGTCGTTGCCATTTTTAACTGTCGACGCCACCATTGGTAACCAAGCCTTTAGTCCTGTTAGATGTACTATATTCCCTGTATTAAGTTATAATAACGCAAATAGTACGTTTCCGAATAGTATTGGAAACAACCCGTTGATGCGAATTGCAAGATGCAAATTTCGCGCGTTTTACGACGCATGCTCTGTTGCCAATATTCCCAGTCCATTTGTATGGAAAACCCGGTAATTTCGGGGAGAATTAAAATGGAACGGTTCATCCGGGTGTACATTTTCCGGAGAAAAAATAATACCTTTCGAGGTATTACCTATTTCCCGTTTTTAACAAAACGACCGAAATTTCTTGTACCATTTTTTCTGCTTAACAAGGCTTCCTTTTGTTGCGGAAGGTGATTTGTTTTAACCCATGCACTCTTGCTCATACAACCGCTGTACACTACACACTTTTGCAAATGGTAGTCGTGCAGTGGACGTCAAAGGAATGTACTAAAAAGCGTGATGCATGTGCAGACCTGTTGTTTTGCTCATAAAACCATTGTTTTTTGACGTTGTCGTCGTCGTCGTCGTCGTGGTAGTTATTTGAACTTCGCTAGTAACAACGCCAGTGAGAGACTCAGAGAGCGAATTATTTCAACGCAGTTTAGTCAGTGTTTAACAAAACGGCGTTCTAAGCCATTTTCAATTGGTCCAATATTTTTATCTAAACACCATTTATTGTGAAAAGTTTTAGCATATAGAGTAGACAAGAAAAGCATTTATCTTCTTAAAATACCCCATAAGGAAGAGACCTGGGGGTCCACAGATTTGTTAAACCGCACGCGGCTTAAGTTGGATCATTTAACAGAATTTTGCCGCACTAGCTTTATCGCATTTACTAACGACATGCATGGTTTCCATTTTTTTTTAGTTATATAGCATCGCTGAAATTTCTTCATCTTGGACATTTTACATTTTGTAGCTTATCGTAACCACATCAGCCATTGTTATATAGCTGGAAATTTCTTCCCAACGCGCGCTCTCATTGGTTACTTCGAGGTCACATGACATCTAACAATGAAACTATTTCCCGACAAAATCTCTGAGCGGGCAACGTTGTGTGACGTGAGGTGGTAACAATGCACTGTTACCCACGAATGTTGACGGACGACCGCCGTTACAGCGAGGTTTAATGAATTTTCAGCTTCAAAATTTCCAGCTATATAACAAATCACTGAGATTCTCGGCAAACAAAATTAACTGTTTCCCTCGGGAGCAGTCATTAAGTGTTTAATTCACTACTTTGACATTAACCATAATACACCTTCTTTACTCCCCAAAACTTTGCATAAGTATTGTTCTCAAGTTCCCTTGGGACGATTGTAAATCCAAAGAGAAATTGAAAACAATGCAAGGTGTATTATGGGAATGTGCAAGTAGCGAAAGTTCACTAAGCTTTGTCAAACTTTTACGTGTAGGTTTTCACCGGCAACGCAGATAGTAATCTAGTGGTTTCCCATAACCTTAATCCACCACTTAGGGCAATGTATCTCCGCTTTCGACCAGTGGCCTGGGAGCTTCGTATAGCAATGAGAGTTGAGCTATATGGCTGTAAAGGTATTACATAGAGTGTTTTATTATATACCAACGAGTAGTATAACGTAAAATATTCCACGAGTGACTTGACTTGTTTGGTACACCCTCGAGCCCTTAGGCGAGTGTTTAAACAAAGAAAAACCAAGTCACGAGTGGAATATTCACGCAAGCTATACACATGGCGACCAAGGGAATCGTTTCACTCTGCAGTTCATTTATTTTTTCACCAAAAATAAGTTTTTGATATTAATAACAATGCTTTTAAGACAATTGCTGATAATTTATTCAAACAATCTACTTATATCACCCGTTTTAGAATAATTAATTTCTTTAGTTATTTAAGCCTGTGTGTTAGTAGCGCTCTCGCTTATAAATTTGTCTATTCCAAGCTTGTATTTTTTAATATAAGTAACCTCTGAGTTACTAGCTACTTTAAATAGTGTATATTTTTTTATTTTCTATTTCTTTTATTGTTTATTCCACCCACACGCACCTCCTTGGCTATTCACATTCTGTTGTTAGTAAGCATAAGCGAATCGTGACTGTATATATACATACGCAAAAAAGGCAAGCACGTTTCCAGTTCTGAAAACTGTTTAGTTACTTAGCACACCTCTTCATTGAACATCGCCTTTATAACATCTTTGTTAACATTTTATAGAACAGCCAGAATGCCAGCAAGCACTGGGGATGGAAAGTGGTGATATCTTAGACAATCAGCTAAGTGCATCTTCGGAGGGTCAATGGACGTCAAATGGTGAGCCATTTTTAATGTCTGCAAGTTATGGCAGACTAAACAATGATAGCTTGGCATCGTGCTGGGAATCTGCCACAAATGATAATTATCAATGGCTTCAAGTTCAATTCAGTGAATATCATGTCAACGTTACACGCGTAGCAACACAAGGGTGCGGATCCCAGGAAGAATGGGTGACTTCATATAAGCTTCAATATAGCGACGATGGAGTATATTTCCAGTACTACATGGAGGCAGGTCAAAATACAGAGAAGGTAAGCATAACAAACACCCGGGGAGGGGGGTACTGCCATATATGGACTATATAGGTATGTGCCGCTCTGAAGGGTATGGTTTTCAAGCAGTTTACTCTAGAATAGGGTATATAAATCAGAGCGTTTGGGTCTAGAATATTAAACAATTATTGGATAAGGCTCAGTATGATATAAAGAGTTTTTCAAGTCGAGGGGGTTATTATATGCCGAAGTCAATCCTGTAGAGCACGTTATGGCTATGGGTGATTAAGGAACATTAAGTGATAATTTTTTTGTGAGTTACTGAGGAAAAAAAACTTACTGCGCTTGAATGTCGAAGGAAAATTAACCTGCGATCAGGAGTTCTTTTTTTCCGTCGGGAACGTTAAAGTCGGCGGAGGGGAGGAGAAAGGGACTTTTGAAGGACCCGTTGATAGCTGGTTAAAGGAAAATCCGTTCGTTGAACTCAGATGGAGAATAAAAAGCCTAAGCTACAGTAGGGGTCAAAGGAACTTGAGAAAGGTGGAAAAACCCAACTGTTACACACAATTCTGCTCTTAAAAAAGTAACAATTCTATGATCGGCTTTGGCTTCATCCCTAGCAATGTTGCGCTCCAAAAAGGGCTCATATCCGCTCATCACTCGGATTTAAACCCATTTCGCTCAAGTTCTAATTTTACGTTTTTCCTGGCCGATTTTGGTAAAGTATTGTGTTCATCTGCGAACGAGCTCCAGCAAAACTCAAATGCTTTTTCCAGAGAAGAATATATTCCACAAATATTGACTGTTTTGTTATACATTCATCGCGTTTACATTTGACCTTTGTAGCCTTTTGTATTTTGTCTGTCATTCGTAAACAATACCTAAAACAATGTACCTACTCCGTCGTCCAATCAGCGTTTATGATTCCGGATTCCGGACAGATTGTACGTAATCAGTATGGAATTCCGTCTCCGAGCTCGTAGACGTTTCTCCTCTCGAAAACGTCCCTCAGCGGCGATGAACGAGGAGAAACGTCTGTTTTCGCAGGCTAATTAATTATCATGTCGACAAATTTGGAATATAGAGAAAGAGAAAGACAGAGAAAAAGAATAACTAGGGCAACAGGCCAGCGAAACTCAACGAGAAAAAGAGCTAGAGCGAAAGAGAAAAGGCAAAGAGGCATTTTTTGTTGGAGAAACATGAAAATTTTGAAGTGGTAGTGAGAAAATGAGAAATGCTAGCGGCCACCAGGGTGAAAATGAGCAACAGTGAAAGAACACGGACGACATTCTCACGATAAAACGCGTAACTAAGAAGTTTCTGGAAGTTTCAAGTTGTAGTAGTGCAAAACAAGGGCAATCAAAGAAATGTACAAAAAAGTGTGCTGCACGTGCAAAGTTGCTTTTTTGCTTATTAGACCCACTGTTGTTTTTACTTAGCAATTAATGAATGAGGCTGAGCAGGATATGAAGAATTAAGCAGATCGAGGAGGGTGTTATCCACAGAGGCCGAAGGCCGAAGTGGATAAAACCATCCGAGATCTGCTTAATTCTTCATATCCTACGAAAGCCGAATTCATTCATTGCTTTATTATTCATTCAAAAGAATTCCTAGTTTAAAACATAGCTAAAACATGCTTACCTGCATCGATGTTAAGTTTATCTTCGATAGCGTACGTTTTGGTTTTTCCAGCTCCGCAAATATTCTCCAAATAGCAGATGTCGCCCTCCGAGTTGTCTTCTTGCTGTTTTTGCTATGTTTTTTGCTATTATTACGCCTAGCTCCAGCTGTAGTTTTTACTCTTGAAACGAGTGAAGTGTCCGCCATTTTAGTTTTCACAACGAAAACAACTCAACCTCCTCCCCAGGTCTTCTCGGTTAACGGTGCATTAACCTGTAGAAGGCTGCTTTTTTTACGTCATTTCCTCGTTAAACACAAACTTCTTCCAAATTTGGTCATCAAGTAAGTGGTTATGGTGAATTCTGCGTGTGCTTTTAGCCAATCAGAATTGGAGAAATATTTTGAATGAATAATAAACCGTTCTTAACGCCTTCGCCTCTTAGCATTACACGATTTTTTTTTATTTTGTTTGAGCAAAAATATAATCGAGAGCTTCGCTTTTAGCCCTGGCTAAATCTATATATTATGTGAGATTCATCGCTAAAATGCCCTAACTTCTTGGATATATTTTGTAGCATATCGTAAACACATCAGCCAATGTTCACTAAGCTTTGTCAAACTTTTGCTCACAAATGTGCTGCACAGCTTCTTATGTTTTGTCCTTTACCTGTAGGTTTTCACAGGAAACACAGACAAGAATCGTGTGGTTACCCATGACCTTCATCCACCGTTTATGGCAAAGTATATCCGCTTTCGAACAGTGGCCCGGGAGTTTCGTATAGCTATGAGAGTTGAGCTATATGGCTGTAAAGGTATTACATAGAGTGCATATTTAAAAATTAGATTTCGATTTCGATTTCAACTTTTTTATGTGCCAACTGACTATTTGGCTCTTTGAAAACCAGAACAAATAGTCTAACTGTTTATTCGTAGACTCCACTACCTTCAATTCTACACAAAAGTCTCCTTTTTTAACGAATTGCTTGTGATATGACATGCAGATCACCATACATTGCTTGCAAAGGGTTAAACGCTTTCTAAAAACATTACTCATCAATCCAGCAAGATATTCCCAACAATAATCCTACAGGTTCGTTTTAAGTCTTGTGTTCAATTTTCAGCTTGTATAGAATCACTCGGCATGGAAAGTGGAACAATCACAGATGGACAAATAACTGCATCTTCAGAACTGAGCAGCGATCATATAGCTAGCTTGCCCGACTGAACAGAGTTAAAGAAGGACATAGAGGTGGATCTTGGTCAGCTAAAACAAATGACGTAAATCAGTGGCTCCAGATTGAGCTAGGCAGTGAGTACAACAATGTCACACGGATAGCAACACAAGGAAGAAGTGATTTAGATCAGTGGGTGGAAACCTACAAGCTTCAATACAGCGATGATGGGGTGAATTATCAATACTACAGGGAACAAGGAGCAACAGAAGACAAGGTTGTGTATAACTTTAGCTAGCTAATCACAGGCTAGCATAATTTATCCTTCAACAAAAGCTTTTCATGATTTATATTTACCCTATTCTGAGACTGGGCTATTTTTTGCTTCCTGCGACCGGGGTAAGGGGCGCGGAGGCCCCCCTCAACTTTAAAAAAGCTGATGCTACGGCCACCAAAAATACACAGAATAAAGTACTCATCATTTCCAACTTCTGGGCATAGCCTGACTGACCCGATGACGTAATCTGACGTCTTTATGGCGTAAAATTATTAAAATTATCGACAGAAACTAAATTTCCCTCAAAGAAGACGTAAAGAAAAAAAATACTTAAATAGTAACGTGTCTGATAAAATCAAGAAGTTGGCTAACACATAAATAATATTTAACAATATCAGTGATGTCATGATGACGTCAATTATTAATAAAAAAGGAACTGGAAGGATCCACCATCTTGGATCCGTATTTTGAATTATTTAAATGTACTCCATTTTACCTAAAACCCCTATGAATCGAGGTATTTTTAATAGAAAACTTAAATCCGAATACAAAGGGATGATTAGGAAGCAAAAAATCTGCAAAATATGAAATTCCGACAGAACTGAATACTGTTGAAAATTACACCCAGCATCTGCTATTTAGTCATATTAACTGATGTTTTTTTTCCTAAACTTGTCGCTAAAAAGCCTGGATTTTATTAACAATTATAATAATTTTGGTAAAATAATGCTAAATCAACCGTAATATAATAATTTAGAAAGTAAAAATAGAAATAAAACCTATTGTTTTTCGCTAAAATGCAAATTTTGAAAAAACTGGCTGTCTAAACTCGGTTACCATGGCAATATCAATGTTGACGTGAACTTCGAGAACTTTTAAATGTTCTCAGTTAAATTTTATGCAAAGTCGTTAAGTTTGGTGGTCATAGCTCGAACGATTTTGAAGTAATTCAACTTTTAGTAAGGGGAGGCCTCGGTCCGCTGAATAGGGTTAATGAACATCTAGCAAACATGCGCTAATTGTTTCGTTTGGCAGAGAAGGGATTATCATACGTCCAAATAGTTGATAACGTAAACTTCTGTAAAATTCTTCCGCTATGGAGCTATATATATAGCTATATATCTTCGTTAGTTTTAAACAAATCACTTTCAAACTAGGGAACTTTACTGATTTTAAGGCGTTCGTTTTAGTAGTGTGTTGACGGATTTTCTCTGACTGGTTCCAGGTTTATTATTCTCATAGAGGGGTTGAGGGGACTAGAAACCGGTCCCTGTGCGATTCTCAAAAGGATTTTATAGTGTTAAGAAAATTATAAAAATTTGTCTTTCATTTTCTAGCTATTTCCTGGTAATTCTGATCAGAATACCATAGTTATATATCCGCTTTCGACCAGTTACCTGGAATAAGCACATTTCAATGAGAGCGGAGTTATACGGCTGTACTGGAGGTAAATAGACTCCTAATTGCCATATCGAAAAATGCTGAAAGAAAAAATGATAGTTATACAAGGCCACATACGAATAGGCTCTTTGCAGCTGGTCACTCACGTGGTAAAAACTCGCCATACGGGAGAGCAAGAGGCTCACTGGGAGCAGACAAAGGGAGGAAATTAACATTTTATATTATTATTCATTCAAAATATTTCTCTGTTTCTGATTGGCTAGAATCATACGCATAATTCATCATAAACTAGTTACTGTTGACCAAATTTGAAAGAATTTTTGCGATATTGAACTGATGACGTCAATCGTTCTGCAAAATTGCCAGATTATTGAACCGTTAAACGAGAAAACCTGGGCACGAGGTTGAGTTTTTTTTGGTAGTGATACAAATGGCGGAACTTTTTACTCGTTTCGCAAGGAAGAAATAGGCAAACGTTAGGTTCAAAACACAGCATAAATAGCAAGAAGACCACTCGACGGACGACATCATGCTATTTGGAGAATATTTGCAGAAATGAACAACCGTCCATCTCCTAAACTTGCCGACCAAAAATGCACTATCGAAGATGAACTTAACATCAATGGAGGTAAGCATAGTTTAGCTTGTTTTTAAACTACGAATTACTTTGAATGAATAATAAAACAATTATTGAATTTGGCTTTCATATCATCTGAAGTATTATGGAGATCTCGGAGGGTGTTATCCACCGATAGGAGCTCTTTGTTTGGTTGTTTTTTTTTTCTGTCAAAGTGCGTTCCATTCTCTCCAGCATGGGACGCACTGTACCACGTGAATGACTAGCTTCAAAAGGCCTATTAGCCATGCCGATATGCATTTCGTCCTTCTTAGAAATACATATATGGTGCAGGACTGAGGATCAGATTTCTTCCATCCAGTATAGCCCAAAATTGATTTAACAAAGGGAAGCTACCATCACATGACAGAATTAATTCGGGAAAGTGAATTCGGCCTTCGTTGTTGCATGAACGCAAGCCTTTGGGTGGCGACGTGAGCGCTGCGTATCATATAATAATGGAAACTTTATTTGTGTTTGTATATGTTTGTATATGTATATGTACAATTGTAAATCTCGCTACGAATAGGCAATTTACAAATGCTGCTTGAGATTAAATTATTAAAAAGAAAAAAAACAAAAAACAAAAACAAAACAAAACAAAAGTAATAATAATAATAATACTATTATTATTATTGTTACCTATTATCATTATCATTGTATTATAATTATCATAGTTATTTTCATTAATATTATCATTATTATTATTATTATTATTTTTGTTATTAATATGAGGCAATATTCTTTTGATTTTGTAAATCAACAACGTGATGCCTGTCCCTTCCAGTTGTACCCACAAACAACCCGTACAGATGGAAGCAGTGTACGACTGGCCAATGGATAAGTCAGGAGGAAGTACGTCATCTTACTGTCCCGACACAATCTTGGCTTCAGACGCCATCAATAGTGGAAATACAGACAGGTGTGGCTTCTTACTTTAACTGAGCATTTGAATAAGCTATGTCGCAGCATTTGCTTTGTTTTTAAAAAGCTAAAACGTGTCTTCGCTTCAGTTGAATTCCAAAATTTAACGGTCCAGTTTTGTTATTTAGGGGCTATATTTAAACACTGAAACTGTTCTCTGTCGCCTGGTTCAACGGATGGCAAAAATGGAAATGGGATCAAACTTGAAAACAATAGGTCAACTTTTTCAACTTTAAATGCTTTATGCCTGCCAAATTCAGCACTTGAAATTTAATTTGTTTGATAACACCTTTAAACTCTACGGGAACTAGAGAAATGACTAAAGGCACTAAAGTAAAGACTTCAGCCTAGAATTGACCTAAAACAGTAATATCTTCTTGACATTGCCCTGTAACTGCCGCCTGGTTTGTTAATTAGACCCTTCCGCGGCTTATTCAACTTTTGATCTGGACAAGAAAGTGAAAATCCGACGTCAAATTTAGCAGACGTTTGTGTGGTGGGCAAGTTCTTGTTCCCTCCAACGATACAAACGTCTAAAAAATTTCTCGACTTTGTGGATCAATATCTTTCCTTACTTTTAGCGTATCACCCTTAAACTTGGTGGGCCAGTTCTTTAAAAGGAGTTTAGCCCGTGTTTAACAAAACCGCGTTCTAAGGCATTTTCAGCAGTTGCCCAACGCTTTTATATAAACGTCATTTATCTTGAAAATTTTTAATAAAGGATATTGGGTAGATTGGAAAAGCACATATTTTTCTTAAATTAACCCACTAGGAAAGCGATCTGGAGGTCCAATGATTTCTTAAACGGCGGCTTAAGTTAGACTTCGTTTAAATAACCGACCCGGTAAGCTTCATAATTTGAAGACTCTCTTTCTGGTAGTGTACATTCGCTAACAGGTCTTTATCAAGACTTGAAAAAATAAACGTAGAAGTAAGGGTCTACTAGTTGAGTATCAGACTATGGACCGGTAAGTTAGGGTCTAGTTCCCGAGTGTAGACCAACAGTCGGAGTCTAAAAAAAACTAAGTAGCGCTTACTGGCTTTGAATCACATCTGCCAATGACTAAACGATTATGGACCTCATTATCGGATGAGGAAAAAAAACGTAGGTACCTTTTTACAGCACTTCCCTGAGACGTAAAAACAAACAAACAAACACATAACTATGGAGGTATTATTCTCGCGCAATGACCATTTCTATCTATCAGACAAATATCCACTGCCCAGTTTGGTCCCATGAGGTATCCCTTAGGGGACTGGAGCCCACTATGGAAAAACAACCATGTGCTAACTTGATCCTCTGAGATCGATTCGACTGAAAATCGATAACCCAATTGATTATACTTAGCTGTATATCTAATTTACATAATTTCTGCAGCACTATACCATGATCGATAAAATCGAAAGCTTTACGGTGATCAGATAAAACTGTTATAACTGTAGAACTGTTCTCGTCTGTCCACATGGAGCAGTGGTACAGCATATTAATTAGCGCAATATTTGTTGAGGACCCTTTGGTTACCCAATATTGATTGTCTTCAATAAGCGACGCACGTCAAAAAGTGGGTTTTTCAAATTTTGGGTGGTTTCGCGCAAATTTTCAGTCAAATCGCCTCTATAACAAAAGAAGCAAAATTTTTATATCCAAGGCATTTAAGACACAAAAACGTCGCTGCTTAAGCTCCCTGATTGACAAAAAAAAGCGGGTCGGGAAAGTCTTAAAAATTCTTTCCACTTTGGACACAGAAGGAGTGAGACAAATCGGTCTTAAATCTTTCTTAATATCCTGCAAATAAATCTGATATTTCCTCGTCACGGGGCAACAACCTAAGTAATTTATTTATTGTTTATTTTATTTATTTACGTAGGCTACTATCGAGCTCTTGGTCGCAAAATCAATGCCAGATACCTAAAAGAGCGACTGATAGAAAAGGACCCAAACTTCGGTTATTCTACAAGAACAACGATGGAGCTCATTCAACAACTGGATATCTTAGCAGACACTTTGTTCATCGAGGCGAGTTTATTAGGACGCTATAAATTGTTTAGAACAATCACTTTAGGCAAAAACCGGAAAGCATATGTCGATGATTTTTGTGCCAAGGTACATCGCACTATGATAAGCATCCATCATCATGATTCATAATTTATAGTAACTGATTATTCTTTCTTTTTTGTAATTATTAATTATAAGAAAGGCAGTAAGTACAAGGAATTTGATCGACTTCAGGTGAGTGTAGTCCAGAGAAGAGCTCTTGTTGAAAGTGGTATGCAGTCACTGTCAACAACAGGCCTATTCAGGATCTTCATTCATACCATCCAAATCAAACTAAACAAATCCAATCTTATTTCGCTTAGATTAGTTAGCCTTGTTGCGTAGATATGATTACAGCGAGAAGACACGAAAAACTTTTTTTTGCATTTGTAATTGCCAATTAATTCATAAATTGCGCCAATATGTGCGGTTCCTAATGGTTACGCCCATTTACTTATAAAAGCTCAGCTATGCACTGGTACAGTTGGACGAGATAACGGTTGTTTTACTTTCTTCTAAGAAATATCTAAGGATCTACCTTATTATTTGGAACTTAATTTCGCTTTTTAATAAAGACCCGTGAAAATTAATCCCCGCGAAATTTAAGCAGGCGAAATTAAATACTCATCCGGAAAATTCAATCACAGAAACCAATATTAACTTGTAATAGAAACAACATATACCAGATATGAACCAACAATAAAACTTGTTAACTAGTTTTAATGTTAAGCTAGGTTTTGTATCTTCAGTAAGTGAAATAACGTCAATTTATAAAGCTTTCACATTTTGCTTTTCCAGTTTAACTAGAAATTTGAAATCTTTCTGGCTTTTTTTAAAAAATAAAATGAAATGAGAATGCTTACATCCGCAAACAAAACCCCGTGAAATACTCTTTCCCCAAAATCGCGAAGTTAATTACCATTAAGGTACCAGTTAATATGAGTCTAATGTTCAAACTATTTACAATGCTATCAGCATACTAATTATCGTTACTGAACACAATGTAACTTTTTATTTTTTATTGTCTATATTGTCCGTCCCTTTCAGTCTTCCGCAAAAAAGAATTTTGCGCCGAATAGAGACTTCGAAGAGCATCAGAAAAATACCAGGTATACCTAGTACCAAACTATAGAGTACATACAAATGGTCCGAGCTAGTAGAAATATTGGCATAATAAGATCTCGAAAGATCGATCAAAAATCTGATAGCGAAAAACAGTGTGAGGAAATGTGAAAAGGCCTTACCAAATAAATGTTTTATTTCAGATAGCGACTATAATGTCTGACTCAGCATCTGCTCAGGTCAATGCGCAAAAGCGACGACTTATTGCGGCGAGGGCAATAGACGAAAGTGAGAAAAGGATGTACGTTCAGGTACTATCACAAGGACAAATTCTATCTTACTAATACTTCAGTTTTTTCGAAAACCCGGAGGGGTTCTCCCTATAATGGCTTATACGGAGAGACCCCGCCCGTAAGGGGTACTTCTCTCAGGCTTGAAGTATATGAAAGGGGAGGGGAAATCTGTCATTTAGGTCTGTAAAAAGGCCCAACAGGGCTAAGAGATGCATTTTATGGCGCACCTTTTAATTGGAAAGGTTCGATTTGCCATTTCGTTTTTATTCGTCGGTATTGTTTTATACAGGCCATTCTAGAAGCAGAACGACAGATGAACTATACACTCCAAAGAATCCTGAAGCCGATAAGGGAAGCTCAAGCAGCAGAAAGCACCAAATTAAGCAAACAACAGATGGTTGCTGTACTTCAAGGAATCACAGGCTTTTCATCGGCGATATTCACAAGCAAAACATCGGAAGAACCACAGGGTCCATTCGCTTACATCGAAACAGCACTCGTAATTATAGATTATGATACCAACAAACAATGCCGAGCAGCACTTGATTCAGTTGTTAAAAGTGCCGAAAAATGGTTAACGTTTGGGCAATATAGGCCACTAGAAGATTCCAGTGATCTGAACTTTGATCTCATAGATGTCAGTTCAGTTACCGACATTATGCAGGTATGGTTCATGGTTTTAAATTCATTCGGTAGATTACATTGTTATAAGTTTGTTCCATTGTCATTGTTATATTATTCTTCATTTTTACTTCCATTTTCATTTTCATTGTCGCTGTCGCCGTGACGCACATGGTTTTCGAGCAAGCTCTCTGGGGTGCTCTGGCGGTGGGGGGGGGGAAAAGGAAAGAGAGCTTGCAAGTACGTCTCTGGAATTTGAATATCTGCATCAAAAAAGTCGATGCGAAATGTTGATTGGCGGAGATGACATTAGTAGTGACGTCATTAACCTTGGCACGTGGTTTTCAATGTCCGTTTACATTCGCGCTCGTTTCTGCTTCGCGTTGACTGGCGGAAATCTGACAGCTCTGTCGACGGGAAGCCACAGGAGAATTGGAGGTGAAATTCAAATTCCAGAGACATAGTTGCAAGCTCTCCTTCCTTTTCCCGCTCCGTCGCCGCTAGAGCGCCCTAGAGAGCTTGCTTGCAGGCTATGACGCACAACAAACCTGCCAAGTTTCATTGCAGCAGCGTTAATAATTGCCTCCAACTAAAGAAGGGCCAGGCAAAATAGGGTTAATGACCCTTTCGAACTATCGTACGTGTTGTTCTTGAAAATTTTTTTGTTTTCATCTTTTAAAGGCCAACCTAGAGATCAACAAGGAGGGGTTTGCAGCTGACCTTGTATGCCTGTTGGAAGAGGGTACGCCCCGTAACGTGGCACAACTGAAAGCGGAAATTGAGAGTTATTTTGTTTTAGGAGCAGCTCGTATTGATATGATAGCTAAAGTTATGGACCTTGACAATTCCATTGGAGGACACAATTTTGATATTCCACTCCTTCATCAGACTGAAATGGCCATTGCTGAGTTTAGCCAACCAGAAGGTATGAGATTAAAAATGATCAATTTCTAATAATTACCAATAAACTGATCACAGTGCTATATTTTTTCAAGTCAACCAACCGATAGTTATGCATTCGTTTTGAATTGCAATAGAGTGGAACCTCGATATAACGACCCTCTCTATAACGAAGTCCTCGGTATAATAAACGACGCCCTTTACCCTAGTAATAGTAAAATATGTAAAAAGAATCTAAATATAACGAAACTTCTTTATTTCGAGCAAATTTAACCGGTCCCTTGGCCCTCAACTATGTCGAGGTTTCACTGTAAAAATAATAATAATAATAATAATAATAATAACAATAACAATAATAGTAAACATTGCCAGAAAATTTAAGATAAATACTTAGTTAGGGCGCTAAGGACTCCAGCTTTTAGGTTTTTTTTTCTCTAGAAATCTAGAAACACAAGCTTGCTGATGTTTTCACTTAGATTTTTTAGAACATTAGAGTTTGATATTATTATAAATAAGCTTTTAGTAGAGATGATCACATTATGATGGCCTCGTTTAGGTATATAAGAGATAATGAGAGTGTAAAAACTGAATAGTTTTCTAAATAGGCCTCTATTAGGGATAATCATATCATCATGTCTTAGCGTAGGTTTTACAGAGTATCAGAATTTAATAATATTCTAAATTGGCTGTTTAAGTAGAGAGATTCATATCATTATGTATTTTAGGATCGTATTAGGTTTCGTATCGACCTTTTTTTACTTCTAAGTATAGCTTCTCAAGTGGTGTAGGTTACGCTATGCGCCCTATACTACTCATAATGTGGACAGCATTCCAAAGATTCATACTGCGACATAATAATAATGATGATGATGACTATGATCTTTGAGTTGATAACGATAATGATAATGATGATGATGATTATAATGAATAATATAATGACACTTCGTTATTTCGAGCAAATTTTACCAGTCCCTGAGCCTTTAGCTATGTCGAGGTTTCACTGTAAAAATAAAAATAATAATAATAATAATAATAATAATAATAATAGTAATAATGATAATTTTATTCAACTTTAAAAAATATGTACATAATTTACAGAAATATTTGGAGTAAGAATTAAGCACTATATAACAAGGATAGTATAAACAATAAAAATAGCAAACACTGTGTCAATAACGATTTCACAAATACATTTCTTGCGGCTGAGATGCGGTCACTAACTCTTGCAGGCGGTCCAGAGTTTTAAATTAAGTCATTATTACCAATCCGTCTCTGATATTAAAAAGAAAACAATAATAATAATAATAATAATGATGATGATGATGATGATGATGATGATGATGATGATGACGATAACGATAATGACAAGGGCAATGGCAGTAGTAGAAGTGGTGACAGTGATCATGATTCATAAGAAGAAGAAGAAAATGAAATAGACAAAATTATGTTTACTTATCTTTCTTGACGAAGGGTTTTAAGCTGTATTTTTGCGTATGGATTTTGGTACAGTATACCCGTGGTATACAAAGACTGGGAAGGAAAAACTGCCCACCTACCCCTCCCCTAACGCTACGTTTTGCCCCAAGTGAGACGCAAATGATAACGCGGAGTTAGGGGAGGGGTGGGTGGGCAGTTCCCCAGAAAGCTAAATTGATCCAAAATCAAATTAAGTTGGCAAATTTACCCACCAACCTCGTTGATAAAACGTAATCTTTTGCATGCATTCTCCCTTATCACTTCAAGACATAAAATTTCGAGACCAGTGCTTTTTCAAAGCATCGAATACACGTAAGAGTTATTGTTTGTTCTGATGTGACGATGTAAAGGTAGGCAGGAAATTCCAGTGGCAAAATCCTGACCACATTTCGTTTTGTCGTTGAATAGAAGCCATAACTGAATCTCCGTCAACATGTTTGGGCCACGAACATGCTATAAAAGGGACTGGTTTTTCTCCAAGGGTCTTTGACAGTTGTAAACTCTCAAATTCAGAGTGGCAGAATGGATTAATAAACTGAGTGAAGTGCAATTTTGTATGAAATCATACGCTTGCAGTTTTAAGATCGAACGAGCACTTAGCGCGAGATAGATTTGAAATCCTAGGAATTTTAGTGTGATTTCAGACCAAATTACCCGACAAGAAGTTCAATCACCACTTTATTACAGTCATTTTGAAATCGCAGAATCCAGTCAGTAGCAATACTGTTAAAACAGTTCTAGAAGCCGCTTTGTCGAAAAGTGGAAACAAGAAAGGCTTTACATCTCATTTACATTTCTTATTTGAAACAGAAAAGACAAAAAATGGTGCGATCCAGAACAAAATTGGTGCGATTTAGAGCAGAAATTATGCTATTTAGAACATAAATGATGTGATTTAGAGCAAAATCATTGGGATTTGCGAATAAATCACAACTGCTGAGAGCCAATCAGATAGCAGAAATCATCAGTGATTTCATGGATGGATATACAGTCGACTTCCGATAATTCGAACCTTCAAGGGAAATAGAAAAAAGTTCGAGTTATCAGAAGTTAGAGTCATCGAGGGTAAAATTATATGGGAAATGATCTGAAGGGAAATGAAAATTGCTTCGAGTTAACGGGAGGTTCGAGTTATAGAGGGTTGAGTTACCGGGAGTCGATTGTAATAAACATCAAACATTTATGTCATCTCGGTTTGCTTTAATTACAGAAGCTACCATTAGCAATCAACTCAGACAAACCTTCTTGGAAAACCTGCTTGGGACATACGAGGAACTAGAGCAGTCTTTTATGGAGAATGTATATCAGCTACAGAAGGCCCTTGGCTTCAGTACACTTTGGGTGTTAGATGACATCATGCGTTCATTTCAGAGGATCGCCTCTGAAAGTGCGTTTGGTACGGGCAGACTTAACGGGGTACTGGAACTCACAAAAGTACTTCAGCAGTTGTCTGAAATAACGTTTAAGGCTGAAAAGTGTTTTTCAAGACTACGATATAGCAAAGGAGTGCAGAAGTGGAGTTTTGATAACGAGACAGACACACAGGTAATTTTCGGTTTGCCCCAGTTCAAATGTCGAACTTTTCATGTACCTAACTTAATAGCTCTTTAGGTCGACCCAAATGATACAAGTCCGACGGTTGATTCAGACGTCGAACTTAATTAGTCGGACTCAATTTATTTTCACGATCGATGTGCAATGGTCTACAATGCTTACCAGTGAAAATAAATTACATAATAGTAATTTATGCATTAGGTTCCACATAACAGTCGAAATTCCTATGTGGGCCACTCGATCTTAATTCATGGGTCGACCCAAATTAGAAAAGTCGGACTAAATTGATTCAGATGTCGATCGCTTCATGTACGTAATTGAAGGGATTAGGTTCGGGACATCAAAAGTTGGACGTTTGAACTGGTCCTATTTGGAATGGAGATTAACCAGGGGTACATACATACAAAAGCTGTATTTATTTATATGTACAAATAAGGTAATTATGCTCTTCCATCAACAAATAAAATAGTGCTGAAAATTACAGAGCTTTAATCTGAAAAATATAATTGAATGGATATTCCTTACTCTAAATAAATTGGTAGACTTCTCCTAGAATTAAAGCTTTTTCAGGGTATTGTTAATTTTACCGTTCGTGGTAAAAATTTACTGCCACAGTGTTCTTCTTTACTTGAATGTACTTAATTTTTAGGAGATTAATTGTCTGTTTTCACAATTTCTATTACCTACCTTTCAGATGTTTGAAGAGATTAAAAATGGGTCCACAAGATTCAGTATAGGGGAGGATCAAATTTGTGAAACAAGCCACAATGCGAGAATGATAAAGGTGTTTATCCATTATTAAACTAGTTTACACATTTTGTTGAGGTTGTTTTTGATTGTTGTTTCTTTATCAATGTGTTTTTTCAGTAGAACGAATAGTTCTTTCTTTTTATACCTAAACAGCGCAAGCAACTTAGGAACAATCATCACAGGTATCACCCAATGTAAAGGAATCCGGATTCCGGAATCCGGGAAATTTGTGTTTGTGGAATCTGGAATCCAGGAAAACTTTGCTTGTGGAATCCACAATTCTAGGCTACGGAGTCCGGAATCAGCTCAACGAATCCGGAATCCCACTTAATCCAGAATCCAAGTTCCACTGACAAACACTGGAATGCAGTACCTGGAATGTGGAATCCACAATCCAAGACTGTGCTGGATTCCTTTACATGGGGCGACAGGTAGAGACCCAACAGTGGTACAAAGGGTGGGGAATAGTCTGGAACACTTTCTCCGTGAGTTCTTGTTGGGTTGCAAGATTTGCAACTATTCAATGTTTAATATTAACTAGCTTGTGACGATCGAGCTTCAGTATAAATTGGCTGCCATTAATATGTGGCAGGACCGATGCATACTTCAGGTTAAAATTGGCACAGGCGCAGAGCATCAGCCCTGGTTATTTTTGCTTCTTATTTCAAGCATTTTTGAAGCTGTTATAAACATTCACTAACAACTGTTTTGTCAAGTCTTCCGGGTGATAGCCAGATCAAGCAATATCAACAGCCAATAACGAATTTTAGAGACCTCAAATTTGATCGTTTTCAAATCAGTAATGGAACGAAGTGCAGAGACTAAAGAGGAACCTGGCAAATGCAGTAAGTAACTAGTAATTATCAAGGTATAGGTCACGTGTTAGGCGTCACGTGTACATTATGCTAAGCAGGTTAGCCCTTGCGTGGAGCGGCCATGTTGGAGTTGTGATTAAGTGTTAAGAAAGTAAAACAATAATATCTAAGTGGTTTTACAAGTGAGTAAAGGTAGTAAATAATAATAATGATTATAATAAGTAACACTGGTTTTAAAACCTTTCATAGATTGTTTTCTCTTTATCAAGAAAACATTTGATGCTTTTGGCTTTCCAGTTTACTAATTACATCTTCCATGCGTTTTACTAGCAGCGAAAGCAAATGAGCGAGAAACCCCGTAGTCACTGTTTGGGTGCCACCTGCTTAAAGCTGAAATTTGGCGGACGAGGGTGATGTACTCTCCCCAGGTCTCTGCATCCACGACCGCCGTAGTAGAGGTTTCTTAAAGCCCCTATTATCATGCGCGGGGTTACTTCCTTGGCGATGGAGCCGTTGACTTGTTCCCCCAATCTTCTCTCGGCTCCACCGTCAAAAAAAAGCATTGGCCCGCTAATCTCGACGGTTACCCAGGCTAGATCACTACTTAAAAAACCAAAATCGTTTTTCAGAGGCTCATTATTGCGTGGACGAAGACGACAAACGGTTTGAACCAATGTGCAGCCACCCACTGAACGGTCCAGGAGTTAATGGCTTGATGATGGGGAAGGACGAATGCACGAGTCCCTCTGGATTTTACGATTTGGAAATACCTATCAACAAAACTTTGCCATGTACAGACACCAAGATGCGAGACACCAACTGCAAAGATCTGGATGTAAGTTTCAGTTTTACGAGTCTCGCGCAAGTTGCACGAAAGTGTCAGGTGAAAGAAAAAGAGTTGTTCTGTTGATGTTAAGTGACGTCTAAATTTCTCCGTGCGGCTTTGTTTGCAAACCCGGCGAACACGAGGATAGTTAATGTTAACGAAATTCGGGTTGAACATGAGGCCATTTTGAGACTCCGACTCCGAAAACGTATATTCTTACTTTTCTCGAAAAAAACAAATTCAGATTACTTATTACTGGCCTAAGAGCTATAACAGAGAAAGAACAAAACCCCTGCCACTCAATGCTCCACGTTTCCTCGAGCACCATGCACGATCATGGTAAATGAATTCAAAGTGACGTACCTGGATCAATGTAAGTTTCTGGGAAACTACCCACCTACCCCTCCCCTACTTGTTATTATTATCTTATCATTAACATTCTTCTTCTTAATTATTATTATTGTTATCATTATTATTATTATTATTATTATTATTGTTATTACTTATTAGTTATTATAACAGCAATTGACCGCCCATTCTTCAGTGCCTCATTTATCTATTAAGTAATTTTACTTTCTGTTCAAACAAGGAAATGCCGCCTAACAGAAACGTTATTTGATGACTTTAAGATATCTTCTTATGATTTATCCTATTATGTGTTGATGAAAATAACAATTAATAACTATTATAATTATTTATAATTATTACTATTAAATTATTATTATTGTTTGTTTGTTTGTTCCTTGCTCTAAGGTGCATGTGACCCTCACTTTTTTTTTTTGACTTCTAGCGAGCAAAGTTCACTAAGATGAATGTCTGGGTGCATTACATTTACTGGTCAAAGAAATACCCTCAAAATCCAGACAATCCTATATGCAAAGCAGTGGTCATTGAATAGCAGACCGATGATCCTCGATATAAGAGAACATGAATTTTCTCGCTTTAATGTACTCATTGATTATAAATTTACTGCTGTATCGCAAGTCAACTGAACCAAGCCAGGAAGAGATTTTATCGTAAGTACTAATAAAACCTCTCTCAAAGCTCATACAAAAAATATCCGTTTATTTTTTCTTGTCTTGTGCTTATGTGATTAGCCTGATTAAAAGAGAGTCCAGAGGTCGCTCGCGGTTACACACTCTGTTGTGTCAATAGAAAAAAAGGGGCGGGGGGTATTTAAAAAGCACGAATTACGAAATCACCCTGGTATTGAGTAGATCTAAAAAAGCTTATAAAATAAGGGGGGAGGGGAAAAGTGTCAAAATATAATATTCGAATACTCTGAAATTCCTTACTCTTTAATCATTCTTTTTCGGGTTGTTTTTGTATCGGTAAAATGGAATTTAATTAAGTGATACAATTTGTACACAATTTTGTGTTGATTGATAATTTTTTTGTACTGATTTGGAATCAACTATGTAGTAACTGTTTTATCAACTTGATCATCAAGAGTTTTTACAAGCTATTTTAATGAGTAGTCTATTATATAATTTCTCTTTATTGCGGAACGTTAACAAATCATTCTCTACTGATCTTTACCCGGGTGCGCTATCCACTAGATAAACCTCTGTCTAGTGGATAACACAATTGGTTTCCCTAATACGTATATCAAGCGGATATATAGTGAATTATCCGGTGGACCGTACGTACTATAAAACTAGTCTTTTGAACCGACCGGGAGCCGGAAGACATTCTATTCTTGCGTCTTTTATATGAAGGCTCTTTATTCCGACGAAATCAAAGTCGCGACGATCGCTATTGGTTAAAGGACGATCTTAAAAATTAACGCGACGATCGCATTGCTATTCAGATCAAGTATGACAACGATAGTAGTGCAATGATGGCAAAGAAATCTGTCAAAAAATGTGCGCACTTTCAGAGTCTTTGTTTCGCTTATTTAACCTGTTTTATTATTATTATGTCGCAGTATGAAACTTTGGAATGCTGTCCACATTATGAGTAGTATAAGGCGCATAGCGTAACCTACACCACTTGAGAAGCTATACTTAGAAGTAAAAAAGGGTCGATACGAAACCTAATACAATCCTAAAAGACATAGTGATATGAATCTCTCTACTTAAAAAGCCAATTTAGAATGTTATTAAATTCTGATACTCTGTAAAACCTTCGCTATCTCTACTAAAAGCTTATACATAGTGACATAAATCTCTCTACTTAAAAAGCCAATTTAGAATATTATTAAAGTCTGATACTCTGTAAAACCTTCGCTATCTCTACTAAAAACATATTTATAATAATATCACATTATTATTATTATTATTATTATTATTATTATTGTCTCTATTATCACAGTCTTTGCTGGTGTTCTTTTTGTGCATCAGCCGGGCGCAAACCATGCACCTAGAGCGTCAGTCACTCAAGTCAATCATTCTGTTCATACACTGAGCACCTTTCTGAGGATTCGTGCAGATCCCAGCATGCAGATCTTTTGAATCTTTGTCATATTAGCTCTTTCTGATACTTTCTTGATGTTTTCTACCATACCCTTCTTCACTGTACCAAGCGCACCAACAACCACAGGGTTCACTACGGTTTTCATATGCCACATTCTCTGTATTTCTAGTTCTAGGTCTTTGTACATGCATTTTTTTTCAGTTTCCTTGAGTGCGATGTTTCTATCTGATGGAACAGTCATATCAATAAGTTTGCAGGTGGAATTCACTGAATCATTATTATTATTATTATTATTATTATTATTATTATTATTATTATTATTATTGCCCCCGCAGGGATTTCGCCCAGAAGGCGAAATCCCGAGGATGCACTCTAGTAACTCGCGCGTATATTAAGGAAAGTACTTACAGTTGAAATATACAGTCATAAAGTCAATATAGAAAAAATCTCGATTTGCTTGAACAGGGGCCGCGAGGAATCGGTAGGTAATGATGACGTTTCTATTGTTTCCGCCCGCAAGTACGAAATGGTTAGGATGACGTAAAACACAAAAAATCCCGAAGGGACCGCTTACAATAGGTAGATTTTGTGACATTAATTGTTAGACTGCAAAACAGTCGTTTTTTTTTTCTCAAAATCAGTAAAGAAATCGGTAAAGCGTGGCGTAACAGTCTTACACGCGCGAAGCGCGCGAGCCTCACAGACCCGTAAGGCTTGTGAGCGTCTCTGTTTTCAGCCTCGTTCCAGACCTTTTGTTTGACTGCTCGCGCGTACTTGAAGACGCAAAAATGCGGACTGTTTTGCAGTCTATTGTGCAGTCATACTTCGATACTCTTTTGCGTTACGTGTTATCAGTGACATTCTGTGCAGGAGTTGTTATGAAAGTTATGGACCAAAAGACACTCGTTAAGCGCAGATGAAGTTATAAGGTGACTAATGTGCGTATAACAGTGTATATTTTAACACAAAGTGAGTTTGCCAGACACGAGGTCACAAATCTTTGATTGGAAACCTTGCCAGACACTCTTCCTCTTTCTTTGACCGGAATAAGACTCGGCCCCAAACAAGCAAGACGAGTGAACGATTCAACGGCTAGCTTATCACTAGCAGAACGATGGATGATTACAGAAATTCGCCGACCATCAAATTCTGTGCTGACTTATTCCCTGCTCACAGATGTCCTTCCACTATATAACTTTAAAATAAGACTAGAATGCGCGAGCGTGAATTGATCAAACGTCCTTCTAATTTCTAAGGCTTACTTTCCAGCAAATAAAATGAACTTAACGTAAAAAGTGAAATAGAAATAACGAAAAATTAAACTTCTAATCAAATCTTTTCTTATGGTTTAGAATAAACTATTCTCGAAACTGAGAATGTTTTGATCAAAGCTGTGTAAATTGAACCGAAACTGTGCATGGAACCTTGCGTTTATTTCCTGTATTTATCTCACCTATATTTATATTTATTTCCGGTATTTATCTCACGGACACACAACGAGCAAGAATGCTATTGACCGACAATATACAGAGCGGGGGCAGCTGTAGTGTTAACTACGACAGGTTATTATTATTATTATTACTACTATTACCGTAAAATTCCGAAAATAAGCCCCCCAAACCGGTAACGCAACCGTTAAATCGTCTCACCAAATATAACCCCCCCCCCCCCCCCCCCCCCCCCGGGGGGCTCGTACTTGGAAAATTGCCCTCAAATACAAAGTAAAACAAAGCAAAAACGGTAAATTTACCTTCAACTCAGCCTTCAACTATAAGGCTACCCCAATCGATTTCCCTCCGTAGATAAGCCCCTCCAAATATAAGCCCCTCGATAAATAAGCCCCTTAAAAAGGGCCTTTGAAAAAGGTAAGCCCCGGGGCTTATTTTCGGAATTTTACGGTATTTTCTCGTTTCCTTCGTCATCGCCGTGGTTGCTCAAGCTTGCTCTTGATAAGCGACAATTTCGTTGAAAACCAGACGATTTGATGGAAAACTCGCCCCATGAGCACGTAAGGCAATCGACCAAGGCAGTCTTGGATTCTGGCATAGACTACACGTCATGGATTCCGGTTCCTTTGTCAGTGGAACTTGGATTCCGGATTCCAATCGTTGATGGGATTCCGGATTCCAAAATCCAGGATTCTGAATTCCACAAGCAAAATTTTCCCGAATTCCGGAATCCGGGTTCCCTTACATTAGAGAGCTTTAGATTCTAAGACGAGTACGACTACGAGTACGAGATTTTCTCAATACTAAGTAGTGCTCGCGCTAGCGTCATTTTGGCGGGAAAACGTGGTAGCCGTCGTCATTCTACTACGAGTTTTAGCGAGAATGTCTTAATGGCGGAGACGAGTTATCAAATGTTAGAAGTTTTATCATTTTGCGATCGAGAAAGCGCGTAACCTCCTTCACTTAAGATAACAGTGCTAACTTTTCGAGCGAAATATGGTAAACTAAAGCTTTCCGGGAAGTCTATATATATTTTGAGAATACGCGAAAAAACTTTAAGTCACATCTCGTACTCGTAATCGTCCTAATCCTCAAATCTAAAGGTCTCTATTAGTATAGGTAATAGCATGATTTGTAGTGATATTTGGCATAAATACCACGCGTGATATTTCGAAATTGTTATACGTAACTTCACGAGGCGTCAGGCGAGTGAAATTTGAGACAATTTTGAAATATCACGAGTGGTATTTATGCCAAATATCACGTACAAATCATGCTATTATTTGTTTATACTACTACCCGCAAAGGTTTTGTAATTTTCACATGTAGGTATTTCAAATTAAGCTGAAATACCACTGCTCTAAGCCAATCAAATTGCAGAAATTTCTCATGTAGTAGTATAATGGGGAAAAACACGCGACGAAAGCGACTTGGTCTCCATAGAGGTGCTCTATATTATAGTATAAACATGATTGGCAAAAGGTCCGCCTTCGCCATCAGCTTGACAGTCGTTAGATTCCCCATATTTGTCAAATGTCTGTGGAGCTGAAGCACTGGATGCACACCATCCGCCATTCTGAACACCAAACATACTGTAACCTGCTCTTATTGCAGCTACCGCACACTTGGCAATAGCATTTTTTCGATCTGTGTAAAATCTGTCCAAAATAGGATCCATCCCCTCCAGGGGTGGAATTGCTCGATCGCTGGTATCGTTGTAACATCCAACGCTATCATATCCTGAAAAATGGAAATTGCGTTGGTACTAGTTAATAACCAAAGAATACGAAAGGAATGCGCAACCGAATTTATGACGCTGGCTGACTACGAGATCCCGCGTAATTAAGCCCCGTCCACTCGTGTTCAGGCTTTATTTAATTCGCCACTTCACAGAAACCTTGCTTTGTTACATCTTCGCGTTTCGTTATTACCATTTATGGTTTTGTTGCAAAATAAACAAACTACACTTGTTGAAAATGGTGAAAATTTAATAAGCGCCCAGCCTCGAATAAGCGCCCACTCTCAAGGCCCAAAAATTTAATAAGCGCCCAGGGCTTTTAATCGAATAAATACGGTAAACAAAACTTTTGCCGTTATACAGAAAGACATCTGGTCCCAGTTGCGGTCAAAAAGGTGGAAAGTACTATCCAATGGATAAATTACTATCCAAAGGATAGCCCACAATTGGTTCTCGTAATACTCATCCACCGAATAGCAATTTTCCAGATGGAAATCGCTATCCAACCGCTTGACGATCAGCTTCTGCAGTATGTTTGAGATCTTGTTTCCCACCTACTATCCCGCGATTTCTATTGTTCAGTGCGACTCTGGTTGTGTCGCAAAATTCTCTCAACTGCTTCATTCCGTAAGATGATTGTTGCAGTCTGCAAATCCTAAGGTGCTACTTTAGATCGGGGATATACTACTAAGACCGTGGAACCCTTATAGTCTATAGCAGATCAAGAGATCCTCTCTTGACTCTTACCAGATTTAGTTTAGCTGACTTTTGTTACACTATATCTGACTATTAAAACTCCCAAAATCCTTCCCATCCTTTAGTCGCTATTTCCAGACAATACCAAAGTCGACGCTTTTGCTATTAAACTAAGTTATCAGCAAATTTGAATTTTCGGATTTCATGTTTTAGGTGTCAATTCGCAGTTTCTCAAGTCCAGACTAAAATCATCAACCATTTGTTCAGTTTCCTGGAAAATGATACCCAGTTCTAGACCAAAACGCCCTGAATTCTATGACCCTATCCAAGACTAAACTGCTTCAAACCACAACCCTCAGAGTGGTGCATTAAACATCATTATTGCATGACGCTGAATGGTTCATGTGAATAATTATGCAGGTCGAGAAGAATGTTTTTGGCCGAGGTGGATAACAGCCTCCGAGATCAGCATAATTCTTCGCATCATACGAAAGCCCAATTCAATAATTCTTTTATTATTCATTCAAAATATTTCTTAGTTCTAGTAAAGTGAGCATAAATCCTCGTACACTTTGTTGAAAACTTAGTCTTTACTTTTTTGGGAAAGCCGAGAACGCCGTTTATTAATTTGCTGTCACTTAAGCAGCCTCGATTTCAGGCAAATATACCATCGAACAACCTAAATATACCATCGCATCGATGATACATTGCTCACATCTTCCAAATATGATAACTGCCAGTTGCTTATGAAAAAATGGCCGGAAGATTGGAGCCAATCAGAGACGGTGAAATATTTTGGATGAACAATAAACCTATGTAGCCCATAGTTGGCAATGCTCCTCCCCGGAGCGGTATTTTTTTTTTCTATGACCATTATATCGTACCTTTGATGTAATAAACGTGATTGGCCCAAGGCCCACCTTCGCCATCAGCTCCACAGTCGTTAGATTGCCCATATTTGTCAAAAGTCTGTGGAGCTGAAGCATTGGATGCACACCAGCCGCCAGCCTGAACACCAAACATACTGTAACCTGCTCTTATTGCAGCAACCGCACACTTGGCAATAGCATTTTTTCTAACGTGGAACTCTCCGTCCAAAATAGGATCCATCCCCTCCAGGGATGGAATTGCTCGATCGCTGGTATCGTTGTAACATCCAACGCTATCATATCCTGAAAAATGGAAATTGCGTTGGTACTAGTTAATTACCAAACAATACGAAAGGAATGCATAACCGAATTTATGACGCTGGCTGACTACGTCATCCCGCGTAATTAAGCCCCGTCCACTCGTGTTCATGTTTCATTTAACTCGCCACTTCACAGAAACCTTGCTTTGTTACATCTTCGCGTTTCGTTATTACCATTTATGGTTTTGTTGCAAAATAAACAAACTACACTTGATGAAAATGGTGAAAATTTAATAAGCGCCCAGCCTTGAATAAGCGCCCACTCTCAAGGCCCAAAAATTTAATAAGCGCCCAGGGCGGTTAATCGAATAAATACGGTAAGCAAAACTTTTGCCGTTATACAGAAAGACATCTGGTCCCAGTTGCGGTCAAAAAGGTGGAAAGTGCTATCCAATGGATAAATTACTATCCAAAGGATAGCGCACAATTGGTTCTCGTAATACTCATCAACCGAATAGCAATTTTCCAGGTGGAAATCGCTATCCAACGTTTGACGATCAGCTTCTGCAGTATGTTTGAGATCTTGTTTCCCACCGACTATCCCGCGATTTCTATTGTTCAGTGCGACTCTGGTTGTGTCGCGAAATTCTCTCAACTGCTTCATTCCGTAAGATGATTGTTGCAGTCTGCAAATCCTAAGGTGCTACTTTAGATCGGGGATATACTACTAAGACCGTGGAACCCTTATAGTCTATAGCAGATCAAGAGATCCTCTCTTGAGTCTTACCAGATTAAGTTTAGCTGATTTTGGTTACACTATACCTGACTATTAAAACTCCCAAAATCCTTCCCATCCTTGAGTCGCTATTTCCAGACAATACCAAAGTCGACGCTTTTGCTATTAAACTGAGTTGTCAGCAAATTTGAATTTTCGGATTTCATGTTTTAGGTGTCAATTCGCAGTTTCCCAAGTCCAGACTAAAGTTATCAACCATTTGTTCAGTTTCCTGGAAAATGATACCCAGTTCTAGACCAAAACGCCCTGAATTCTATGACCCTATCCAAGACTAAACCGCTTGAAACCACAACCCTCAGAGCGGTACATTAAACATCATTATTGCATGACGCTGAGGCTCATGTGAATAATTATGCAGGTCGAGAAGAATGTTTTTGGCCGAGGTGGATAACAGCCTCCGAGATCAGCATAATTCTTAACATCATACGAAAGCCCAATTCAATAATTGTTTTATTATTCATTCAAAATATTTCTTAGTTCTAGTAAAGTGAGCATAAATTCTCGTACACTATGTTGAAAACTTAGTCTTTAGTTTTTTGGAAAGCCGAGAACGCCGTTTATTAATTTACTGTCACTTAAGCAGCCTCGATTTCAGGCTAATATACGATCGAACAACCTAAATATACCATCGCATCGATGATACATTGCTCACATCTTCCAAAAATGATAACTGCCATTTGCTTATGAAAAAATGGCCGGAAGATTGGAGCCAATCAGAGACGGTGAAATATTTTGGATGAACAATAAACCTATGTAGCCCATAGTTGGCAATGCTCCTCCCCGGAGCGGTATTTTTTTTTCTACGACCATTATATCGTACCTTCGATGTAATAAACGTGATTGGCCCAAGGTCCACCTTCGCCATCAGCTCCACAGTCGTTAGATTGCCCATATTTGTCAAAAGTCTGTGGAGCTGAAGCACTGGATGCACACCAGCCGCCAGCCTGAACACCAAACATACTGTAACCTGCTCTTATTGCAGCAACCGCACACTTGGCAATAGCATTTTTTCTAACGTGGAACTCTCCGTCCAAAATAGAATCCATCCCCTCCAGGGATGGAATTGCTCGATCGCTGGTATCGTCGTAACATCCAACGTTATCATATTCTGAAAAATGGAAATTGCGTTGGTACTAGTTAATTACCAAACAATACGAAAGGAATGCATAACCGAATTTATGACGCTGGCTGACTACGTCATCCCGCGTAATTAAGCCCCGTCCACTCGTGTTCAGGTTTCATTTAATTGGCCACTTCACAGTAACCTTGCTTTGTTACATCTTCGCGTTTCGTTATTACCATTTATGGTTTTGTTGCAAAATAAACAAACTACACTTGATGAAAATGGTGAAAATTTAATAAGCGCCCAGCCTTGAATAAGCGCCCACTCTCAAGGCCCAAAAATTTAATAAGCGCCCAGGGCAGTTAATCGAATAAATACGGTAAGCAAAACTTTTGCCGTTATACAGAAAGACATCTGGTCCCAGTTGCGGTCAAAAAGGTGGAAAGTGCTATCCAATGGATAAATTACTATCCAAAGGATAGCCCACAATTGGTTCTCGTAATACTCATCAACCGAATAGCAATTTTCCAGGTGGAAATCGCTATCCAACGTTTGACGATTAGCTTCTGCAGTATGTTTGAGATCTTGTTTCCCACCGACTATCCCGCGATTTCTATTGTTCAGTGCGACTCTGGTTGTGTCGCGAAATTCTCTCAACTGCTTCATTCCGTAAGATGATTGTTGCAGTCTGCAAATCCTAAGGTGCTACTTTAGATCGGGGATATACTACTAAGACCGTGGAACCCTTATAGTCTATAGCAGATCAAGAGATCCTCTCTTGAGTCTTACCAGATTAAGTTTAGCTGATTTTGGTTACACTATACCTGACTATTAAAACTCCCAAAATCCTTCCCATCCTTGAGTCGCTATTTCCAGACAATACCAAAGTCGACGCTTTTGCTATTAAACTGAGTTGTCAGCAAATTTGAATTTTCGGATTTCATGTTTTAGGTGTCAATTCGCAGTTTCTCAAGTCCAGACTAAAATCATCAACCATTTGTTCAGTTTCCTGGAAAATGATACCCAGTTCTAGACCAAAACGCCCTGAATTCTATGACCCTATCCAAGACTAAACCGCTTGAAACCACAACCCTCAGAGCGGTACATTAAACATCATTATTGCATGACGCTGAGGTTCATGTGAATAATTATGCAGGTCGAGAAGAATGTTTTTGGCCGAGGTGGATAACAGCCTCCGAGATCAGCATAATTCTTCACATCATACGAAAGCCCAATTCAATAATTGTTTTATTATTCATTCTAAATATTTCTTAGTTCTAGTAAAGTGAGCATAAATCCTCGTACACTATGTTGAAAACTTAGTCCTTAGTTTTTTGGAAAGCCGAGAACGCCGTTTATTAATTTGCTGTCACTTAAGCAGCCTCGATTTCAGGCAAATATACCATCGAACAACCTAAATATACCATCGCATCGATGATACATTGCTCACATCTTCCAAATATGATAACTGCCAGTTGCTTATGAAAAAATGGCCGGAAGATTGGAGCGAATCAGAGACGGTGAAATATTTTGGATGAGCAATAAACCTATGTAGCCCATAGTTGGCAATGCTCCTCCCCGGAGCAGTATTTTTTTTTTTATTCTACGACCATTATATCGTACCTTTGATGTAATAAACGTGATTGGCCATCACTCCTCCTTCCCCATCAGACTGACAATCATTTGATTCTCCATATTTGTCAAACGTTTGCGGTGCTGTGGCACTTGAGAGACACTGACCACCATCCTGAATTGCAAAAATAATGAAACCCGCTTTGATGGCAGCGGACGCGCATTTGGAAATGGGGTTTTCTCGTTCCGTGAATGGTCCATCTAAAATTGGGTCCTGTCCTTCTAGACTTGAGATTGTTCGATTTGCGGTGTCCTTATAACATCCAACGGTTTCGTAAGCTGGAGGAAATGAGCAACAGATTATTTTCATCTTATTGCATTTAAAAAATATGACGAAATGTATGCCTGCTTATATTCTTTAAATGCAGCAAAATCAAACACACGATTAACAGTACATTATAAATTCTAGGTGGCGTCTCTGAAACTCGTTAACAACACATGGAGGAGAAACAAAGAAATGGAATGTTGATCGTCATAGCATTTTTCGAATTTCCAAGAATGAATTTCTCTAAAACTTGAATAGAGCTGATTATTTGAGGAGCTATATATAAACGCGCCTGCTAAAATGACGTGTTTCAACCAATATTCAGAATCATCAGAATCGACGGGAAAAATGGGTCGCGACTCTTTTTAATAACTTCAATTGTGTCTTGATATCGGTTGAAACACTCCCACTCGTGTTTGAATATTTCCACTGGTGGCCGCGGGATATTGGATGAAACACTCCCACTGGTGATTCGTGTTTCACTTTTCATTTTGTCCTGATATCAGACGAAACGCTCCTTCATCTGTTTGGTATATCACCTCTGAGAGTCTGGATATCTCACTAGATTCTGCCATCCGTTTTTGAACACACGCAGTCACAGTGCTGGGATTTCCTGCGTTTTTTTTTTTAAATCTCGGTGATTGAATATCAAACGAAACACTCCCACTCGTCTTCTTTAGATAATCTGTCAATGAGCGTCTCGATGTCAGACAAAACACTTTCAGACATGTTTTAAATATTTGCAGATAGTTAGTTTTGTTTTCTTTTCAAATGTTTTGCAAATCATTTCAACCCATCTACCATATCCCTACATTGATTTTTCCCTCTCCTTATGTTTCCTCTCAATTCTTGATCTAATATGTATGATTCAATCAGTCTAGTTATTCCTCATTAGTAAAATTCAACTAGTGGTCTATTATCAATGCTGCGTTCTGATTGGTTGAGCTACTACTAGGTTATATGTTATAGCCCACTAGTGGCGAAAAGCGGGGCTTTTTGGCGACAAAAAGGGATTAAAGTCTAGCTTTAACTAGCTAATTTTTTTTTATTCTCGACATATTTGACCAACTAGTTGTATTTTACTAAAACAATTATTCCTCTCGCCCTTATGGCCTCTGAGTCAATAGCCCATTCGGCCTTCAGCCTCATGGGCTATTGACTCAGAGGCCATTCGGGCTCGAGGAATAATTGCTAAATAGACGCACGTATAGTTAAGAATTGTTTATAATAGCACTACACCTTTAGGTTATTATACTTTTAATAGGTTATAGGTTATTCGCTTTACCTTTGCAAGCCTTGCCATCACCAGCAAACCCCTCCTTACATGAACACAGGTAAGATCCTTCACTATTCCGACAGATAGCATTTATATTACAGATGGAGGGGAAGACACTGCATTCGTCGATATCTGGGCAAATTGAAATATTTGTGATCAGGAAAAAACTCTGTATATTCTCAATTCTTGATCTAATATGTATGATTCAATCAGTCTAGTTATTCCTCATTAGTCAAATCCAGCTAGTGGTCTATTATCAATGCTGCGTTCTGATTGGTTGAGCTACTACTAGGTTATATGTTATAGCCCACTAGTAGCGAAAAGCGCGGGCTTTTTGGCGGCAAAAAGGGATTAAAGTCTAGCTTTAACTAGCTAAATTTTTTTTATTCTCGATATTTTTGACCAACTAGTTGTATTTTACTAAAACAATTATTCCTCTCGCCCTCATGGCCTCTGAGTCAATAGCCCATTCGGCCTTCAGCCTCATGGGCTATTGACTCAGAGGCCATTCGGGCTCGAGGAATAATTGTTAAATAGACGCACGTATAGTTAAGAATTGTTTATAGTAGCACTACACCTTTAGGTTATTATACTTTTAATAGGTTATAGGTTATTCGCTTTACCTTTGCAAGCCTTGCCATCACCAGCAAACCCCTCCTTACATGAACACAGGTAAGATCCTTCACTATTCCGACAGATAGCATTTATATCACAGATGGAGGGAAAGACACTGCATTCGTCGATATCTGAGCAAATTGAAATATTTGAGATAAGGAAAAGACTCTGTATAATAATAAACGACACAGGACAAAATTTAAAATTAGTTGCTCGCTTAAAGCTACCAAGCAAACAACAGCCAAGCCATCCTACTGAATTGTCTCAAAACAACGCCTAAAGCACAGTCATGTCAGACTGTGAATCACAATATTTCTGAACCAAGAACAAATAATTATTGTTTCATTTGTTTTGTCATGAAAAAAGTACTTTGTCAACTGTATTCTTGAAACAAAAAATTGCGTGTGTAGCTAAAATCTGTGTGTGAGGTGAAGGGAAAACGAGTATTTAAGTTCCCCTTTAACTCGGTTGCCAAGTAAACTAGGAAGGCCATGCGCGCTCTTTTTGTTCTTTCCAGAAAGCAATATTCTGCCCCCTTAATTGTCCCCGAGTGTGCTTTCGTTCGTCCTGACGACCTCACAAAGTTGTGAGCAAGGGTTCATACAGAGTACTCCCTTAATAATTGTCCCCGAGTGTGCTTTCGTTCGTCCTGACGACCTCACAAAGTTGTGAGTAAGGGTTCATAGAGAGTACTCCCTAGCTTTATTTTACTTCTTTTGAGTAACAATAACAAATGAAATCAAAGCTGGCTCTGAAAATAATTCTTAATCAGCAGCATCCTTCAGGTAATGGTGTTAGAAGGAATGGTAGAAAAACAAAATCGTTTTCAATTCATTTATTCTTACCCTGTCCACAATCTTCGCCGGTAAATCCCGGCGCACATACGCAACTATACCGTTGGTCTGTAAATCCCGACTGGCAGGTAAACTTGTTATGGCACGGATTGACGTCACAAGCACTCTTTCAAGAAACAAATGAACAGTGAATGAGATGAAATGTAGCAAATCCAAGTAATCAAAGCGAAACTTGTCTGGGTAAGACATGAGAAAATTTCCTCCCCACAAAAAGGACAGTCGGCAGATATGGTAAATTAGACAATGTGACGACAGTGACATAGGCTCGCGCAGATCTAAAAACCGAAATGACCCATGGCCGAGACGCTAATTAAAGCTCTGCAATTCGATTTCACCTTTCAGCGCTCTATCATGTTCACATTTGCTGTTGTGTTGACTAAATCTGCCAAGTAGACATGCTGTTGTCTATTTCTGCATCCGATCTGCATGCAGGAAAGAAAGTGTGGGTATTAAGTGGGGCACTTTTTCAAAAAAAGTCTCTCCTAGTTTTTTACATGACTACAATAGTATGCGCGCTATGATTGGCTGTTTTCTTGTAATGACTGGGCATTACTAACAAGGTTTCCAAGGCATATACAATAGTGGACATCCCTATGGCCATACAGACAGCTGTCAAAAAAGGACATCCGCTGACCAGTGTCACCTGATTGTGTCGCGGGTTCAAGTGTACAACTCATTAAGGTGACGTGTTATCTGCTGGCCAGTTGCTGGTTTTAATTGATCGCATGCTGACTGAGGCAGTCCATAGAGAAAAGGCCATACAATAAACAACTAACTGACCTCGTCCGTTTGGTCATTACAGGGAAATCTCAGACCTCGGTCTTGATGTATTGCCGTCGCGTTCGCTCGGTCAATACATCAAGGCCTCGCGGTCTGAGATTTGCCTGTAATGACCTCACTCTTGGTTAATAAGTAATACACAATTTCAGTTGAAATCGGAAGGGTGAGGTCAAATCTCCCAGGCAGGGCTTTGGCAAGCGTTTTTGCCAGCCCAAAGTCCTAGGGTAAGTTCCTTTAAGATGATCCGGATCAGGATCAGTGAGCCGAGATCACTCGGATCATAGTAGATCAAATGCAAATGAACCGATGAATCCACTCTGGACAAGGATTCATTGGTTCACTTGATCTAACATGATCCGAGTGATCGCGGATCAGTGATCCTGATCTAGATCATCCCAAAGGAACGTACTCCTAGGAACGTGCGTCAGAAGCCAGGTGTAGGCATTACCAGTAAACATTTTACAGTTGAATCTTGTGGCGTACTTGATAGTGATTTATCGATTTATCGGTCCACAGTTTAGGCAAATGATAAGCAAAATTCAGGACTTGGAAATTTCGTCCCGCAACCGCTTTCGCCATTTGTACAAATCACTTCCATTTACTGAAAAACGACCTTGAAGCTGGTATCAAGGGTGACTCTTAAGAAATGGAACACGAATTTCCCTTTGGAATATTCCGTCCCGAAAAACAGGATTACCTTTTCAGGTGTTCCGTTGCTCCTGGATATTGTCCGCAGGAGCTATCCAAAACGTTTTGTTCCATTTGCTTTATCCAACCGGATTTTCTAGAAACTTTTTGTAAATGGTAAACATGCAACCTATGCATCCAAGAAATTTGGTTCCGACAAAATCGTCCGTTCGTATTTCCGCTTGTTCATGTTACCGGATGTGAAATGCCTCGCATCCATGTTATGATCTATTGGCAGCTGTCACAATAGGGTATCTGCTGACCAGTGTCACATGACTGTATCGCGGGTTCAGGTGAAAAATTCATTGAGGTGACGTGTTTTATTTAATTTTTCTGCTGCCCGGTTATGCTATTCAACTGATCGCAGGCTTAGAAAACTTTACTTCAGAAAGACATTTCTTCACAGTTCACACGAGAGCTTCGTTTTTGGCTTTGCTAATCTAAATCTAAATATAAATGTTATGATGTACTCTTACATCTGCTCCATGGTATACGTAGTCAGCATCGTCCTCAAGGTGATAACCATACCTCCGATCAGTTGCATTATTCAACTCACAGCTCCCATTTTTCTCTTTGAAATTAATACTGACGCAGTTAGATTCCCAGATACAAAGGCGCTCGCAGCTATTTACATCTGGGACCTGCTGAATTCTTATTGTGTGGTTCTGCAGACGTTTAGCTGTAAAGGCGAGGGAAGCTCGAAACGACAGTTGTCGACATTCACCTGAAACAGTCAACATCCGTCTTCTCACATGAACAAAAAACTGCACAAAAAAATAGATCAAATTTGCTGTGGACAAATATATGTTGCAAAAAGCGGGGACAAAGATGGCAAATACTGTATTGGTATCCTTAATTTTATAGGGTTGTAAGGGGGTAAAAGGGGTAGTTAATCGTGAAACATTTATGTACGTTTGTGTTGTTGTACACTGAAACGAGAGAGTCAGTTTATGTTGAAACTGGCTTACTTTAGCACCAGAAATGACATCAAACAGCGGAGAAATGTATGAAAATACAAGAGCTAGGCCGTGGAGAGAGGAGAGAGCTTAGCTTAGGGCTCATGTTGCTCTGCTGAATAGATGACAACTTTTATGTGACGAGAAATTGATGAGCGGAATTTTTTCAGCTGCGTTATATCTGATCCAGAGCAGGACAGATTTTGAAAGGTACTTATTTGGAAGCGCTTGGTTTTCAATTGAAAAGTAGCTTACATACCTGCATGTTATTAAATATATGTTTATAATTTAAGTGATTTTAGATTCTTAGTTTTTATTGATGTACATCTCATGTTTTAAACTTTTATCATGTAACTTTTTTTAAAACTTTTACCATTTTTTAAACTTTCAATATCATGTAAATTGTTATTTTCGTTAATGATTTTAGTCTAAGAGGACCCGCTCCTGTAAACCACTAGTTAAGTGAAGTTGGCATCCTCAATAAAGCTTATCAGTAATCATTCATCATTCAATGCTAAGCAATTACAGGGTTTACTTCACGCTATCTGCTACCCTTTTAAAACCTGGTATAAAATGTGTATTTAGTTTTAGGCAAACTTTTTCCTGTCGTCTCTTGCAACGGATGGCAAGGATGGACATTGAAACTTGAAAGTGATAGGAGATTTTTGAAGTTTTAAACCTATGCATGGAAAAATGACTAAGAAAGTTATTAGACAAGTGATCCCTGCTGTAATGGAGAGGAGAAGTCGTTACGTCACGTTACCATGGTAGCAAAATTTCTGGATGACAACAAACCGGAAAACGTCACGTAAAACTGTTTCAGACCTCATCGATCTCGTTCAGTTTCAATTAATTTGACAAATGTTGGCTAAATTTTCTGGGGTTAAATACGAAAGGACATTATTTAAGCTAGAAAAAGAAATCGTGTTGTGTTCACCTAGTTTATAAAGCGGACGCGTGAAATTAAGAAGTTTCACGTCGTTTTTTTTATAGTCATGCTACGACGGCTAAAAAATGTACAAAAAAGCGTGATGCAGGTGCAAAGTTGTTGTTTTGCTTTCTAAACTTATTGCTTTTTGACCGTTCTCGTTGCCGTCGCCGTCGTTGTTGCTTAAGCTCCCTATTGTTGTGATCCAAATATTTTGCTACCATGGTAACATGAAGTCACACTAGTTCTCTCTATTTGTTTGATATTTTCTTAACCAGTCTATACAACTGTCTATAGGAGTATTTTGAGCTTGAACAAATTTAAAAAAGCACAAAGTAATGGCTTCAGCATCACAGAATTGATCATGACCTGAAACAGCAATATCCTTGTGACGTACGTAACCCCTTTGGGTAATAAATATATATATTTTTTTATCTTAGAAATTCAGAGAGCATTCATGCACAACGTAAGCGTTTCATGTGATAAAAGAGTGTTGAAACCCAATTGTGCAGAAATTGCAACGTTTATTAAAGAATAAATTAACAGCTAAGCTAAAGAAGAAATCTGACAGAAAATATTTAAGTTGAAAATAGGTGCATATGAATTTAAAATCTGTTTATATCTATATATTATTTCATAGTTGAGAATGGTTCAAAAAGGGGCAGACTCAAAAGAAATAAGCCAAAGACACGTGCAGTGGATGAAAATGAAAACCATGCTCGTTCCATACTGTGAAAATTAGAATTTGTTCATATAACCAAGACATGATATAAAGTAATCCAAAAATATTTAAATGGAAGCGTTTAACTTAAAAAAACTAAAATCGCAGCACTTACCTTCCACGTAAGCTAAGTAAAGTTCTAATGACAAGAAAAAAATGGTAACGCTTTGGCCGCGAAGAAAGGAGTTCATATTTCTTACAAGTCAACTCATCGCTTTCTGAACCGACCAGCGCACATTACCACTTAACCAGCCAAAACTGGTGAACGGAAGTTGAAAGTCCAATATATAATGAAAACGCCTACCTAATAATGCTTAATAATGCTTCTAAATCCACCTGCTGTAGACACAAGTTAAAAATTAAACAGCTGCGTACTGTCATCTACATAGTGTTGTACCGAAGTTCGAAACAGTTAGACAATTTGTATACTGAAAACGAGGCGTACTATTTTAACATAATAGGCATTCAAGACGAAAAAATGCGTGACCAGGGGCTACGAATCGACCGAAGACGGTCGGCAAGGTTTTAAAGCTTAATTGAAGTTTATTAATAATCATTAGAGAAAATTAAATGCCCCACCAGTATTCTTTGAAAATTACTCAGCAGAAAAGAGGTGATCTGGCTTTTCTCCATATCTACATGTTCAGCTTATTTTCTCAGTTAATAGGCCGATCCTTCGGCAAATGAAACGGGATTTTGCGGTCATGATTTTCTACGTGCAGAGAAAGTTTGTTTGACTATTCAGGAGCTAAATGCTTTTGAAAAGGTAAGACCAATATTCTTTTGTGATGGTGTTAGAGTATCAAAATATGCATGGGGTGCAAATTGATAATGTTTTTTTCAGGAAGTTCGATTCAATAAGGGTCCGCACGCGGCAGTCTATAAGAGTCTGAAACATTCACTAATTTTTTAATTTATATGCATGGAGAAAATTTTTAAGACACCAAATTTGGCATTGGAAAGATGTTCATGATAATAAAATACCGTAAAATTCCGAAAATAAGCCCCTCCATGTGTAAGCCCCCGGGGGCTTGTACTTAGAAAATTGCCCTCAAATACAAAGTAAAACAAAGCAAAAACAGTAAATTTACTTTCAACTAAAAGGCTAGCTCAACCGATTCTGAAACGCAAATTTCCCTCCATAGATAATCCTCTCCGAATATAAGCCCCTCCAAAAATAAGCCCCTCAAAAAGGGCCTTTGAAAAATATAAGCCTCGGGGCTTATTTTAGGACTTCTACGGTATACCAGACTAACGTAGCGATATAGTTAAAGATGGGAAAAGAAGGGCCAACAGTATTATCACTTGTTGCAACTACACAAATGACAGTCTGTGACTTGAGTAACGAAAGTTATTGACCTGTCAACTAATCTGACTAATATTTTTTCTCACGCGGGAGAAAGTTGTTTTTCCAGTTCAGGTTCTAATTTTCAGTTTCACCAAAGAAATTTTCCAAGGTTCTGAAGGCATCAGAGTCGTTTCTGGGTAATATCGATTTAATAAAACTTCTCATAGGAGATTATATTATCATAACTGACTGTCCTATGGCGAGTGGCAAGTTTATGAATTCTGTTAAATAGGGTACTTGATTTTTGCTTAATTCTAAAATTCTACAACTTGTTCATTTTAATCTAGTGAATACATCAGTCAGTCCTTTTGCTCTATTGTAATCTCTTCTCCTTGTAAGCAGAAAAATTTATTCGTTTCCTAGTATTCAGTTTTTTCCTTTAGTATTTACAAAAACAAAACACTTATGTACAGTGGTTCTTGACAACACAGTTCATAAAATTTTTGCAATCAAGTTTCAATGGGTCATTTTCACGATGACGATGTTTGACTTCGACTACTAAAATTCATTTCGTCTTTACTTTCTTGTTTAAATTTGTCAATTCCACTGAGGTTTAAAGAACAAAAGCCTTAATTTGCACGAGAAAACAGCAAACTGAAGGATTCTGGTAGTTGTAGTAAAATGACGTCATCATGCAACTGTCCTATTAGGGCTTAGAAACACCTCTAAAAGGCTATTTCAGGATAATCAAGGAGAGTAAGTTAATTATTAGAGAACTAATTTCTTTCCTGGAAAGGTGTTTGCATTTGCGATAACGAAACTGATAAATAATTTTGGCAACAAGCTTCGTTTGTTCAAGTGACTAGTTCGTTCACACCAGCCTCTACTCTGAAGGTCGCACAATAACCAATTTCGCTGGTCTCATTAGAACCGTCCTAACTTTAATGCCACACGCCCTGATCATGACACCTTTTAACTTATTTTTGGGTGAGCTATTTTCAGCCGAATTTCACGGCTCACTTTCCCGACTGTAAACTGGAATCTCGACTGCATGCTTTGAAATAATCTTAGTACAACTTAGTTCATTTCTAACTAACGATTTGTTTCTTAAATATATGACTTAAGTCAGCAAGTTTTTTTTCCATTTTTCCAAAATTCTCCACTGTTTAAAAATTCGTCACCTTTAATAACAGCTCCACAAATAGTAAAATACTTCATGAGTCCAGTTAGTAACTGAAACAGTGACTTATACAGCATACTAATCAACAATAGCAGTGAGCTGGCTACACTAATTAGAGTACACGAAAAGAAGAAAAAAGAAAAAAAGTAAATGACTAACAAATGAAAACACATGAGAATGAAAAGAAAAGCCAAAAATATGAAAGCTGTTAGTTGAACAAGATTCCCCTAATGGACTCTTGGAAATTAGCGAGCAGGATCAAGGAAGATTGGTCCATCTTGTCCGCCAAAGTTACCAATCAAAACACAGGATTCGATTAATGAACCAGCCTTCTCGCTTAGGCAGCCATAAAATGATCGACTTAAGGAGGCCCGCTAAGACTTTTTAGGACAGTACCTCCCAAGTTTTATTAACTGCTAATTTCAAAGGTCTTTGAGAACTTGTACGCCAGTAGCAAAGCCTTAAAATATTTTGTCGCAAATCTCGCACTACAAGTGCATGAGAGGGATGGCCTTTGTCTGCAGCATTAACTAAATGCAATACCTCCCAAGTTTTATTAACTACTAATTTTTAATGTCTTTGAGAACTTGTACGCCAATAACAAAGCCATAAAATGTTTGTCGCAAATCTCGCACTACAAGTGCATGAGAGGGATGGCCTTTGTCTGCAGCATTAACTAAATGCAATACCTCCCAAGTTTTATTAACTACTAATTTTTAATGTCTTTGAGAACTTGTACGCCAATAACAAAGCCATAACATGTTTGTCGCAAATCTCGCACTACAAGTGTATGAGAGGGATGGCTTTTGTTCTGCAGCATTAACTAATGCATGGCAATAAATTTAAAATTATCACAAACATTGAACGATCGCTGGTGATGCTCAATAGACCAGTTCCGATATATTAAAATTCAGGCTCAAAAATGAATAATACATTCCTTTTGTTTTATTCCCCCAAACCTGAAAGCCAAGTATGAAGTTTAATATATCGAAAATGGTCTATTGACTGTTTACGCAAGTACTGTAAAAATACGGTCAAATACTGGGTGCTAGCGGTTTTTTCTCGCGGCGAAGTTAAGATGTCGGCTATGGATGGTTTTCACAGTGACGTCATCAAATTGTAAAGTCAAAATTGCGAAGTTTTACGAATTCTTATTTACACTAGGTTAAAGATAAACAAAAAATAATTCTTTGCACAAGTTTTCATTCCCGTAGCATGTTTCATTTCGAAAATACCGCAATTTGAACTTCCGAATTTTCACAGTGCGTGGCAACAAAATAGGAATGCTGTCTCGTTGAAAAAAGTCTCTCCTCTTGATTTTCAGCGCTATAACCATCTCAAGTATTAGAAGATATGTATATATTCTCGTATGCTAGTTTTCGAGTGAAAAGAAAGAGTTTTCATAGAAAAAGTGAACTGCATATGTTTTGGTTGATTTCCGGCGGCCATATTGGTGCACCAAAACTGTACACCCTGTGGCGTCTCCTTACAAAGCTCTACTAAGGTGTGTGAAACGTTTTGGCGAATTACTCAGAAACTGTGGGCCACAAAGACCTTAGACTATTATTCTTATTATTGTTATTAGTATTATTATTATTATTATTATTATTATTATTATTATTATTGTTACTTATTACTCATTACTCATTATAACAGCAATTGGCCGCCCATTCTTCAGTGCCTCATTATATATTAAGTAATTTTACTTTCTGTTCAAACAAGGAAATGCTAACAGAAACGTTATTTGATGACTTTAAGATATCTTCTTATGATTTATCCTATTATGTGTTTATGAAAATAACGATTAATAATTATTATAATTGTTTATAATTATTACTATTAAATTATTATTATGTTTGTTTGTTTGTTTGTTCCTTTCTCTAAGGTGCATCTGACCCTCACTTTTTTTTTCCACTTTTAGCAAACAAAGTTCACTAAGATGAATGTCTGGGTGCATTACATTTACTGGTCAAAGAAATACCCTCAAAATCCAGACAATCCTATATGCAAAGCAGTGGTCATTGAATAGCAGACCGATGATCCTCGATGTAAGAGAACATGAATTTTCTCGCTTTAATGTACTCATTGATTATAAATTTACTGCTGTATCGCAAGTCAACTGAACCAAGCCAGGAAGAGATTTTATCGTAAGTACTAATAAAACCTCTCTCAAAGCTCTTACAAAATTTTTTTTTTTCTTGTCTTTTGCATATGTGAGTAGCCTGATTAGAAGAGGGTCCAGAGGTCGCTCGCGGTTACACACTCAGTTGTGCCAATAGAAAAAAAGGGGAGGTATTTAAAAAGCACGAATTACGAAATCATCCTGGTATTGAGTAGATCTAAAAAAGCTTATAAAATAAGGGGGGAGATGAAAAAGTCTCAAAATGTAATATTCGAATACTCTGAAATTCCGTACTCTTTAATCATTCTTTTTTGGGTCGTGTTTGTATCGGTAAAATGGAATTTAATTAAGTATTACAATTTGTACTCAACTTTGTGATGAGTGATATTTTTTTTTTTACTGATCTGGAATCAACTACGTAGTAACTGTTTTATTAACTTGATCATCAAGAGTTTTTACAAGCTTTCTTTATTACGGGTGTTGATTAACAGATCATTCTCTACTGATCTTAACTTCTGTCCAGTGGATAACACAATTGGTTTCCCTAATACGTATCAACCGGATATAAAGTGAGTTATCCGGTGGACCGTACGTACTATTAAACTTTTGAACCTACCGGGAGCAGGAAGACATTCGATTCTGTGTCTTTTATATTGAGGCTCTCTATTCCGACGAAATCAAAGTCGCGACGATCGCTATTGTTTGGAGGACGATCTTAAAGGATAACCCTTTAAGCCCTAAGAGTGATCAGCATGAAATTTCTCCTTGTAAAATTCAATGCTTTGTAAAACAGAGTGGTTATGAGGATTACGGATATGATCACACAAGATTAATTTATTTGATATTTTATCAACTTCTCGTCACTACTTCTGTGGAAATGAGTAGAGGTAACAAATGAGAATTCAAATTTTGATTTTAGGGTTTTGCGACAAAAGCGACGTACACACTGGTACCCATAGAGGTTCTCTATATTACAGTATAAACATGATTGGCCCAAGGTCCACCTTCGCCATCAGCTTCACAAGAGTTAGATTCCCCATGTTTGTCAAATGTTTGGGGAGCTGAAGCACTAGATGCACACCATCCGCCATTCTGAACACCAAAAATACTGTAACCTGCTCTTATTGCAGCTACCGCACACTTGGCAATTGCATTTTTTCGAACTCGGTAGTGTCCGTCCAAAATAGGATCCCTCCTCTCCAGGGGTGGAATTGCGCGATCGCCGGTATCTCTGTAGCATCCAACGCTATCATATCCTGAAAAATGGAATTTGCGTTGGTACTAATGAATAACCAAAAAATACGAAAGAAATGCCTAACCGAATTTATGACGTTAGCTGACTACGTCATCCCGCGTAATTAGGCCCCGTCCACACGTGTTCAGGTTTTATTTAATTCGCCACTTTTCTTTTGACACACCGTACTTATTCGAATAAGCGCCCAACCTCGAATTAGCGCACACCTCAAATAAGCGCCCATCATAAAGGCGGAAAAAGTTAATAAGCGCCCACCCCCACCCCACCCACTTAGGTTACAATGAGATTGAATAAATACTGACATAAACAGACTTCCCCGAAGACGGAGTTTTCTTCAGAGTAGGGGTAGTTTACAGAAACCTTGCTTTGTTACATCTTCGCGTTTCGTTATTACCATTTATTGTTTTGTTGCAAAGAAAACATACTATACTTGTTGAAAATGGTGAAAATTCAATAAGCGCCCAGCCTCGAATAAGCGCCCATTCTCAATGTCCAAAAATTTAATAAGCGCCCAGGGCGTTTAATCGAATGAATACGGTAAGCAAAACTTTTGCTGTTATACAGAAAGAGATCTGGTCCCAGTTGCGGTCAAAAAGGTAGAAAGTGCTATCCAATGGATAAGATACTATCCGAATTATAGCGCACAATTGGTTCTCGTAATACTCATCCACCGAATAGCAGTTTTTCAGGTGGAAAGCGCTAACCAACTTTTGACGATCAGGTTCTGCAGTATTTGTGAGATCTTGGAGTCCCAACTACTATCCCGCGTTTTCAGTTGTTGAGTGCGACTCTGGTTGTGTCGCGAAATTCTCTCCTACTGCTTCATTCCATACGATAATTGTTGCAGTTTGCAAATCCTAACGTGCTACTTTAGTTTGGGGGATATACCGCTGGGACCGTGGAACCCTTATAGTCTACAGCACATCAAGAGATCCTCTCTTGACTTTTGGTCAGATCTAGTTTAGCTCACTTTTGTTACCCTATACCTGACTATTAAATCTATTAAAATCCTCTCACATCCTTGAGTCGCTATTTCCAGACAATACCGAAGTCGACGCTTTTGCTATTAAACTGAGTTGTCAGTAAATTTGAATTTTCTGATTTCATCTTTTAGGTGTCAATTCGCAGTTTCCCAAATCCAGACTAAAATCATCAACCATTTGTTCATTTTCCTAGAAAATGGTACCCCGATCTAGACCAAAACGCCCGGAATTCTATGACCTATCCAAGACTAAACTGCTTGGAACCACAACCCTCAGAGTGGTACATTAAACATCATTATTGAATGAGGCTGAGGTTGATGTGAATAATTATGCAGGTCGAGAAGAATGTTTTTGGCCGAGGTGGAGAACAGCCTGCGAGATCAGCATAATTTTTCACATCATACGAAAGCCCAATTCAATAATTGTTTTATTATTCAGTCAAAATATTTCTTGGTTCTAGTAAAGTGAGCATAAATCCTCGTATACTTTGCTGAAGACTTAGAAAAAAGCCGAGAACGCCGTTTATTAATTTACTGTCACTTATTAATAAGCAGCCTCGATTTCAGGCAAATATACCATCGAACAACCTAAATATACCATCGCATCGATGATACATTGCTCGCATCTTCCAAATATGGTAAGCGCCAGTTGCTTATGAAAAAATGGCCGGAAGATTGGAGCCAATCAGAGACGGCGAAATATTTTGGATGAACAATAAACCTATATAGCCCATATATGGTAATGCTCCTCCCCGGAGCAGTATTTTTTTTTTCTACGACCATTATATCGTACCTTTGATGTAATAAACTTGATTGGCCATCCCTCCTCCTTCCCCATCAGACTGACAATCATTTGATTCTCCATATTTGTCAAACATTTGCGGTGCAGTGGCACTAGAGAAACACTGACCACCATCCTGAATTGCAAAAATAATGAAACCCGCTTTGATGGCAGCTGACGCGCATTTGGAAATGGCGTTTTCTCGTTCCGTGAATGGTCCATCTAAAATTGGGTCCTGTCCTTCTAGACTTGAGATTGTTCGATTTGCGGTGTCCTTATAACATCCAACGGTTTCGTAAGCTGGAGGAAATGATCAACAGATTATGTTCATCTTATTGCATTTAAAAAATATAACGAAATGTATGTTCAGTTTGTTTTCTTTTTAAAAGTTTTGCAAATCCTTTCAACCCATCTACCATATCCCTACATTGATTTTTTCCTCTCCTTATTTTTCATCTTCATCTAATATGTATGATTCAATCAGTCTAGTTATTCCTCAATAGACGTACGTATAGTTAAGAATTGTTTATAGTAGAACTACACTTTTAGGTTGTTATACTTTTAATAGGTTATAGGTTATTCAGTTTACCTTTGCAAGCCTTGCCATCACCAGCAAACCCCTCCTTACATGAACATAGGTAAGATCCTTCACTATTCCGACAGATAGCATTTATATCACAGATGGAAGAAAAGACACTGCATTCGTCGATATCTGGGCAAATTGAAATATTTGAAATAAGGAAAAAACTCTCTATAATAAAAAACGACACAGGACTAAATTTGAAAGAAGTTGCTCGCTGAAAGCTACGAAGCAAACAACAGCGAAGCAATCCCACTGAATTGTCTAGAAACAACGCCTAATGCGTAGTCATGTCAGCCTGTGAAGCACAATATTTCTGAACCAAGAACAAATAATCATTCTTTCATTTGTTTTGTCATGAAAAAAGTACTTTGTCAACTGTCCTCTTGTAACAAAAAATTGCGGGTGTAGCTAAAATCTGTGTGTCAGGAGAAGGGAAAAGGAATATTTAAGTTCCCCTTTACCTCGGTTGCCAAGTAAACTAGGAAGGTCATGCGCTCTCTTTTTGTTCTTTCTATAAAGCAATATTCTGCCCCCTTAATTGTTCTCGGGTGATCTTTCGTTCGTCCTGACGACCTCACAAAGTTGTGAGCAAGGATTCATACAAAGTACTCCCTAGCTTTAATTTACTTCTTTTGCCTAACAAACACAAATGAAATCGAAGCTGGGGCCCGTTTCTCGAAAGTCCCGGTAACTTTACGGGCCCGAAATCAAATATTCAAATCGAAATATAAAGAATAAGAGCGCGGGTCCTGGCTAGCAAACTACTCCATTTTGTTTCATTAACTGACAGTTTTATCGTGTTAGATGCAAAACCATTGAAATCTCGATCTTTAATGCGAACGGAGACCGCTTACCGGGCCCGTTAATTATCGGGACTTTCGAGAAACGGGCCCCTGGCCCTTAAAATAATTCTTAATCAGCAGCATCCTGCAGTTAATGGTGTTAGAAGAAATGGTAGAAAAACAAAATCGTTTTCAATTCATTTATTCTTACCCTGTCCACAATCTTTGCCGGTAAAACCCGGCGCACATACGCAACGATACCGTTGGTCTGTAAATCCCGACTGGCAAGTAGATTCGTTATGGCATGGATTGACGTCACAAGCACTCTTTCAAGAAACAAATGAACGGTGAATGAGATGAAAAGGTATTAAATGATGTAGCAAATCTAAGTAATCAAAGCGAAACTTCTCTGGGTAAGACATGCCAAAATTTCCTCCACAATCAAAGGACCGTCGGCAGATATGGCAAATTAGACAATGTGACGACAGTGACATAGGCTCGCGCAGATCTAAAAAACCAAATGACCCATGGCAGAGAGGCTAATTAAAGCTCTGCAATTCGCTTTCACCTTTCCACGCTCTATCATGTTCACCTTTGCCGTTGTGTTGACTAAATCTGCCGAGTAGACATGCTGTTGTCTATTTCTGCATCCGATCTGAATACAGGAAAGAAAGTGTGGGTATCCGCAGGAACTACCCAAAACATTTTGTTCCATTTACTTTATCCAACCGGATTTCCTAGAAACTTTTTGTAAATGGTAGACATGCAACCTATGCATCCAAGAAATTTGGTTCCGACAAAATCGTCCGTTCGTACTTCCGCTTGTTCATGTTAGCGGATGTGAAATGCCTTACTTGCTCGCATCCATGTTATGATCTATTGACAGCTGTCACAATAGGGTATCTGTTGACCAGTGTCACATGACTGTATCACGGGCTCAGGTGAAAAATTCATTGAGGTGACGTGTTTTATTTAATTTTTCCGCTGCCTAGTTACGGTATTCAACTGATCGCAGGCTTAGAAAACTTTACTTCGGAAAGACATTTCTTCAAAGTTTCCAAGAGAGCTACGCTTTTGGCTTGGCTAAATCTAAATCTAAATGTAAATGTTATGATTTACTCTTACTTCTGCTCCATGGTATACGTAGTCGGCATCGTCCTCCAGGTGATAACCATACCCTCGATGAGTTGCATTGTTCAACTCACAGCTCCTTGTTTTCTTTTTGAAATTAACACTGACGCAGTTAGATTCCCAGAAACAAAGAAGCTCGCAGCTATCTACATCTGCGACCTGTTGAGTTCTTATTGCGTGGTTCTGCAAACGTTTAGCTGTAAAGGAGAAGGAATCTGGAAACGACAGTTCTCGACATTCACCTGAAACAGTCAACATCCGTCCTCTCACATGAACAAAACACTGCACAAAAAAATAGATCAAATTTGCTGTGGACAAATATATGTTGCATTGGTATCCTTATTTTCATAGGGTTGTAAATCGGAGGTAAAAGGGGTAGTTAATCGGGAAACATTTACTGTACGTTTGTGTTGTTGTACACTGAAACGAGAGAGTCAGTTTATTTTGAAACTGGTTTACTTTGGCTCTAGAAATGACATCAAACAGCGGAGAAATGCATGAAAATACAAGCGCTAGGCCGTGGAGGGAGGAGAGAGTTTAGCTTAAGGCTCATGTTGCTCTGCTGAATAGATGACAACTTTTATGTGACGAAAAATTGATGAGTGGAATTTTTTCAGCAGCGTTATATCTGATCCAGAGCCGAACAGGTTTTGAAAGGTACTTATTTGGAAGCGCTTGGTTTTTAATTGAAAACTAGCTTACATACTTGTATGTTATTAAATATATGTTTAAAATTTAAGTGATTTTAGATTCTTAGTTTTTATTGATGTTCATCTCATGTTTTAAACTTTTATCATGTAACTTTTTTTAAAACTTTCACAATTTTTTAAACTTTCAATATCATGTAAATTGTTTTTTTTCTTTGATTATTTTAGTCTAAGAGGACCCGCTCCTATAAATCACTAGTTAAGTGAAGTTGGCATCCTCAATATAGATTATCAGTCATCATTCATCATTCAATACTAATCAAATACAGGGTTTACTTCACGCTATCTGCTACCCTTTTAAAATCTGCTATGAAACGTGTATTTAGTTTTAGGCAAACTTTTTCCTGTCGTCTCTTGCAACGGATGGCAAGAATGGACATTGAAACTTGAAAGTGATGGGAGTTTTGAAGTTTTAAACCTATGCATGGAAAAATGACTAAGAAAGTTATTAGACAAGTGATCCCTGCTGTAATAGAGAAGAGAAGTCGTTACGTCACGTTGCCATGGTAGCAAAATTTCTGGATGACAATAAACCGGAAAACGTCACATAAAACTGCTTCAGACTTCATCGATCTCGTTCAGTTTCAATTAATTTGTCAAATGTCGACTAAATTTTCTGGGGTTAAATCCGAAAGGACCGTATTTAAGTTAGAAAACGAAATCGTGTTGTGTTCACCTAGTTTATAAAGCGGACGCGTGAAATTAGAAAGTTTCACGTCGTTTTGTTATAGTCATGCTACGACGGCTAAGAAATTTACAAAAAAGCGTGATGCAGGTGCAAAGTTGTTGTTTTGTTATCTAAACTTATTGCTTTTTTTGCCGTTCTCGTTGCCGTCGGCGTTGACATTACTTAAGGTCCCTATTGTTGTGATTCAAATATTTTGCTACCATGGTAACATAACGTCACACTTCTCCTCTCTACTTGTTTGATATCTTCATAACCACTAAATATAGGAGTATTTTGTGCATTAAACAAATTTTAAAAAGCACTTAGTAATGACTTCAGCATCACAGAAGCGATCATGACCTGAAATATCAATATGCTTGTGACGTACGTATTACCCCTCTGGGTAATTATTATCATTATTATTTTCATTTTTATTTCAGAAATTCAAAAAGCATTCATGCAGAAGGTAAGCGTTTCATGTGAAAAAAGAGAGTGGAAACCCAATTGTGCAGAAATTGCAACATTTCTTAAAGAATAAATTAACAGCTAAGTTAAAGAAGGAATCTACCAGAAAATATTTAAGCTGAAAATAGGTGCGTATAAATTTAAAATCTATTTATATCTATATATTATTGTGTAGTTGAAAATGGTTCAAAAAGGGGCAGACTCAAAAGAAATTAGCCAAAGACACGAGCAGTGGATGAAAATGAAAACCATGCTCCTTCCCTATTATGAAAACTAGAATTTGTTTATTTAACCAAGACATGATATAAAGTAATCCAAAGATATTTAAATGGAAGCGTTTAACTTAAAAGAACTAAAATCGCAGCACTTACCTTCCACGTAAGCTAAGTAAAGTTTTATTGACAAGAACAAAATGGTAACGTTTTGACCACGAAGAAAGGAGTCCATATTTTTTGTATCTCAAGTCATCGCTATCTGAACCCGTCAGCGCACATCAACACTTTAGCAGCCAGAACTTGTGAACGGAAGTTGAAACTCCAATAGATAATAAAAACGCCTACATGGAGGATTCTTAATAATGCTTCTAAATCCACCTGCTGTAGACACAAGTTAAAAATTAAACAGCTGCATACTGTAATCTACATAGTGTTGTCCCGAAGCTCGAATTCAGTTTGAAGATTAAATCAAACATGTCGTGTTGCAACAGTTAGACAATTTGTATACTGAAAAGCCTTTCAACCGTTCTCTGCAATCCTCCTATAGTTTCTAGGCGCGATACCGCGGTTTTCTGACGATCTTTTACGGTGTAATTTAAGACGCTATGGGAGGTCCAGGTAATATCACTCCGCGAGAAATGCAGCATGTTTGTTAAACCAGAGTTTTAAAAAATGAAACATCTTAAAATATTATTAATAGACTGATTTTAAAGAGATTTGCAAAGAGGCTGAAACAAGGCGTACTATTTTAACATAACAGGCATTCAAGACGAAAAAATGCGTGACCAAGAGCTACGAATCGACAGAAGACGGTCGGCAAGGTTTTAACACTTAATTGAAGTTTATTAATATTCGTTAGAGAAAACGCCCCACCTGTATTCTTTGAAAATTACTCAGCAGAAAAGAGATGATCTGGCTTTTCGCCATATCTACATGTTCAGCTTAATTTCTCAGTTAATAGGCCGATGCTTTGAAAAAATGAATCGGGATTTTGCGGTCATGATTTTCTACTTGCAGAGAAAGGTTGTTTGACTACTCAGGAGCTAAATGCTTTTGAAAAGGTAAAAGCAATATTCTTTTGTGGTGGTGTTATCTTGGCCGTTGGCAGAGTTTCAAAATATTCATGGGGTGCAGATTGATAATGTTCTTTACAGGAAGTTCGAGTCAATAACGGTCCGCAGTTGATAAAAGTCAAACATTGACTCATGTTTTATTCATGCATGGAGAAAAGAATTAAGACAACAAATTTGGCATGATAAAGATTTTCATGATAATAAAATATACCAGACTGACGTAGCGATATAGGTAAAGATGGCGGGGAACAAGGGCCAAAAAATATTATCACTTGTTGCAACTACACAAATAACAGTGAGTGACTTGACTAACGAACGTCAATGATTGACCTGTCAACTGCAATGTGTATAATCTAAACCTGACTTTTTCCTCACGCGCGACATAGGTGTTTTTCCGGTTCAGGTTCTAATTTTCAGCTTGCACCAAAGACATTTTCCAAAGCTGTGAAGGCATCAGAGTCGTTTGTTTTTTATTATTAATTTTTGTCCTCAGTTTTCCTATAAGATGGGTAATAACAATTTCATAAAACTTCCCATAGGAGATTATATTATCATAACCGATTGTTCTATGGCGGGTGGCAAGTTTATGAACTGTTAAATAGGGTAGTTGATTTTTGCTTAATTCTAAAATTCTACAACTTGTTTATTTCAATCTAGTGAATACATCCGTCAGTCCTTTAATTTGCTCTATTGTAATCTCTTCTCCTTGTAAGCATAAGAATATCTGCATTTCCTAGCATTCAGTTTTTTTTTTTTTTTTAGTATATACTTGAAAAAAATTGAACACTTAATATATACGTTGGTTCTTGACAACACACTTCATTTAACTTTTCAGAGCAGTCAAGTTTCAATTAGGGCTTAGAAACACCTCTAAAAGGCTATTTCAGGATAATGAAGGAGAGTAAGTTTATTATTCGAGAACTTATTTCTTTGCTGGAAAGGTGTTTGCATTTGCGATATCAAAACTGATAAATAATTTTGGCAACAAGCTTCGTTTGTTCAAGTGACAAGATCTAGTTTTCAAAATTTCTTGCTTGCCTACCTCTCCTAGGATTTTCACACCAGCCTCTTTGTACTCTGAAGGTCACATAATAACCAATTTCGCTGGTCTCATTAAAAATATGCGTCCTAACTTTAATGCCACACGCTCTGATCATGACACCTTTTAAGTGCTTTATTTTTTAAAACCGTCCTAACTTTAATACCACACGTTGAGCTATTTTCAGCCGAATTTCACTCACTTGAGTTCTAGCAGGCCCATGGCCACAACTGAACGTTTCTCAAATTTTGTTAGTTTTAAATATTAATCTTGTCAATAAATGTAGCCTATTAGTATATATATCACAGCTTGTAAGGTATCCTACAATTAGGTCTATGTTATTTATTCGGAAAAACTTATAAACAGCCCACAGTAGCTCCACTCAAGTCACTGAAATCAACACATTCGACCAAATTACTGCAATTATTGAGACGGACCATACGATATCACTAGCCTTAAATAAATAGAGGTTTCGCTGTAAGCAATCCTTACGTTTAAAACATGCCATGATCAAATTAAAGCCTGGTTTCCATATGATCGCTACTTACCATCGCTGTGATCGCTGTGATCGCTGAGAAAAGAAAAAAACCTTCAGCGATCGCAGCGATCATAGTGCTCATATGAAACCACTCTCCTGCAGCGATCGCAGCGAAAACAATCGCTGAGATATAAAAAGTTCTATCTCAGCGATCGTTGTCACAGCGATCGATGGAGAGTGGTTTCCATGTGATCGCTGAACTTTTTTTCTCAGTGATCGCAGCAATCACAACGATCGTAGCGATCATATGGAAATCGGGCTTAATCTATCGCAATAACCATCCACCCTTCCTCCTCAACTGCTACCTGTACGCCTTACTAACATATCGAACGCACTCTTCTAAGCTCCGACTACTCCTAGTTTAATATTTTTTCAACTTTTTTCCCTACTTGTTATCATTATCTTATCATTGACATTCTTCGTCTTAATTTCTTATTATTATTATTATTATTATTATTATTATTATTTCCAAGAGAGGATAAAAGGGACAGAGAAGGCATCCCCCATACACACCCTATTCCATAGGTAATTCGTCTCGAGTTATTTTTAAGACTATAGATCCCAAGGGGGATTAGACAACAGCCAATCACATAACGCGAATGTGTTCCGCGTGGATGACCCACGCTCAGAGCCACGTGTCTTTGAAGAAATGACGCAGAAAAAAATGGCGGAAGACGCGGAGAGCGATATTGCTATTCACTTTGTCAACGAAAACGACTAAAGAGAGATTTCTGCTAAAGCTGTGTCAGCGAAACGGAAATTGAAAAATAATCGCCCTTCTTCTCTTGTATAGAGCTAACAGTACAGCAGGGAAATCCTTAATTAACAAGTGAATATTCTCTCAGGGTCATTTATAATTTACAGTTTGAAGAGAGCAATTTCTGGTTTGATATTTCTTCTTTTATTAGTCTTTTATTATTCAACCAAAATAACACTTGGCGTCCTACTGGCTTGCGGTTTCAATAGACCGGCGAAATTTCTCATCTTATTAAAGCACTGAGATTACGACAACTTCGAGTTAAACTGATTTCACGGGTTGTCAGAGAGTCCAGAGATTCCCTTTTCCCAGGTGAGCGCCGACTCATTTCGCTTCAATATTCAGAAATGCTGTCGATCTCTTTACGCTTTCATTGCCTTTCGCCCGACATGTTTTGCACGGCGTTTAGTCATGCGAAACCTGCACGAAACATCCACGCAGCGCGCGAGGTAACTTTATCCCGATTCTAAAAATAACTCGAGACGAATTACCTGTGGAATAGGGTGTGTATGGGGGATGCCTTCTCTGTCCCCTTTATCCTCTCTTGTTATTACTTATTACTTATTATAACAGCAATTGACCGCCCATTCTTGAGTGCCTCATTATATATTAAGTAATTTTACTTGCTGTTCAAACAAGGAAATGCTAACAGAAACGTTATTTGATGACTTTTACGCATGCTCTTATGATTTATCCCATTATGCGTTAATGAAAATAACAATTAATAATTATCATAGTTATTTATAATTAATACTATTAAATTATTATTATTGTTCGTTTGTTTGTTCCTTTCTCTAAGGTGCATCTGACCCTCACTTTTTTATTTCACTTTTAGCGAACAAAGTTCACTAAGATGAATGTCTGGGTGCATTACATTTACTGGTCAAAGAAATACCCTCAAAATCCAGACGATCCTATATGCAAAGCAGTGGTCATTGAATAGCATACCGATGATCCTCGATATAAAAGAACATGAATTTTCTCGCTTAACTGTACTCCTTGGTTATAAATTTACCGCTGTATCGCAAGTTAACTGAACGAAGCCAGGAAGAGATTTAATTGTAAGTACTAATAAAACCTCTCTGCAAGCTCATACAAAAAATATCCGTTTTTTTTTTCTTGTCTTATGCATATTTGAGTAGCCTGATTTAAAGAGGGTCCAGAGGTCGCTCGCGGTTACACACTCTGTTGTGCCAATAGAAAAAAAGGGGGGGTATTTAAAAAGTACGAATTACAAAGCTCATACAAAAATATCTCTTTTTTTTTTCTTGTCTTTTGCATATGTGAGTAGCCTGATTATAAGAGGGTCCAGAGGTCGCTCGCGGTTACACACTCTGTTGTGCCAATAAAAAAGGGGGTATTTCAAAAGCACGAATTACGAAATCACCCCGGTATTGACTAGATCTAAAAAAGCTTATAAAATAAGGGGGGAGAGGAAAAGTGTCAAAATATAATATTCGAATACTCTGAATTTGAAATTCCTTACTCTTTAATCATTCTTTTTTGGGTCGTGTTTGTATCGGTAAAATGGAATTTAATTAAGTATTACAATTTGTACTCAACTTTGTGATGGGTGATATATTTTTTTTTACTGATTTGGAATCAACTACGTAGTAACTGTTTTATTAACTTGATCACCAGGAGTTTTTACAAGCTCTCTTGATTACGGGTATTAATTAACAGATCATTATCTACTGATCTTAACCTCTGTCCAGTGGATAACACAATTGGTTTCCCTAATACGTATCAACCGGATATAAAGTGAATTATCCGGTGGACCGTACGTACTATTAAACTTTTGAACCGACCGGGAGCCGGAAGACATTCGATTCTGCGTCTTTTATATTGAGGCTCTCTATACCGACGAAATCAAGTCGCGACGATCGGTATTGGTTGGAGGATGATCTTAAAGGATAACCCTTTAAGCCCTAAGAGTGATCAGCATGACATTTCTCCTGGTAAAACTCAATGCTTTGTAAAACAGAGTGGTTAATTATGAGGATTACGGACATGATCACACTCTCCAAGATAAATTTATTTGATATTTGATCTACTTCTCGCCACTACTTCTGTAGGAAATGAATAGGGGTAACAAATGAGAATTTAAATTTTGATCTTAGGGGTTCGCGACGAAAGCGACGCACACAGGTACCAATAGAGGTGCTCTATATTACAGTATAAACATGATTGGCAAAAGGTCCACCTTCGCCATCAGCTCCACAGTCGTTAGATTCCCCATATTTGTCAAATGTCTGTGGAGCTGAAGCACTGGATGCACACCATCCGCCATCCTGAACACCAAACATACTGTAACCTGCTCTTATTGCAGCTACCGCACACTTGGCAATAGCATTTTTTCGAACTTTGTACTGTCTGTCCAAAATAGGATCCATCCCCTCCAGGGATGGAATTGCTCGATCGCCTGTATCTTTGTAGCATCCAACGCTATTATATCCTGAAAAATGGAATATGCGTTGGTACTAATTAAAAACCAAAAAATACGCAAGGAATGCGCAACCGAATTTATGACGCTGGCTGACTATGTCATCCCGCGTAGTTAGGCCCCGTCCACATGTGTCCACGTTTTATTTATTTCGCCACTTTTCTTTTGACACACCGTATTTATTCGAATAAGCGCCCAACCTCGAATTAGCGCACACCTCAAATAAGCACCCATCCTAAAGGCGGAAAAAGTTAATAAGCGCCCACCCCAACCCCACCCACTTAGGTAACACTGAGATTGAATAAGTACTAACATAAAGAGACTTCCCCGAAGACGGACCTTTCTTCAGAGTAGGGGTAGTTTACAGAAACCTTGCTTTGTTACATCTTCGCGTTTCGTTATTACCATTTATTGTTTTGTTGCAAAAAAACATACTATAATTGTTGAAAATGGTTAAAATGCAATAAGGGCCCAGCCTCGAATAAGCGCCCAGCCTCGAATAAGCGCCCATTCTCAATGTCCAAAAATTTAATAAGCGCCCAGGGCGGTTAATCGAATAAATACGGTAAGCAAAACTTTTGCCGTTATACAGAAAGAGATCTGGTCCCAGTTGCGGTCAAAAAGGTGGAAAGTGCTATCCAATGGATAAATTACTATCCAAAGGATAGCGCACAATTGGTTCTCGTAATACTCATCAACCGAATAGCAATTTTCCTGGTGGAAATCGCTATCCAACGTTTGACGATCAGCTTCTGCAGTATGTTTGAGATCTTGTTTCCCACCGACTATCCCGCGATTTCTATTGTTCAGTGCGACTCTGGTTGTGTCGCGAAATTCTCTCAACTGCTTCATTCCGTAAGATGATTGTTGCAGTCTGCAAATCCTAAGGTGCTACTTTAGATCGAGGATATACTACTAAGACCGTGGAACCCTTATAGTCTATAGCAGATCAAGAGATCCTCTCTTGACTCTTACCAGATTTAGTTTAGCTGACTTTTGTTACACTATACCTGACTATTAAAACTCCCAAAATCCTTCCCATCCTTGAGTCGCTATTTCCAGACAATACCAAAGTCGACGCTTTTGCTATTAAACTGAGTTGTCAGCAAATTTGAATTTTCAGATTTCATGTTTTAGGTGTCAATTCGCAGTTTCCCAAATCCAGACTAAAATCATCAACCATTTGTTCAGTTTCCTGGAAAATGATACCCAGTTCTAGACCAAAACGCCCTGAATTCTATGACCCTATCCAAGACTAAACTGCTTGAAACCACAACCCTCAGAGTGGTACATTAAACATCATTATTGCATGACGCTGAGGTTCATGTGAATAATTATGCAGGTCGAGAAGAATGTTTTTGGCCGAGGTGGATAACAGCCTCCGAAATCAGCATAATTCTTCACATCATACGAAAGCCCAATTCAATAATTGTTTTATTATTCATTCAAAATATTTCTTAGTTCTAGTAAAGTGAGCATAAATCCTCGTACACTTTGTTGAAAACTTAGTCTTTAGTTTTTTGGAAAGCCGAGAACGCCGTTTATTAATTTACTGTCACTTAAGCAGCCTCGATTTCAGGCAAATATACCACCGAACAACCTAAATATACCATCGCATCGATGATACATTGCTCGCATCTTCCAAATATGATAACTGCCAGTTGCTTATGAAAAAATGGCCGGAAGATTGGAGCCAATCAGAGACGGTGAAATATTTTGGATGAACAATAAACCTATGTAGCCCATAGTTGGCAATGCTCCTCCCCGGAGCGGTATTTTTTTTTTCTACGACCATTATATCGTACCTTTGATGTAATAAACGTGATTGGCCCAAAATCCACCTTCGCCATCAGCTCCACAGTCGTTAGATTCCCCATATTTGCGAAAAGTCTGTGGAGCTGAAGCACTGGATGCACACCAGCCGCCAGCCTGAACACCAAACATACTGTAACCTGCTCTTATTGCAGCAACCGCACACTTGGCAATAGCATTTTTTCTAACGTGGAACTGTCCGTCCAAAATAGGATCCATCCCCTCCAGGGATGGAATTGCTCGATCGCTGGTATCGTTGTAACATCCAACGCTATCATATCCTGAAAAATGGAAATTGCGTTGGTACTAGTTAATAACCAAAGAATACGAAAGGAATGCACAACCGAATTTATGACGCTGGCTGACTACGTCATCCCGTGTAATTAAGCCCCGTCCACTCGTGTTCAGGTTTTATTTAATTCGCCACTTCACAGAAACCTTGCTTTGTTACATCTTCGCGTTTCGTTATTACCATTTATGGTTTTGTTGCAAAATAAATAAACTACTCTTGTTGAAAATGGTGAAAATTTAATAAGCGCCCAGCCTCGAATAAGCGCTCACTCTCAAGGCCCAAAAATTTAATAAGCGCCCAGGGCGGTTAATCGAATAAATACGGTAAGCAAAACTTTTGCCGTTATACAGAAAGACATCTGGTCCCAGTTGCGGTCAAAAAGGTGGAAAGTGCTATCCAATGGATAAATTACTATCCAAAGGATAGCGCACAATTGGTTCTCGTAATACTCATCAACCGAATAGCAATTTTCCTGGTGGAAATCGCTATCCAACGTTTGACGATCAGCTTCTGCAGTATGTTTGAGATCTTGTTTCCCACCGACTATCCCGCGATTTCTATTGTTCAGTGCGACTCTGGTTGTGTCGCGAAATTCTCTCAACTGCTTCATTCCGTAAGATAATTGTTGCAGTCTGCAAATCCTAAGGTGCTACTTTAGATCGGGGATATACTACTAAGACCGTGGAACCCTTATAGTCTATAGCAGATCAAGAGATCCTCTCTTGACTCTAACCAGGTTTAGTTTAGCTGACTTTTGTTACACTATACCTGACTATTAAAACTCCCAAAATCCTTCTCATCCTTGAGTCGCTATTTCCAGACAATACCAAAGTCGACGCTTTTGCTATTAAACTGAGTTGTCAGCAAATTTGAATTTTCGGATTTCATGTTTTAGGTGTCAATTCGCAGTTTCCAAAGTCCAGACTAAAATCATCAACCATTTGTTCAGTTTCCTGGAAAATGATACCCAGTTCTAGACCAAAACGCCCTGAATTCTATGACCCTATCCAAGACTAAACTGCTTGAAACCACAACCCTCAGAGTGGTACATTAAACATCATTATTGCATGACGCTGAGGTTCATGTGAATAATTATGCAGGTCGAGAAGAATGTTTTTGGCCGAGGTGGATAACAGCCTCCGAGATCAGCATAATTCTTCACATCATACGAAAGCCCAATTCAATAATTGTTTTATTATTCATTCAAAATATTTCTTAGTTCTAGTAAAGTGAGCATAAATCCTCGTACACTTTGTTGAAAACTTAATCTTCAGTTTTTTGGAAAACCGAGAACGCCGTTTATTAATTTACTGTCACTTAAGCAGCCTCGATTTCAGGCAAATATACCATCGAACAACCTAAATATACCATCGCATCGATGATACATTGCTCGGATCTTCCAAATATGATAACTGCCAGTTGCTTGTGAAAAAATGGCCGGAAGATTGGAGCCAATCAGAGACGGTGAAATATTTTGGATGAACAATAAACCTATGTAGCCCATAGTTGGCAATGCTCCTCCCCGGAGCGGTATTTTTTTTTTCTACGACCATTATATCGTACCTTTGATGTAATAAACGTGATTGGCCATCACTCCTCCTTCCCCATCAGACTGACAATCATTTGATTCTCCATATTTGTCAAACGTTTGCGGTGCTGTGGCACTTGAGAGACACTGACCACCATCTTGAATTGCAAAAATAATGAAACCCGCTTTGATGGCAGCCGACGCGCATTTGGAAATGGCGTTTTCTCGTTCCGTGAATGGTCCATCTAAAATTGGGTCCTGTCCTTCTAGACTTGAGATCGTTCGATTTGCGGTGTCCTTATAACATCCAACGGTTTTGTAAGCTGGAGGAAATGAGCAACGGATTATTTTCATCTTATTGCATTTAAAAAATATGACGAAATGTATGCCCGCTTATATTCTTTAAATGCAGCAAAATCAAACACACGATTAACAGTAATTTTATAAATTCTAGGTGGCGTCTCTGAAACTCGTTAACAACACATGGAGGAGAAACAAAGAAATGGAATATTGATCGTCATAGCATTTTTCGAACTTCGAAGAATGAATTTCTCTAAAACTTGAATAGAGCTAATTATTTGAGGAACTATATCAAAACGCGCCTGCCATAAATGACGTGTTTCAACCAATATTCCGAAACATCGAAATCGATGAGGAAAATGGGTCGCAACTCTTTTTAAAAACTTCTTTGTGTCTTGATATCCCACTCGTGTTTTGTATATTTCCACTGGTGGCCGGATATTGGATGAAACACTCCCACTGGTGATTCGTATTTCACTTTTCATGTCCTGATATCAGACGAAACGCTCCTTCATCTGTTTGATATATCACCTCTGAGAGTCTGGATACAGTAAACACCCGCATATAAGAACACACGATTTCGGAGGTCAGGCTGATTGAGTTCTTATTTATCGGGTGCTTAATGACAAATCAGCCTCAAAATGTTCTTAAATTTTTATTTAGAAATACTATCCAAAACATGTTGCTAGAGGTATATTTAGCATATTTTAGGAAAATAAAATAAATAATTATTCTGTAATTTGATTATATTAACAAATGAAGTTATCTGACAGCAAAAATAAACTTACATGTTTTGTAATTATGACACTTTCCATTTTACAAGAACATGTTACAATTTTCAGGCTGATCTTGTTCTTATAAAAATGGGGCTTTATTGGCCAAATTTCAGCCTGGTGTTCTTAATCCATTTGTTCTTATATGCGGGTGTTTACTGTATCACACGAGATTCTGCCATCCGTTTTTGAACACACGCGGTCAGTACTGGGATGTCAGATTTAACACTTCCTCTCCTGCGTGTTTGTTAAATCTCGGTGATTGAATATCAGACGAAACACTGCCACTCGTCTTCTATAGATAATCTGTCAATGAGCGTCTTGATGTCAGGCAAAACACTTTCAGACATGTTTGAAATATTTGCAGGTAGTTAGTTTTGTTTTCGTTTTAAATGTTTTGCAAATCCTTTCAATCCATCTACCATATCCCTACATTGATTCTCCCTTTTCCTTTCAATTCTTGGTCTAATATGTATGATTAAATCGGTCTAGTTATTCCTCAATAGACGCACGTATAGTTAAGAATTGTTTATAGTAGAACTACACTTTTGTTAAATAGGTTATTATACTTTTAGTAGGTTATAGGTTATTCGCTTTACCTTTGCAAAGCTTGCCATCACCAGCAAACCCCTCCTTACACGAACATAGGTAAGATCCTTCACTATTCCGACAGACGGCATTTATATCACAGATGGAAGAAAAGACACTGCATTCGTCAATATCTGGGCAAATTGAAATATTTGAGATAAGGAAAAAACTCTGTATAATAATAAACGATACAGGACTAAATCTGAAAGAAGTTGCTCGCTTAAAGCTAGCAAGCAAACAACACCCCAGCGATCCCACTAAATTGTTTCGAAACAACGCCTAATTCATAGTCATGTCAGTCTGTGAATCAGAATATTTCTGAACCAAGAACAAATAATCATTGTTTCATTTGTTTAGTCATGAAAAAGTACTTTGTCAGTTGTACTCTTGTAACAAAAAATTGCGTGTGTAGCTACAATCTGTGTGAGAGGGAGGGGAAAAGGAGTATTTAAGTTCCCATTTACCTCGGTTGCCAAGTAAACTAGGAAGGCCATGCGCGCTCTTTTTGTTCTTTCCACAAAGCAATATTCTGCCCCCAGACTCGTACCCAGTCGCTATTTATGTGTTTTGGGGGTTAGATTGAGGCGCGCGCGGGGTCTCATGGGAAGGGACGCTATTTTTCCTTCGTCCCTTCCCATAACACCCCGCGCGCGCCTCAACCTAACCCCCAATCTTCTCTCACCCCCAAAACACATAAATTGCAACTGGCTACTAGTCTGTTCCGCCCCCTTAATTGTCCCCGGGTACGCTTTCGTTCGTCCTGACGACCTCACAAAGTTGTGAGCAAAGGTTCATACAGAGTACTCCCTCGCTTTATTTTACTTCTTCTGCCTAACAAAAACAAATGAAATCAAAGCTGGCTCTTAAAATAATTCTTAATCAGCAGCATCCTTCAGGTAATGGTGTGAGAAGGAATGGTAGAAAAACAAAATCGTTTTCTATTCATTTATTCTTACCCTGTCCACAATCTTCGCCGGTAAAACCTGGCGCACATACACAACGATACCGTTGGTCTGTAAATCCCGACTGGCAGGTAGACGCGTTATGGCATGGATTGACGTCACAAGCACTCTTTCAAGAAACAAATGAACGGTGAATGAGATGAAAAGATATTAAATGATGTAGCAAATCTAAGTAATCAAAGCGAAACTTGTCTGGGAAAGACATGCGAACATTTCCTCCACAAACAAATGACAGTCGGCAGATATGGCAAATTAGACAATGTGACGACAGTGACATAGGCTCGCGCTGATCTAAAAACCGAAATGACCCATGGCAGAGAGGCTAATTAAGCTCTACAATTCCCTTTGACCTTTCCGCGCTCTATCATGTTCACATTTGCCGTTGTGTTGACTAAATCTGCCGAGTAGACATGCTTTTGTCTATTTCTGCATCCGATCTGCATACAGGAAAGAGAGTGTGGGTATTAAGTGGGCAAGTCTGTTTTAATTTTTTACAAGGCTACAATAGTATGGACCTATGCTGTATTTCTTGCATGGTTTTGTCCCGTGTTTTCTAGGTTGGTTGTGGCCAATTTTTTATTTTCTCTGCGAGACATCAACTTGACACTTGGACTCTTACCCCCCAGAAGACACGTGGTATAGAGTGATTCTGTGGGTGTTAGGAGTTCTGGGTCAGGACTAAAATCAGAGTGCGCGGATATTTTTTCATCACAGCCTGATCTCTGGTTGTTACGCCATACTGACGAGCCCCAAAGAGGCCGAAACAGCTGTCTATGGCTACATCCCGCTCTGTTTTGAGTTCTTTCGGTGTCGTGTTGATGTCTTGCAGAGTTAATTTTCACGTAGTACGATCAGCATTGCAGTATTCTGCTTGCAGAATTTAATACGTCTACAATAGTATACGCTCTCTGATTGGCTATTTTCTTGTAATGACTGTGCATTACTAGCTAGGTTTCCAAGGCATATACAATAGTGCACATCCCTATATGATCTAATGACAGCTGTCACAATAGGGTATCTGCTGACCAGTGTCACATGACTGTCTCGCGGGCGTCGGTGAAAAATTCATTGAGGTGACGTGTTTTATTCAATTTTTCTGCTGCCCAGTTATGGTATTCAACTGATCGCAGGCTTAGAAAACTTTACTTCAGAAAGACATTTCTTCAAAGTTCCCACGAGAGCTTCGCTTTTAGCTTGGCTAAATCTAAATCTAAGTCTAAATCTTATGATGTACTCTTACATCTGCTCCATGGTATACGTAGTCGGCATCGTCCTCCAGGTGATAACCATACCCTCGATGAGTTGCATTGTTCAACTCACAGCTCCTTGTTTTCTCTTCGAAATTAATACTGACGCAGTTAGATTCCCACAAACAAAGTATCTCGCAGAAACCTACATCTGGGACCTGCTGAGTTCTTATTACGTGGTTCTGCAGACGTTTGGCGGTAAAGGAGAAGGAAGCTGGAAACCGCAGTCCTCGACATTCACCTGAAACAGTCAACAACCGTCCACGCACATGAACAAAACACTGCACAAAAAAATAGATCAAATTTGCTCTGGGCAAATATATGTTGCAAAAGGGGGACAAAGATGGTAAATACTGCATTAGTATCCATAATTTTATAGGGTTGTACAGTGGCGGATCTAGGGAAAGGGGCAGAACAGAACCTAGACACACTAGACACAAATGACCCTTATTAAAAGGCATTTAATTTCCACCCCGAAGACTTCAAGTGTCACGTGGCGAGCAAACATGGATTGGGACGGCGAATGCCAGGTTATTCATGAATTTTCTGTTGTTAAATGTTGCTTTTGTTGATTAAAAATTTTTGAATTCAAATATATGAAATGACTCATATCTTTTTTTGGTGACATGTCACAGAAAGTTTGATGTCTTTCATAAAAGCGATTCTCGTTGGCCACGTGATTAATTAGGGCAGAAAAATTTACGTCGGAAGACATGCATGTTTGACCAAAGAAAACAATTTAAGTTTATTACAAAGTGCGATAGAATTATTACAAATTGCGACAGCTTAGTTTATTACAAAGTGCGATGGATGGATGGATCCAGTCTGGATCCAGCACTGTTGTAAATCGGGGGTAAATGGGGTAGTTAATAGTGAAACATTTATGTACCGTTGTGTTGTTGTAGACTGAAACGAGAGAGTCAGTTTATGTTGAAACTGGTTTACTTTGGCACCAGAAATGACTTCAAACGCGGAGAATGTATGAAAATACAAGTAGGCCGTGGAGGGAGGAGACAGCTTAGTTGCTCTGCTGAATAGATGACAACTCTTTTGTGACATCCAGTTCCGGACAGATTTTGAAAGGTACTTATTTGGAAGCGATTCAATTGAAAAGTAGCTTACATACTTGTATTTTATTAAATATATGTTTAGAATTTAAGTAATTTTAGATTTTTAGTTTTTATTGATGTCTATTTCATGTTTTAAACTTTTATAACCATGTAATTTTTTTTAAACTTTTACCATTTTTTAAACTTCATCGTGTAATTTTTTTTAAACTTCAATATCATGTAAATTGTTATTTTCGTTAATGATTTTAGTCTAAGAGCACCCCCTGCTGTAAATCACTAATTAAGTGAAGTTGGCATCCTCAATAAAGATTATCAAGCATCATATTCATCATCTCAATGCTAAGCAATTACTGGGTTTACTTCACGCTATCTGCTACCCTTTTAAAAACTGCTATAAAATGTGTATTTAGTTTTAGGCAAACTTTTTCTTGTCGTCTCTTGCAACGGATGGCAAGTATGGGCATGAAACTTGACACTGATGGGATTTTTCAAGTTTTAAACCTATGCATGGAAAAATGACCAAGAAAGTTATTAGTCATCCCTGCTGTAATAGAGAGGAGAGGTAGTTACGTCACGTTGCCAAGAAATTGTGTCGTGTTCACCTAGTTTATAAAGCGGACGCGTGAAATTCGGAAGATTCACGTCGTGGTCGTGCTACGACGGCTAAGAAATGTACAAAAAAGCGTGATGCAGGTGCAAAGTTGTTGTTTTACCAATATGAACCTATTGATTTTTTTTTTCGTTTTCTTTCCGTCGCCGTCACTTCTCCACCTTTACTTGTTTGATATCTTCATAACCAGTATATAGGAGTATATTGAGCTTGAACAAATTTAAAAAGCACTAAGTATTCATCATCACAGAAGTGATTACGACCTGAAACAGCAATATCCTTGCGGGACGTACGTATTACCCCTCTGGGTAATAAATATATGTTGTTGTTTTTTTTTTATTTTAGAAATTCAAAGAGCATTCATGCAGAAGGTAAGCGTTTCATTTGATAGAAGAGTTTTGAAACCCAGTTGTGCAGAAATTGCAACATTTCTTAAAGAATAAATTAACAGCTAAGTTAAAGAACGAATCTGCCAAAATAGATTTAAGTTGAGAGTATGTGCATACAAATTTAAAATGTATTTATATCTATATATTATTCTATAATTGAAAATGGTTCAAAAAGGGGCAGAAATTAGCTAAAGACACTTACAGAGGATAAAATTGATAACCACACTCGTTCCATTCTGTGAAAATTAGAATTTGTTCGTATAACAAGACATGATATAAAGTGAGCGAAAGATATATTTAAACGGAAACGTTTAACTTTTAATTAAAAGAACTAAATCGCATCACTTACCTTCCACGTAAGCTAAGAAAAGTTCTAATGACAAGAAGAAAATGGGAACCCTTTGACCACGAAGAAAGGAGGCCATATTTTTGCATCTCAACACATCGCTATCTGACCACTTTAGCAGCCAAAACTGGTGATAATAATGAAATAGCCTGCATGGAGGACTCTTAATAATGCTTCTAAATCCACCTGCTGTAGACACAACTTAAAAATTAAACAGCTGCATGCTGTCATCTACGTGCTGTCGAATTCAGTTTGAAAATTAGATCAAATATGTCGTGTTACCACAACATGTTAGATAATTTGTAAATTGAAAAGCCTTTCAACATTTCTCTGCAATCCTCCTATAGTTTCTAGGCGCGATACCGCGGTTGTCTGACGATCTTTTACGGTTTAAAAGGTGCTATGGGAAGTCGAGGTAATATTACCCCACGAGAGATGAAACATGTTTCTTAAAAAAAAAGTAAACATATTAAAATATTAATAGACTGATTTTAAAATCAGAGATTCGCAAAGAGGCTGAAACAATTAAGGCGTACTAACAGGGGCACCCAAAGAGAATATAGTTCAAAACCACTTAAACATAGCATTGTTGAACGTACTTTAGTATTTAAACGGTAGATAAAGGCTTATTTTTATCCCCTACAAATTTTTCATCTGTTCGGATTTCCTAGCTGAAAGTATAGTGATCCGAAACTTATAGAGATCAAAATTTACCTTTTCGAAAATTTCAGCCAGAAAAAAGGCTCCCGAAAATTCTAGGTGACTTTTTTAGGGTAAAAATCCGTTAAAAATGGGCAATTATACGATTTTTATGAAGTTCGAAAATCCTAGGAGAGGCAGGCAAGCAAGAAATTTTTCAGAAAATGATCCGAAAATTCTAGACCTCAAATCGTCTTCCGAACAGATAATTTTCCGAAAATTGTCGTTGGGTGCCCCTGTACTAATTTAACATAACAGGCATTCAAGACGAAATGCGTCACCAATGGCTACGCATAGACCGAAGACGGTCGGCAAGTTTAATAATATTCGTTGGAGAAAACCCCCCACCTGTGTTCTTTGAAAATTACTCAGCAGAAAAGAGGTGATCTGGCTTTTCTCCATATCTACATGTTTAGCTTATTTTCTCAGTTAATAGGCCGATCCTTTGGCAAATGAACCGGGATTTTGAAATCATGATTTTCTACGTTGATTGCAGAGAAAGTTTGTTTCACTACTCAAGAGCTAAATGCTTTTGAAAAGGTAAGAGCGATATTCTTTTGTGATGGTGTTATCTTGGTCGTTGGCAGAGTTTCAAAATATGCATGGGGTGCAGATTGATTTTTTTTTTTTTTTTTTTTTTGACGAAGTTCGAGTCAATAAGTAAACGGTCCACACGCGGCAGTCGATAAGAGTCTGAAACATTCACTAATTTTTTAATTTATGTGCATGGAGAAAATAATTAAGACACCAAATTTGGCATGATAAAGATGTTCATGATAATAAAATACCCTAAAATTCCGAAAATAAGCCCCGGGCTTATATTTTTCAAATGCCCTTTTTGAGGGGCTTATTTTTGGAGGGGCTTATATTCGGAGGGGCTTCTCTACGGAAGGAAATTTTCGTTTCAAAATCGATTGGGCTAGCCTTATAGTTGGAAGTAAATTTACCGTTTTTGCTTTAACTACCGTAAATTCCGAAAATAAGCCCCGGGACCTATATTTTTCAAAGGCACTTTTTCAGGGGCTTATTTTTGGAGGGGCTTCTCTGCGGAGGGAATTTGCGTTTACAAATCGATTGGACTAGCCTTATAGTTTGAAGTAAATTTACCGTTTTTGCTTTGTTTTACTTTGTATTTGAGGGCAATTTCCAAGTACAAGCCCCCCGATGGTGGGGGCCTTCTATTTGGAGGTGCTTATACATGGAGGGGCTTATTTTCGGAATTTAACGGTATACCAGACTGACGTAGCGATATACCGTAAAATTCCGAAAATAAGCCCCTCCATGTATAAGCCTCTCCAAATAGAAGCCCCCCAAGCCGGTGACGCAAAAAACCCTCCGTTAAATCCTCCCCCCAGGGGCTTGTACTTGGAAAATTGCCCACAAATACGAAGAAAAACAAAGCAAAAACGGTAAATTTACTTCAAACTATAAAGTAGTCCAATCGATTTGTAAACGCAAATTTCCCTCCGTAGAGAAGCCCCTCCGAATATAAGCCCCTCCAAAAATAAGCCTCTCAAAAAGTGCCTTCGAAAAATATAGGCCACGGGACTTATTTTCGGAATTTACGGTAGTTAAAGATGCAAAAAGAAGGGGCAATAAATATTATCACTTGTTGCAACTACACAAATAACAGTGGGTGACTTGAGTAACGAAGGTTAATGACCTGTCAACTACCGCTGACTAACATTTTTTCTCACGCGGGAGATAGGTGTTTTTCCAGTTCAGGTTCTAATTTTCAGTTTCACCAAAGAAATTTTCCAAAGTTCTGATGGCATCAGAGTCTTTGTTTTTTTTTTCTTATTTTGTCCTTAGTCATCCTAAAAGATGGGTAATATCAGTTTAATAAAACTTCACATAGGAGATTATATTATCCCAAGTTGTTCCAGTCTATGGCGAGTGGCAAGCTTATGAATTCTGATAAATAGGGTACTTGATTTCTGCTTAATTCTAAAATTCTACAACTTGTTCATTTTAATCAAGTGGATACATCAATCAGTACCATAGTCCTTTTGCTCTGTTGTAATCTCTTCTCCTTGTAAGCATAGAAATTTATTCGTTTCCTAGTATTCAGTTTTTTTATTTAGCCGGTTGTATTTACAAAAAAAAAACACTTATGTACGTTGGTTCTTGACAACACAGTTCATTAAACTTTTGCAATATCTATTGAACGATAGCTGGTGATGCTCAATAAACCAGCTCCGATATATTAAAATGCAGGCTAAAAAATAAATAATACATTTCTTTTGTTTTATTGCCCCATGCCTCGGAGCCAAGTATGAATTTTAATATATCGGATATGGTCTATAAATACTGTAAAAATACGGTCAAATACTGGGTGCCAGCGGTTTTTTTCTCGTGGCGAAGATGATGTGTCTTCACAGTGACGTCATCAAATTGTATAGTCAAAACTGAGCAAAGTTTTACGAATTCTTATTTACACTAGGTTGAAGATAAACAAAAAAAAATCTTTGCACAAGTTTCCATTCCCGTAGCACGTTTAATTTCGAAAAAACAGCAATTTGAACTTCCGAATTTTCACAGTGCGTGACAACAAAATAGGAATGCTGTCTCGTTGAAAAAAAAGTCTCTCCTCTTGATTTTCAGCGGTATAGCCATCTCAAGTATTAGAAGATATGTATATACTCTCGTATGCTAGTTTTCGAGTGAAAAGAAAGAGTTTTTATAGAAAAAGTGAACTGCATATGTTTTTGTTGATTTCCGGCGGCCATATTGGTGCACCAAAACTGTACACCATGTGGCGTCTCCTTACAAAGCTCTACTAAGGTGTGTGAAACGTTTTGGGAATTACTTAGAAACTGTACCACAAAAACCTTAGACTATTATTCTTATTATTGACTATTATTATTATTATTATTATTATTATTATTATTATTGTTATTATTATTATTATTATTATTACTTATTACTCATTATAACAGCAATTGGCCGCCCATTCTTCAGTGCCTCATTATATATTAAGTAATTTTACTTTCTGTTCAAACAAGCAAATGCTAACAGAAACGTTATTTGATGACTTTAAGATATCTTCTTATGATTTATCCTATTATGTGTTTATGAAAAAAACCATTAATAATTATCATAATTGTTTATAATTATTACTATTAAATTATTATTATTTTTGTTTGTTTGTTTGTTCCTTTCTCTAAGGTGCATCTGACCCTCACTTTTTTTTTTTTCACTTTTAGCGAACAAAGTTCACTAAGATGAATGTCTGGGTGCATTACATTTACTGGTCAAAGAAATACCCTCAAAATCCAGACGATCCTATATGCAAAGCAGTGGTCATTGAATAGCAGACCGATGATCCTCGATATAAGAGAACATGAATTTTCTCGCTTTAATGTACTCATTGATTATAAATTTACTGCTGTAGCGCAAGTCAACTGAACCAAGCCAGAAAGAGATTTTATCGTAAGTACTAATAAAGCCCCTCTCAAAGCTCATACAAAAAATATCCGTTTTTTTTTTCTTGTCTTGTGCATACGTGAGTTGCCTGATTAAAAGAGGGTCCAAGGGTCGCTCGCAGTTAGACACTCTGTTGCGCCAATAGAAAAAAGTGGGGGCGGGGGGGTATTTAAAAAGCACGAATTACGAAATCACCCTGGTATTGAGTAGATCTAAAAAAGCTTATAAAATAATAGCCTCCCACGCAGGCGTTTTTAGGGGAGCTCGTATTTCTTCCCTCCCCTAAAAATACGAGCTCCCCTAAAAATGCCTGCGTGGGAGGCTAATAAAATAAGGGGGGAGATGAAAAAGTTTCAAAATGTAATATTCGAATACTCTGAAATTCCGTACTCTCTAATCATTCTTTTTTGGGTCGTGTTTGTATCGGTAAAATGGAATTTAATTAAGTATTACAATTTGTACTCAACTTTGTGATGAGTGATATTTTTTTTTTACTGATCTGGAATCAACTACGTAGTAACTGTTTTATTAACTTGATCATCAAGAGTTTTTACAAGCTTTCTTTATTACGGGTGTTAATTAACAGATCATTCTCTACTGATCTTAACCTCTGTCCATTGGATAACACAATTGGTTTCCCTAATACGTATCAACCGGATATAAAGTGAATTATCCCTTGGACCGTACGTACTATTAAACTCTTGAACCGACCGGGAGCCGGAAGACATTCGATTCTGCGTCTTTTATATTGAGGCTCTCTATTCCGACGAAATCAAAGTCGCGACGATCGCTATTGTTTGGAGGACGATCTTAAAGGATAACCCTTTAAGCCCTAAGAGTGATCAGCATGAAATTTCTCCTTGTAAAATTCAATGCTTTGTAAAACAGAGTGGTTATGAGGATTACGGATATGATCACACAAGATTAATTTATTTGATATTTTATCAACTTCTCGTCACTACTTCTGTGGAAATGAGTGGAGGTAACAAATGAGAATTCAAATTTTGATTTTAGGGTTTTGCGACGAAAGCGACGTACACACTGGTACCCACAAAGGTTCTCTATATTACAGTATAAACATGATTGGCCCAAGGTCCACCTTCGCCATCAGCTCCACAAGCGTTAGATTCCCCATGTTTGTCAAATGTTTGGGGAGCTGAAACACTAGATACACACCATCCGCCATTCTGAACACCAAAAATACTGTAACCTGCTCTTATTGCAGCTACCGCACACTTGGCAATTGCATTTTTTCGAACTCGGTAGTGTCCGTCCAAAATAGGATCCCTCCCCTCCAGGGGTGGAATTGCGCGATCGCCGGTACCTCTGTAGCATCCAACGCTATCATATCCTGAAAAAAGTCCTTCTATTATATGGAACAGTCAACGGCGAACTCAAATTCATTCAAAATCGCTCAAAAATCCGCTTTTGAGGCAAAAGGACGACTATAAACCACAGGTAACGTAATTCAACGTTTATTTATGATTGATTTATATACATAGTTAGCGATATATCGCTATAGGTGAAGCAAACGGTAAATCCAGTACCTTTACTATAAAATAACAATCGGCTACAAAAACAGATTGTGTGGGCCCCCTGTGATGGAACCACTCTCCTGCAGCGATCGCAGCGATCGCAGCGACTGAACAATCGCTGAGATATAAAAAGTTCTATCTCAGCGATCGTTGTCACAGCGATCGATGGAGAGTGGTTTCCATATGATCGCTGAACTTTTTTTCTCAGTGATCGCAGCGATCACAGCGATCGTAACGTTCATATGGAAATCGGGCTTAATCTATCGCAATAACCATCCACCCTTCCTCCTCAACTGCTACCTGTACGCCTTACTAACATATAGAACGCACTCTTCTAAGCTCCGACTACTCCTAGTTTAATATTTTTTCAACTTTTTTCCCTACTTGTTATCATTATCTTACGATTGACATTCTTCGTCTTAATTATTATTATTATTATTATTATCATTATTATTATCCTCTCTTGTTATTACTTACTACTTATTATAACAGCAATTGACCGCCCATTCTTCAGTTCCTCATTATCTATTAAGTAATTTTACTTTCTGTTCAAACAAGGAAATGCTAACAGAAACGTTATTTGATGACTTTTACGCATGCTCTTATGATTTATCCTATTATGTGTTTATGAAAAAAATAATAATAATTATTATAATTATTTATAATTAATACTGTTAAGTTTGTTTGTTCCTTTCTCTAAGGTGCATGTGACCCTCACTTTTTTATTTCACTTTTAGCGAACAAATTTCACCAAGATGAATGTCTGGGTGCATTACATTTACTGGTCAAAGAAGTACCATCAAAATCCAGACGATCCTATATGCAAAGCAGTGGTCATTGAATAGCAGACCGATGATCCTCGATATAAGGGAACATGAATTTTCTCGCTTAATGTACTCCTTGATTATAAATTTACCGCTGTATCGCAAGTTAACTGAACCAAGCCAGGAAAAGACTTTATTGTAAGTACTAATAAAACCTCTCACAAAGCTCATACAAAAAATATCCCATGAAATTTCTCCTTGTAAAATTCAATGCTTTGTAAAACAGAGTGGCTATGAGGATCACGGACATGATTATACACTCCAAGATTAATTTATTTGATATTTTATCTACTTCTCGCTACTACTTCTGTAGGAAATGAATAGGGGTATAACAAATGAGAATTCAAATTTTGATCTTATGGTTTCGCGACGAAAGCGACGTACACAGGTACCCATAGAGGTGCTCTATATTACTGTATAAACATGATTGGCAAAACGTCCGCCTTCGCCATCAGCTTCACAGTCGTTAGATTCCCCATATTTGTCAAATGTCTGTGGAGCTGAAGCACTGGATGCACACCAGCCGCCTGCCTGAACACCAAACATACTGTAACCTGCTCTTATTGCAGCAACCGCACACTTGGCAATAGCATTTTTTCTAACGTGGAACTCTCCGTCCAAAATAGGATCCATCCCCTCCAGGGATGGAATTGCTCGATCGATGGTATCGTTGTAGCATCCAACGCTCTCATATCCTGAAAAATGGAATTTGCGTTGGTACTAATTAATGACCAAGAAATACGAAAGGAATGCGCAACCGAATTTATGACGCTGGCTGACTGCGTCATCCCGCGTAATTAGGCCCCGTCCACACGTGTTCAGGTTTTATTTAATTCGCTACTCTTCTTTTGACATACCATATTTATTCGAATAAGCGCCCAACCTCGAATTAGCGCACACCTCAAACAAGCGCCCATCCTAAAGGCGAAAAAAGTTAATAAGCGCCCACCCCCACCCCACCCACTTGGGTTACAATGAGATTGAATAAGTACTAACATAAAGAGACTTCTCCGTAGAGTTTTCTTCAGGGTAGGGGTAGTTTACAGAAACCTTGCTTTGTTACATCCTCGCGTTTAGTTATTACCATTTATTGTTTTGTTGCAAAATAAACATACTACACTTGTTGAAAATGGTGAAAATTTAATAAGCGCCCAGCCTCGAATAAGCGCTCACCTCGAATAAGCGCCCACTCTCAATGTTCAAAAATTTAATAAGCTCCAAGGGCGGTTAATCGAATGAATACGGTAAGCAAAACTTTTGCTGTTATACGGAAAGAGATCTGGTCCCAGTTGCGGTCAAAAAGGTAGAAAGTGCTATCCAATGGATAAGATACTATCCAAAGAATAGCGCACAATTGGTTCTCGTAATACTCATCAACCGAATAGCAATTCTTCAGGTGGAAAGCGCTATCCAACTTTTGACGATCAGGTTCTGCAGTATGTTTGAGATCTTGGGGTCACAACTACCATCCCGCGATCTCAATTCAGTGCGACTCTGGTTGTGTCGCGAAATTTTCTCCTACTGCTTCATTTCATCGATGATTGTTGCAGTCTGCAAATCCTAACGTGCTGCTTTAGATCGGGGGATATACCGCTGGGACCGTGGAACCGCGATTTCTATTGTTCAGTGGGACTCTGGTTGTGTCGCGAAATTCTCTCAACTGCTTCATTCCGTAAGATGATTGTTGCAGTCTGCAAATCCTAAGGTGCTACTTTAGATCGGGGATATACTACTAAGACCGTGGAACCCTTATAGTCTATAGCAGATCAAGAGATCCTCTCTTGACTCTTACCAGATTTAGTTTAGCTGACTTTTGTTACACTATACCTGACTATTAAAACTCCCAAAGTCCTTCCCATCCTTGAGTCGCTATTTCCAGACAATACCAAAGTCGACGCTTTTGCTATTAAACTGAGTTGTTAGCAAATTTGAATTTTCGGATTTCATGTTTTAGGTGTCAATTCGCAGTTTCCCAAGTCCAGACTAAAGTCATCAACCATTTGTTCAGTTTCCTGGAAAATGATACCCAGTTCTAGACCAAAACGCCCTGAATTCTGACCGTATCCAATACTAAACCGCTTGAAACCACAACCCTCAGAGTGGTACATTAAACATCATTATTGCATGACGCTGAATGGTTCATGTGAATAATTATGCAGGTCGAGAAGAATGTTTTTGGCCGAGGTGGATAACAGCCACCGAGATCAGCATAATTCTTAGCATCATACGAAAACCCAATTCAATAATTGTTTTATTATTCATTCAAAATATTTCTTAGTTCTAGTAAATTGAGCCTAAATCCTCTCACACTTTGTTTAAAACTTAGTCTTTAGTTTTTTGGAAAGCCGAGAACGCCGTTTATTAATTTACTTTCACTTAAGCAGCCTCGATTTCAGGCAAATATACCATCGAACAACCTAAATATACCATCGCATCGATGATACATTGCTCGCATCTTCCAAATATGATAACTGCCAGTTGCTTATGAAAAAATGGCCGGAAGATTGGAGCCAATCAGAGACGGTGAAATATTTTGGATGAACAATAAACCTATGTAGCCCATAGTTGGCAATGCTCCTCCCTGGAGCGGTATTTTTTTTTTCTACGACCATTATATCGTACCTTTGATGTAATAAACGTGATTGGCCCAAAATCCACCTTCGCCATCAGCTCCACAGTCGTTAGATTGCCCATATTTGTCAAAAGTCTGTGGAGCTGAAGCACTGGATGCACACCAGCCGCCAGCCTGAACACCAAACAAACTGTAACCTGCTCTTATTGCAGCAACCGCACACTTGGCAATAGCATTTTTTCTAACGTGGAACTCTCCGTCCAAAATAGGATCCATCCCCTCCAGGGATGGAATTGCTCGATCGCTGGTATCGTTGTAACATCCAACGCTATCATATCCTGAAAAATGGAAATTGCGTTGGTACTAGTTAATTACCAAAGAATACGAAAGGAATGCATAACCGAATTTATGACCCTAGCTGACTACGTCATCCCGCGTAATTAAGCCCCGTCCACTTGTGTTCAGGTTTCATTTAATTGGCCACTTCACAGTAACCTTGCTTTGTTACATCTTCGCGTTTCGTTATTACCATTTATGGTTTTGTTGCAAAATAAACAAACTACACTTGATGAAAATGGTGAAAATTTAATAAGCGCCCAGCCTTGAATAAGCGCCCTCTCTCAAGGCCCAAAAATTTAATAAGCGCCCAGGGCGGTTAATCGAATAAATACGGTAAGCAAAACTTTTGCCGTTATACAGAAAGACATCTGGTCCCAGTTGCGGTCAAAAAGGTGGAAAGTGCTATCCAATGGATAAATTACTATCCAAAGGATAGCGCACAATTGGTTCTCGTAATATTCATCAACCGAATAGCAATTTTCCAGGTGGAAATCGCTATCCAACGTTTGACGATAAGCTTCTGCAGTATGTTTGAGATCTTGTTTTCCACCGACTATCCCGCGATTTCTATTGTTCAGTGCGACTCTGGTTGTGTCGCGAAATTCTCTCAACTGCTTCATTCCGTAAGATGATTGTTGCAGTCTGCAAATCCTAAGGTGCTACTTTAGATCGGGGATATACTACTAAGACCGTGGAACCCTTATAGTCTATAGCAGATCAAGAGATCCTCTCTTGACTCTTACCAGATTTAGTTTAGCTGACTTTTGTTACACTATACCTGACTATTAAAACTCCCAAAGTCCTTCCCATCCTTGAGTCGCTATTTCCAGACAATACCAAAGTCGACGCTTTTGCTATTAAACTGAGTTGTTAGCAAATTTGAATTTTCGGATTTCATGTTTTAGGTGTCAATTCGCAGTTTCCCAAGTCCAGACTAAAGTCATCAACCATTTGTTCAGTTTCCTGGAAAATGATACCCAGTTCTAGACCAAAACGCCCTGAATTCTATGACCCTATCCAAGACTAAACCGCTTGAAACCACAACCCTCAGAGTGGTACATTAAACATCATTATTGCATGACGCTGAATGGTTCATGTGAATAATTATGCAGGTCGAGAAGAATGTTTTTGGCCGAGGTGGATAACAGCCACCGAGATCAGCATAATTCTTCACATCATACGAAAGCCCAATTCAATAATTGTTTTATTATTCATTCAAAATATTTCTTAGTTCTAGTAAAGTGAGCATAAATCCTCGTACACTATGTTGAAAACTTAGTCTTTAGTTTTTTGGAAAGCCGAGAACGCCGTTTATTAATTTACTGTCACTTAAGCAGCCTCGATTTCAGGCAAATATACCATCGAACAACCTAAATATACCATCGCATCGATGATACATTGCTCGCATCTTCCAAATATGATAACTGCCAGTTGCTTATGAAAAAATGGCCGGAAGATTGGAGCGAATCAGAGACGGTGAAATATTTTGGATGAACAATAAACCTATGTAGCCCATAGTTGGCAATGCTCCTCCCCGGAGCAGTGTTTTTTTTTTCTCTACGACCATTATATCGTACCTTTGATGTAATAAACGTGATTGGCCATCACTCCTCCTTCCCCATCAGACTGACAATCATTTGATTCTCCATATTTGTCAAACGTTTGCGGTGCTGTGGCACTTGAGAGACACTGACCACCATCCTGAATTGCAAAAATAATGAAACCCGCTTTGATGGCAGCCGACGCGCATTTGGAAATGACGTTTTCTCGTTCCGTGAATGGTCCATCTAAAATTGGGTCCTGTCCTTCTAGACTTGAGATTGTTCGATTTGCGGTGTCCTTATAACATCCAACGGTTTCGTAAGCTGGAGGAAATGAGCAACAGATTATTTTCATCTTATTGCATTTAAAAAATATGACGAAATGTATGCCTGCTTATATTCTTTTAATGCAGCAAAATCAAACACACGATTAACAGTACATTATAAATTCTAGGTGGCGTCTCTGAAACTCGTTAACAACACATGGAGGAGAAACAAAGAAATGTAATGTTGATCGTCATAGCATGTTTCGAATTTCCAAGAATGAATTTCTCTAAAACTTGAATAGAGCTGATTATTTGAGGAGCTATATAAAAACGCGCCTGCTAAAATGACGTGTTTCAACCAATATTCAGAAACATCAGAATCGACGGGAAAAATGGGTCGCGACTCTTTTGAAAAACTTCAATTGTGTCTTGATATCAGTTGAAACACTCCCACTCGTGTTTGTATATTTCCACTGGTGGCCGCGGGATATTGGATGAAACACTCCCACTGGTGATTCGTGTTTCACTTTTCATTTTGTCCTGATATCAGACTAAACGCTCCTTCATCTGTTTGGTATATCACCTCTGAGAGTCTGGATATCACACGAGATTCTGCCATCCGTTTTTGAACACACGCAGTCACAGTGCTGGGATATCGTGCGTGTTTGTTAAATCTCGGTGATTGAATATCAAACGAAACACTCCCACTCGTCTTCCTTAGATAATCTGTCAATGAGCGTCTCGATGTCAGACAAAACACTTTCAGACATGTTTTAAATATTTGCAGATAGTTAGTTTTGTTTTCTTTTCAAATGTTTTGCAAATCATTTCAACCCATCTACCATATCCCTACATTGATTTTTCCCTCTCCTTATGTTTCCTCTCAATTCTTGATCTAATATGTATGATTCAATCAGTCTAGTTATTCCTCAGTAGTAAAATTCAACTAGTGGTCTATTATCAATGCTGCGTTCTGATTGGTTGAGCGACTACTAGGTAATATGTTATAGCCCACTAGTAGCGAAAAGCGCGGGCTTTTTGGCGGCAAAAAGGAATTAAAGTCTAGCTTTAACTAGCTAAATTTTTTTTATTCTCGACATTTTTGACCAACTAGTTGTATTTTACTAAAACAATTATTCCTCTCGCCCTTATGGCCTCTGAGTCAATAGCCCATTCGGCCTTCAGCCTCATGGGCTATTGACTCAGAGGCCATTCGGGCTCGAGGAATAATTGTTAAATAGACGCACGTATAGTTAAGAATTGTTTATAGTAGAACTACACCTTTAGGTTATTATACTTTTAATAGGTTATAGGTTATTCGCTTTACCTTTGCAAGCCTTGCCATCACCAGCAAACCCCTCCTTACATGAACACTGGTAAGAACCTTCACTATTCCGACAGATAGCATTTATATCACAGATAGAGGGAAAGACACTGCATTCGTCGATATCTGGGCAAATTGAAATATTTGAGATAAGGAAAAAACTCTGTATATTCTCAATTCTTGATCTAATATGTATGATTCAATCAGTCTAGTTATTCCTCAGTAGTAAAATCCAACTAGTGGTCTGTTATCAATGCTGCGTTCTGATTGGTTGAGCTACTACTAGGTTATATGTTATAGCCCACCAGTAGCGAAAAGCGCGGGCTTTTTGGCGGCAAAAAGGGATTCAAGTCTAGCTTTAACTAGCTAATTTTTTTTATTCTCGACATTTTTGACCAACTAGTTGTATTTTACTAAAACAATTATTCCTCTCGCCCTTATGGCCTCTGAGTCAATAGCCCATTCGGCCTTCAGCCTCATGGGCTATTGACTCAGAGGCCATTCGGGCTCGAGGAATAATTGCTAAATAGACGCACGTATAGTTAAGAATTGTTTATAGTAGCACTACACCTTTAGGTTATTATACTTTTAATAGGTTATAGGTTATTCGCTTTACCTTTGCAAGCCTTGCCATCACCAGCAAACCCCTCCTTACATGAACATAGGTAAGATCCTTCACTTTTCCGGCAGATGGCATTTATATCACACATGGAAGGAAAGACACTGCATTCGTCAATATCTGGACAAATTGAAATATTTCAGATAAGGAAAAAACTCTGTATAGTAATAAACGACACAGGACTAAATTTGAAAGAAGTTACTTGCTTAAAGCTACCAAGCAAACAACAGCCAAGCTGGATCCCACTGAATTGTCTCAAAACAACGCCTAGTGCATAGTCATGTTAGTCTGTGAATCACAATATTTCTAAAACAAGAACAAATAATCCTTGTTTCATTTCTTTTGTCATGAAAAAAGTACTTTGTCAACTATACTCTTGTAACAAAAAATTGCGTGTGTAGCTAACATCTGTGTGTGAGATGAGGGGAAAAGGAGTATTTAAGTTCCCCTTTACCTCGGTTGTCAAGTAAACTAGGAAGGCCATGCGCGCTCTTTTTGTTCTTTCCATAAAGCAATATTCTGCGTCGCTATTTTTCCTTCGCCTCTTCCCATGACACCCCGCGCGCGCCTCAACCTAACCCCCAATTTTCTCTCACCCCAAAAACACATAAATAGCGACTGGGTACGAGTCTGTTCTACCCCCTTAATTGTCCCCGGGTACGCTTTCGTTCGTCCTGACGACCTCACAAAGTTGTGAGCAAGGGTTCATACGGAGTACTCCCCAGCTTTATTTTACTTTTTTTGCCTAACAAAAGCAAATGAAATCAAAGCTGGCTCTTAAAATAATTCTTAATCAGCAGCATCCTTCAGTTAATAGTGTTAGAAGGAATGGTAGAAAAACAAAATCGTTTTCAATTCATTTATTCTTACCCTGTCCACAATCTTCGCCGGTAAAACCCGGCGCACATACGCAACGATACCGTTTGTCTGTAAATCCCGACTGGCAGGTAGACTTGTTTTGGCATGGATTGACGTCACAAGCACTCTTTCAAGAAACAAATGAACGGTGAATGAGATGAAAAGGTATTAAATGATGTAGCAAATCTAAGTAATTAAAGCGAAACTTGTCTGGGTAAGACATGCAAAAATTTCCTCCCCAAGCAAAGGACCGTCGGCAGATATGGCAAATTAGACAATAGGGCCATTTATACGAGGAAAAATAAGACGCGTCTTACATAAGACGCGTCTTAAATAAGACGCGAACTGTGCCATTTATACGAGCATGTCTTATCTAATAAGACGCGTCTTAGCTAAGCCGCGTCTTATTTTAGACGAAATGTGCCGTTTATACGGAAAGTTTGCGTCTTATGTAAGACGCGTCTTATTTTTCCTCGTATAAATGGCCCTAATGTGACGACAGTGACGTAGGCTCGGGCAGATCTAAAAAACGAAATGACCCATGGCAGAGAGGCTAATTAAAGCTCTGTAATTCGCTTTCACCTTTCCGCGCTCTATCATGTTCACATTTGCCGTTGTGTTGACTAAATCTGCCGAGTAGACGTGCTTTTGTCTATTTCTGCATCCGATCTGCACACAGGAAAGAAAGTGTGGGTATTAAGCGGGGCACTTTTTCAAAAAAAGCCTCTGCTAATTTTTTACATGGCTATAATAGTATGCGCGCTCTGATTGGCTGTTTTCTTGTAATGACTGGGAATTACTAGCTAGGTTTCCAAGGCATATACAATAGTGGACATCCCTATGGTCATACAGACAGCTGTCAAAAAAGGAAATCCGCTTACCAGTGTCACCTGACTGTGTCGCGGGTTCAAGTGTACAACTCATTAAGGTGACTTGTTATTTGCTGTCCAGTTGTTGGTTTTAACTGATCGCATGCTGACTGAGGCAGTCCATGATGAAAAGGCCATATAACTGATATTACTAATTGACCTCGTTCGTTTGGTCATTATAGGAAAAACTCAGACCTCAGCCTTGATGTATTGCCGTTGCGTTCGTTCGGTCAATACATCAAGGCCTCGCGGTCTGAGATTTGCCTGTTATGACCTCACTCTCGGTTAATAAGTAATATATAAATTCAGTTGAAATCGGAAGAGTGAGGCCAAACCTCCCAGGCAGGGCTATGCCAAGCGTTTATGCAAGCCCAAAGTCCTAGGGTGCGTTCCTTTGAGATGATCCGGCTCGGGATCAGTGATCCGAGATCACTCAGATCATGGTAGATCAAATGAACCGATGAATCCACTCTGGATAAGGAGTCATCGGTTCACTTGATCTACCATGATCCGAGTGATCTCGGATGAGTGATCCTGATCTAGATCATCCCAAAGGAACGCACTCCTACGGACGTGCGTCAGAAGCTAGGTGAGGGCATTACCAGTAAACATTTTACAGTTGAATCTTGTGGCCTACTTGATAGTGATTTATCGATTTATCGGTCCACAGTTTAGGCAAATGGTAAGCAAAATAATTCAGGACTTGGAAATTTCGTCCTACAACCGCTTTTGCCATTTGTACAAATCACTTCCATTTACTGAAAAACGACCTTGAAGCTGGTATCAAGGGTGACTCTTAAGAAATGGAACACGAATTTCCGTTTGGAATATTCCGTCGGGAAAAACAGGACTACCTTTCCAGATGTTCCGTCGCTCCTGGAAATCGTCCGCAGGAACTACCCAAAACGTTTTGTTCCATTTGCTTTATCCAACCGGATTTTCTAGAAACTTTTTGTAAATCTGTGCATGCAAGAAATTTGGTTCCGACAAAATCTTCCGTTCGTACTTCCGCTTGTTCATGTTACCGGATGTGAAATGCCTTACTTGCTCGCATCCATGTTATGATCTATTGACAGCTGTCACAATAGGGTATCTGCTGACCAGTGTCACATGACTGTATCGCAGGCTCAGGTGAAAAATTCATTGAGGTGTCGTGTTTTATTTAAGTTTTCCGCTGCCCGGTTATGGTATTCAACTGATCGCAGGCTTAAACAACTTTACTTCAGAAAGACATTTTTTCAAAATTCCCACGAGAGCTTCGCTTTTGGCTTAGCTAAATCTAAATCTAAGTCTAAATCTTATGATATACTCTTACATTTGCTCCATGGTATACGTAGTCGGCATCGTCCTCCAGGTGATAACCATACCCTCGATGAGTTGCATTGTTCAACTCACAGCTCCCTGTTTTCTCTTTGAAATTAATACTGACGCAGTTAGATTCCCACAAACAAAGTATCTCGCAGAAACCTACATCTGGGACCTGCTGAGTTCTTATTGCGTGGTTCTGCAGACGTTTGGCGGTAAAGGAGAAGGAAGCTGGAAACCGCAGTTCTCGACATTCACCTGAAACAGTTAACATCCGTCCACGCACATGAACAAAACACTGCACAAAAAAATAGATCAAATTTGCTCTGGGCAAATATATGCTGCAAAGGGGGGACAAAGATGGTAAATACTGCATTAGTATCCTTAATTTTATAGGGTTGTACAGTGGCGGATCTAGGGAAAGGGCGTACTTACCTACCTAGCCCATACATGTATATGGGATTATCCCTCCCCCACCCCCGAAGACTTCAAGTGTCACGTAGCAAGCAAACATGGATTGGGACGACGAATGCCAGGTTATTCATGAATTTTCTGTAGTTAAATGTTGCTTTTGTCATTTAAATATTTTTTTAATTCAAATATATCAAATGACTCATATCTTTTTTTTGGCAGCATGTCACAGGAAGTTTCATGTCTTTCATAAAAGCAAGAGCCATGATGGATTCTCGTTGGTCACGTGATTAAGCTCGAAGATGATTTGCGAAATGTTGCCACCTGGTGTTGCATAAATGATTTGTTAATAAACCCTGAGAAAACGAAGTTCATGTTGATCGGCACCGAGCAAATGATAAGTAAACATTCAGTTAATTTTACTGTTTCGTTTATTGGAAAGACTCTTATGGCTGTCGAATCAGCAAGAGATCTAGGAGTATACATAGATTTACACCTGACCTATGACACTCATATCTCCCACTTAGTCTCTTCTTGCTTGACTAAACTGGTTCAGATCAACTGCGTGAAATATTGTTTTGATAGAAAGACTTTGGTTTTAATTATTACATCTCTTGTCTTTAGCAAAATGCTGTACTGTTCGACCGTGTTGTCTAATACCTCATCTAAGAACATCCAAAAGCTGCAACTTATTCAGAATTTCGCCTGCAACATTATCTGCGGCGCTCGGAAATATGACCACGTGACGCCATTACTTGACGAACTCAACTGGCTTCCAGTTAGCAAGATGCTCAAATTCAGAGACGCTGTTATGGCTTATAAGTGTGCCAGTAATTTAGCTCCTGAATACCTATGTGCTAAGTTTAGAAAACGATCTTCTGTACATAATCGCAGAACCCGTAATAATGAGAAGTTCAAAATCCCATTATTCAGGTCAGCCACTGGCCAACGTACCTTCGCCTATAGAGCAGTATCCCTGTGCAACACGTTAGACGAAGACCTTAGAAACGCTACAACTGTAAAGGCCTTTAAGAAAGCCCTGAAACTTGTAATGAATGAATGATCGAATGACAGTTAGCATTTAACAATTATTAGCTTGTTAGATATAGCTTGCATTTATATTTCTAAATAGGTACTGAAAAACCTTTTTTTGGGAGTATTTATTAAAGTTTTAATTTAATTTAATTTAATGATTAATTAAGGTAGAAAAATTATGTCGGAAGACATGCATGTTTGACTAAAGAAAACAATTTAAGTTCATTACAAAGTGCGATGGAATTATTACAAATTGCGACAGCTTAGTTTATTGCAAAGTGCAATGGACAGTTATTACAAATTGCGACAGCCTTTTTATTACAAAGTGCGACACGGTTCATTACAAGTTGCGACACTGAGGTTTTACTAGCCTGCGAACAGCAGACGCATTTCCGGTCGTCGCTTCTCTCCCTCCGAAAAATAGCGTCTGCGAAACCGAGCGGCACAACGATTTCCGTGACGTGAACCTTTTGTTTTGATGTTGGCCAATCAGATCAAAGGATAGAATAAGACTCGAGTGACTCCTCGCGACCTCGCGCGCTGAAGCGTCTAGGATTTCGGCGAGAGTTACCAACAACGCTTTGGAACGTGAATTTTCGCGATCATAACAAGATTTCCTGCGACGTTGAATGCTGACTTCTTTATGAAGCAACTGCTTCTTAAGCTATGTATGTAATGTGGGCCTTTGGTTTCGCTTTATAAAATACAGTAGTACGTGACATAAAAAAAAACCTGGACAAAATAATCGCTACAACGAAAGGAAAGTAATTAATGACATTGCGCTCAGACTGATTTATTTCAATTTCATGACCAGCGCTGACAAAAGGTGGTGAATCAATAATTATACAGACACATCCTTGACTGATTCAGAAATCTCTGACAATCGCTCGTTAATAATTCTAGGATCGCCACAACACAATGACCTGAAATATTATAAACTAAACCTGGGCTAGACCCAGCGTGAAATAAATAGTTACAGCAGTAAATTGATCATAGTCAAGATGCAATTTCAGCTACAACGCGTCGACTCACCTCGCAAAAAACTATGGAAGTTAAAACCTTGAAAAGAACATGATTTTAAAGAAATATAAGAACAAACATAAAACGCTTTCGATATGATCAAAGTTCTGTCTGAACCAAGAAGCAACCACGCATGGGAAATCAATTATCACACGTCCTAGCTTTCAAAGATAAAGGATATCTACTCAAAAAATACAATGTCTAAAGCGGCACACGACAAACTATCGAAGAGTTCTCCGAAGCATACTTTCCTGCCAGGAACCAGAAAGGAACAGAAGCAACAAACGGCATGATGCGTCTACTCTTATTAGAACATTTATCGTTTCGAATATGATCAAAACAACTAGGTGTGATATCATTGACTCCGTAAGCAAATAGATAAAAAATGTCCTCAAATCTTTTCTTCGATGTGAATCCTCTTGATGCTTATTTCATCAATCAGTCCCACGATCCTGGCAAATTAACTTTCGTAAACGCGTCGATCTGAGAAAAAAGGGCGGCTATACACAAGCTACGTCGTCCTTTCAATTTGGACTTGTAAACATATCCACCGTGCACGATCTTGCGAGAAGTCTCGCGAGTTAGTTCCTTGATTTTAAGAGCTAAATCGTGATTGGCTAAAAAGGTTTTACGTCACGGAAATCGTTTTGCCGCTCGGGTTCGCAGACGCTATTTATCGGAGGGAGAGAAGCGACGACCGGAAATGCGTCTGCTGTTCGCAGGCTAAGGTTTTACAAAGTGGGATAGATTTATTACAAATTGCGACAGTATAGTATTAGAAGTTGTTACGTCACGTTGCCAAAATTTCTGGATGACAACAAGCCGGCAAACGTCACGTAAAACTGTTTCAGACTTCATCGTTCTCGTTCAGTTTGAATTAATAATTCAAATGTTGGCTAAATTTTCTGGGGTTAAATCCGAAAGGACCGTGTTTACGTTAAGAAAAAGAAAAAGAAATTGTGTTGTGTCCACCTAGTTTATAAAGTGGACGCGTGAAATTAGGAAGTTTCACGTCGTAGTCGTGCTACGACGGCTAAGAAATGTACAAAAAAGCGCGATGCAGGTGCAAAGTTGTTGTTTTGCCAATCTGAACCTATTGCCTTTTGCCGTTCTCGTTGCCGTCGCCGTCACTTCTCCTCTCTGCTTGTTTGATATCTTCATAACCAGTATATAGGAGTATTTTGTGCTTAAACAGATTTAAAAAAGCACCAAGTAATGACTTCAGCATCACAGAAGTGATTATGACCTGGAACAGCAATATCCTTGTGGGACGTACGTATTGCCCCTCTGGGTAATAAATATATGTTTTTCTTATTTTAGAAATTCAAAGAGCATTCATGCAGAAGGTAAGCGTTTCATGTGATAGAAGAGTTTTGAAACCCGGTTGTGCAGAAATTGCAACATTTATTAAAGAATAAATTAACAGCTAAGTTAAAGAAGGAATCTGACGGAAAATATTTAAGTTGAAAGTAGGTGCATATGAATTTAAAATCTGTTTATATCTATATATTATTTCATAGTTGAGAATGGTTCAAAAAGGGGCAGACTCAAAAGAAATTAGCCAAAGACACGTGCAGTGGATGAAAATGAAAACCATGCTCGTTCCATACTGTGAAAACTAGAATTTTTTCATATAACCAAGACATGATATAAAGTAATCCAAAGATATTTAAATGGAAGCATTTAACTTAAAAGAACTAAAATCGCAGCACTAACCTTCCACGTAAGCTAAGTAAAGTTCTAATGACAAGAACAAAATGGTAACGCTTTGACCGCGAAGAAAGGAGTTCATATTTCTTGCATGTCAACTCATCGCCTTCTGAACCGACCAGCGCACATCACCACTTAAGCAGCCAGAACTGGTGAACGGAAGTTGAAACTCCAATATATAATGAAAACGCCTACATAATAATGCTTAATAATGCTTCTAAATCCACCTGCTGTGGACACACGTTAAAAATTAAACAGCTGCATGCTATCATCGACATAGTGTTGTACCGAAGTTCGAATTCAGTTTGAAAATTAGATCAAACATGTCGTGTTACAACAGTTAGACAATTTGTATGCTGAAAAGCCTTTAAACAGTTGTCTACAATCCTCCTATAGTTTCTAGGCGCAATACCGCGGTTTTCTGACGATCTTTTACAGTGTAATTTAAGACTCTATGGGAGGTTGAGGTAATATCACTCCGATAGAAATACAGCAAGTTTGTTAAACCATGCTTTAAAAAATGAAATATCTTAAAATATTATTAATAGACTGATTTTAAAATCAGACATTTGCAAAGAGGCTGAAACGAGGCCTACTATTTTAACATAACAGGCATTCAAGACGAAAAAATGCGTGACCAGGGGCTACGAATCGACCGAAGACGGTCGGCAAGGTTTTAACGCTTAATTGAAGTTCATTAATATTCATTACAGAAAATGCCCCACCTGTATTCTTTGAAAATTACTCAGCAGAAAAGAGGTGGTCTGGCTTTTCTCCATATCTACATGTTCAGCTTATTTTCTCGGTTAATAGGCCGATCCTTTGGCAAATGAACCGGGATTTTGCGGTCATGATTTTCTACGTTGGTTGCAGAGAAAGTTTGTTTGACTACTCAAGAGCTAAATGCTTTTGAAAAGGTAAGAGCGATATTCTTTTTTGATGGTGTTATCTTGGTCGTTGGCAGAGTTTCAAAATATGCATGGGATGCAAATTGATAATGTTTTTTTCAGGAAGTTCGATTCAATAAGGGTCCGCAGGCGGCAGTCTATAAGAGTCTGAAACATTCACTAATTTTTTAATTTATATGAATGGAGAAAATAATTAAGACACCAAATTTGGCATGATAAAGATTTTCATAATAATAAAATACCGTAAAATTCCGAAAATAAAGCCCCTCCATGTATAAGCCGCTCCAAATGTAAGCTCCCCCAAATCGTAACGCAAAAAACCCTCCGTTAAATCGCCCCTCCAAATATAAGCCCCCGGGGGCTTGTACTTAGAAAATTGCCCTCAAATACAAAGCAAAACAAAGCAAAAACAGTAAATTTACTTTCAACTAAAAGGCTAGCTCAATCGATTCTGAAACACAAATTTCCCTCCATAGATAATCCTCTCCGAATATAAGCTCCTCCAAAAATAACCCCCTCAAAAAGAGCCTTTGAAAAATATAAGCCTCGGGGCTTATTTTAGGAATTTTGCGGTATACCAGACTAACGTAGCGATATAGTTAAAGATGGGAAAAGAAGGGCAACAGTATTATCACTTGTTGCAACTACACAAAGAACAGTCTGTGACTTGAGTAACGAAAGTTATTGACCTGTCAACTAATCTGACTAATATTTTTTCTCACGCGGGAGAAAGTTGTTTTTCCAGTTCAGGTTCTAATTTTCAGTTTCACCAAAGAAATTTTCCAAGGTTCTGAAGGCATTAGAGTCGTTTCTGGGTAATATCAATTTAATAAAACTTCTCATAGGAGATTATATTATCATAACTGATTGTCCTATGGCGAGTGGCAAGTTTATGAATTCTGTTAAATAGGGTACTTGATTTTTGCTTAATTCTAAATTTCTACAACTTGTTCATTTTAATCTAGTGAATACATCAGTCAGTCCTTTTGCTCTATTGTAATCTCTTCTCCTTGTAAGCAGAAAAATTTATTGGTTTCCTAGTATTCAGTTTTTTTCTTTAGTATTTACAAAAACAAAACCCTTATGTACGTTGGTTCTTGACAACACAGTTCATAAAATTTTTGCAATCAAGTTTCAATAGGTCATTTTCACGATGACTATGTTTGACTTCAACTACCAAAATTCATTTCGTCTTTACTTTCTTGTTTAAATTGGTCAATTCCGCTGAAGTTTAAAGAACAAAAGCCTTAATTTGCACAAGAAAACAGCACACTGAAGGATTCTGGTAGTTGTAGTAAAATGACGTCATCATGCAATTGTCCTATTAGGGCTTAGAAACACCTCTAAAAGGCTATTTCAGGATAATCCAGGAGAGTAAGTTAATTATTAGAGAACTAATTTCTTTCCCGGAAAGGTGTTTGCATTTGCGATATCGAAACTGATAAATAATTTTGGCAACAAGCTTCGTTTGTTCAAGTGACTAGTTCGTTCACACCAGCCTCTACTCTGAAGGTCGCACAATAACCAATTTCGCTGGTCTCATTAGAACCGTCCTAACTTTAATGCCACACGCCCTGATCATGACACCTTTTAACTTATTTTTGGGTGAGCTATTTTCAGCCGAATTTCACGGCTCACTTTCCCGACTGTAAACTGGAATCTCGACTGCATGCTTTGAAATAATCTTAGTACAACTTAGATTTGTTTCTTAAATATGACTTAAGTAAGCAGGTTTTTTTTTCCATTTTTGAAAAATTCTCCACTGTTTAAAAATTCGTCACCTTTAATAACAGCTCCACAAATAGTAAAATACTTCATGAGTCCAGTAAGTAACTGAAACAGTGACTTATACAGCATACTAATCAACAATAGCAGTGAGCTGGCTACACTAATTAGAGTACACGAAAAGAAGAAAAATGTAAATTTAAAAAAAGTAAATGACTAACAAATGAAAACACATGAGAATGAAAAGGAAAGCCAAAAATATGAAAGCTGTTAGTTGAACACGATTCCCCTAATGGACTCTTGGAAATTAGCGAGCAGGATCAAGGAAGATTGGTCCATCTTGTCCGCCAAAGTTACCAATCAAAACACAGGATTCGATTAATGAACCAGCCTTCTCGCTTAGGCAGCCATAAAATGATCGACTTAAGGAGGCCCGCCAAGACTTTTTAGGACAATGCCTCCCAAGTTTTATTAACTGCTAATTTTAAAGGTCTTTGAGAACTTGTACGCCAGTAACAAAGCCTTAAAATATTTTGTCGCAAATCTCGCACTACATGTGCATGAGAGGGATGGCCTTTGTCTACAGCATTAACTAAATGCAATACCTCCCAAGTTTTATTAACTACTAATTTTTTAATGTCTTTGAGAACTTGTACGCCAATAACAAAGCCATAAAATGTTTGTCGCAAATCTCGCACTACAAGTGCATAAGAGGGATGGCTTTTGTCTACAGCAGTAACTAATGCATGGCAATAAATTTAAAATTATCAGAAACATTGAACGATCGCTGGTGATGCTCAATAGACCAGTTCCGATATATTAAAATTCAGGCTCAAAAATGAATAATACATTCCTTTTGTTTTATTCCCCCAAACCTGAAAGCCAAGTATGAAGTTTAATATATCGAAAATGGTCTATTGACTGTTTACGCAAGTACTGTAAAAATACAATCAAATACTGGGTGCTGGCGGTTTTTCTCGCTGTGAAGTTAAGATGTCGGCTATAGATGGTTTTCACAGTGACGTCATCAAATTGTAAAGTCAAAATTGCGAAGTTTTACGAATTCTTATTTACACTAGGTTAAAGATAAACAAAAAATAAATATTTGCACAAGTTTTCATTCCCGTAGCATGTTTCATTTCGAAAATACCGCAATTTGAACTTCCGAATTTTCACAGTGCGTGACAACAAAATAGGAATGCTGTCTCGTTGAAAAATAAGTCTCTCCTCTTGGTTTTCAGCGGTATAACCTTCTCAAGTATTAGAAGATATGTATATACTCTCGTATGCTAGTTTTCGAGTGAAAAGAAAGAGTTTTTATAGAAAAAGTGAACTGCATATGTTTTTGTTGATTTCCGGCGGCCATATTGGTGTACCAAAACTGTACACCATGTGCCGTCTCCTTACGATATAAGAGAACATGAATTTTCTCGCTTTAATGTACTCATTGATTATAAATTTACTGCTGTATCGCAAGTCAACTGAACCAAGCCAGGAAGAGATTTTATCGCAAGTACTAATAAAACCCCTCTCAAAGCTCATACAAAAAATATCCGTTTTTTTTTCTTGTCTTGTGCATACGTGAGTTGCCTCATTAAAAGAGGGTCCAAGGGTCGCTCGAGGTTACACACTCTGTTGTGCCAATAGAAAAAAGTGGGGGGGGGGTATTTAAAAAGTACGAATTACGAAATCACCCTGGTATTGAGTAGATCTAAAAAAGCTTATAAAATAAGGGGGGAGATTGAAAAGTCTCAAAATGTAATATTCGAATACTCTGAAATTCCGTACTCTTTAATCATTCTTTTTTGGGTCGTGTTTGTATCGTAAGTATTACAATTTGTACTCAACTTTGTGATGAGTGATATTTTTTTTTACTGATCTGGAATCAACTACGTAGTAACTGTTTTATTAACTTGATCATCAAGAGTTTTTACAAGCTTTCTTTATTACGGGTGTCAATTAACAGATCATTCTCTACTGATCTTAATCTCTGTCCAGTGGACAACACAATTGGTTTCCCTATCCGGTGGACCGTACGTACTATTAATCTTTTGAACCTACCGGGAGCAGGAAGACAATCGATTCTGTGCCTTTTATATTGAGGCTCTCTATTCCGACGAAATCAAGTCGCGACGATCGCTATTGGTTGGAGGACGATCTTAAAGGATAACCCTTTAAGCCCTAAGAGTGATCAGCATGAAATTTCTCCTTGTAAAATTCAATGCTTTGTAAAACAGAGTGGTTATGAGGATTACGGATATGATCACACAAGATTAATTTATTTGATATTTTATCAACTTCTCGTCACTACTTCTGTGGAAATGAGTAGAGGTAACAAATGAGAATTCAAATTTTGATTTTAGGGTTTTGCGACGAAAGCGACGTACACACTGGTACCCATAGAGGTTCTCTATATTAAAGTATAAACATGATTGGCCCAAGGTCCACC